TCATTAGCTCGGGAACGAGCCGGGCTCGAGCGGTCCCGGAGGAGGGACGGGCTCTGAATTATTGCTGCGACACGACGAGCGAGACGGGCCGAGGTAATGAGAGATGACACGGCCCTGCTCCTGCCGCGCTGCTGCCGAGCCCGCAGCCCGGCCCGGCCCCGGGGAGGGGAGGGACATCCCGGGCACTGCTGGGACTGCTAGGGAGGGACACCCAGGGAGGGACATCCCGGGCACTGCTGGGACCTGTGGCATCGCTCCCAACCCAGTGGGTCCATTCAAGACTGGACACTAAACCCAGCTCAGCCTAAATCTGCTTTTCCCACGCAGGTTCCACATGGTCCCCTGTCCCTGAGGGGACCCCAGTCCCAGAGCCATGGCAACCCCATCCTGGCTCAGGATGATGCTTTTTCATCCCACACCTGGAGCTCCATCCTGGCTTGGGATGATGTTCCACCCTCCCAGAACTGGCAACAGGACAGCCTGTCCCTGGCTTGGGATGATGCTCCATCCTGCCACACCTGGAGCCACGACAACCCTGTCCTTCCTCCGGATGATGCTCCATCCTCCTGGACCTGAGGTCATGACATTCCCATCCTTCCTGGGGGTGATAGTCCATAATCCCAGACCCAGAGCCACACCATTCCCATCCTTCCTAGGGATGATGCTCCATCCTTGCCGATGTGGCAGAGGCAGGGCTGGCTCAGCAGCACCATCCCACAGACAGCCAGGCTGCTCCACGGGCTTCCCAAGGATGTGCAGCAGCATTCCAGGAGTTTCTGAACAGCCCCCAGGTCCCGTGCTGGGTGACAAAGGCACTTGAGAACGTTGTGCTCTGGGATCTGTGGCCTCACTATGTCCCCACAGGCAGCACCAGGCTCCTCCAAGCCCGGGGGGGGCTGGATGGGACCTGGCTCTGGCACGTGGGGGTCCCACCCATTCCAGCATCCCCCAGGCCATGGAATGTTCGAGCACCAGGAGGTGAGAGTGCTTGGACACAGAGCTACCCTTGTTCTGTGCTGGCCACGATCCTGAGGGGCCAAACCCTCAGTACCCAGCTCCTCCAGCGGCAGGGAGACGTTCCCAGGCTCTGGAGCTGCCTGGCACCACCGGTACCAACAGAATTCCTCCTCTCTCCCATCTGTGCTGATGCCAGGATGGGCTGAAGGCATTTTCCTGGTGGAAAATCATCTCACAGACCCAAGGACTCATCTCCCCCCGAGACTGTGGCTGTGTCCACTCTTCCCATCCCCTCACTGCCCACATGGACCCCCGGGAGTTGCTTGGGATCTGTGGGATGGGCCCCTCAGTGCCGGCACATCCCGGTGCGGTGACACTGGAGGCCAAGGGATGGAGCAGAGTGGGGTGAGAAACGGCTTTTCCCACCCACGGGAGGCTTGGGGAGGAACAACAACAGCAGCTGGGGATGGAAACATCCCAATCTGGGGTTCCTGGCAGGGAAAAAACCATTCCTGCCAAAACTGCTGGCAGGGACAGAGCGGCGTGAAACTCCCGGCGCTTGCGGGGGAGTTGAGTTCAGGGGAAGCAGCTCCACGGGGAATTCTTAAGGCATCCTGCCCCCACCACGGTGTTCCCTGAAGGGTGTCCTCACCTCAACACCAGCCAGCCCCGGGGGGACACCCCAGGGCTGTCACTGCGTGGGACACGGGGATACTTTTCCTCCTCAAATCCCCCTCCGGCGCTCGGAGCTGAACCGTCGGGGTCACGCTCGGCTGTGGGCGGGGGGGTCCAGGATTCTGCCACCTCCTCCCACCCCCTCCCAGCCCTCCCAGACGCCCCCGGGCCCGGGATGCGGAGCCTGGAGTGCAGGACGTGTTTACGAGCGCTCGGGGACGGCCGCTGTCAACTCGATGTCCCCGACACGGCTCTCGCTTCCAGCAGCGCCGCGATCGCGGGTGGGGGGCGGCGGCTCCGTCCCGTCCCGCCCGGCTCGGCGCTCCCGTTCCGTGTTCCCGGCCCGTGTTCCCGGCTCGCGTTCCCGCCGGCAGCCGCTTTGCGACATCATTTTGCATTTTGCTCACCGTTTTTGCACTTTTCACGGTTTTCAGGACCTGAAACATCAGTTCGGGGAGTTGGAGGGGGAGGGAGCCCCCCCTTCCCTCCCCGGGATGTGGGAGGGTGGGAAGAGCCACTTTTTGTTCCAAATCCTCAGTTTTCCTCCCCAGCATGCTGAGGGTGCCCAGTCCCGGTCTCCAGGAGATCCTGCGGAATTCCCAGCACCCCAAACGTCCCAGGCAGGGAGAGACACCTTCCCTCCCTTCCCATCCCGATCATGCAATGGGATTTTCTGGATTTAAGCCCCCACATCCTTGGGGGGTGGCAAAAACTGCCGTGAAAAAGCAGCTCCAGGCTGCAGCCCCCCAATTCCGATCTGTCCTGGCTCCTCCATCCCCACATCCCTGCGGCCACTGGCTCCTGGCATCCAGGAAAGAAAGGGGGGCTTAGGCGGGGGTCCCAACACAGAGCCCAGGGATGGCCTTGGTGACTTGGGGTCACCTGGCTGGGGACAGTCAGTGGAGGCAGATGGGAGTGGAGACCAGGGCACAGATGGGCACAGGGGGGTCATGTTTGTGTGTTCATGTGTGTGTGTTCATGTGTGTGTGCTCATGTGTGTATTCACGTGTGTGTCTGTTCATGTGTGTGTGTTTGTGTGTGTGTTCATGTGTGTTCATGTGTTCATGTGTGTGTGTGTGAGTGTGTGTGTGCAGGAGCACTCGGGTCACACTTAGCTGGGGTCACAGCCGGGGGGGGTCACAGCCCCCCATCCTCCCCCTGAGCCCCAATCCCCAATCCCACACTTTTGGGAGGGGGTCAGAGGGGATGTCACCCCTTTGGGAACCCCCTGAGCCTCCCTCAGCCGCCCCACGGGCAGGGTCGGGGGGCTTTGGGGAGCAGCTTTGTGGGTTTCGGGTCATGAGAGCCCCCTCCGGCATGAAGGGAAACTGAGGCACGTGCCCGGTGCCCGCGGGTGGCCCTGGAGCCCGGGGCTTTCCGTGGGACCCGCGGTGCTTCCGTGGGAAGCTGGAGCGGGGGCTTCCAGCCCAAAAAGCCCCCCGGGGGGGCAACACTCGGGGGGGGTGGGGCACTGGTCGGGGCAGGACCTCGGGCGGGACCCAGACAGTGCCTGGGAGCTGCAGCTCCGCCTGGAGCAGCAGGATGGGGGGAGTGGGCAACCCTGGGAATATGGGGAATTTGGGTGGTCCCTGCTGGCGCCGTGTCCCCCCCTGTGCTGGCTCCGTGTCCCCCCCCCGTGCTGGCACCATGTCCCCGTGGCTGCCCCTCCCCTCGGCCGCGCCCCCCCGGCCGGGCTGTGCGGTGGGAAGGAAGCGATCCAGCCCTTCCCAGGCTGGGTGTGATCCATCCTCGCTCCCGGTGTGCCAGCGCGGGCCGGGGGGACGCGGGGGGGGCAGGAGCCCCTCCCCGGGGGGTCCCCTTGGCATTGAGGGCACCAAGGACCTTGGTCTGCTCAGGGCCTCGCCCTTCACCCACGTTTGCACCAATCCTTCCACCCCAATCCTCCAGCCCCGTGCTGGGACACCTGGGTGGGAGATGGTGGTGATGGTGCTGGAGATGATGATGATGAAGATTTCCCCCTCACGCTGCAGGTCCTGGCTCGGGAAGGCCCAGTTTGCCCCCAGGAGCAGCTTCCTGCCTTTGGAGGAGCAAACTGGGCAAACTGGGCAGGAGGGGCCGGGCTGCCCAGCGCCTGTCCCGGCTCCCTGGATGGGGACACCGATGCCACCGCGGTGGGGACACACCGGCCTGGCCTGTCCCTGCTGTCCCCGCTGGCTCTGGAGCTCGCTCCCAGCCCGTTCCCGTCCTCTCCCGGGTTTCCTGTCCGGGCGGCATTTCCATGGGCCGGGCCTCAATTCCCGGAAAGCGCTACCTCATCCTTGTCGGGAGCCAGGGACGCAAACACGGGCGGAGCCCCCGCCCTGACCCCCCACACCCACCTCCCCCCCTCCAGAACCTTCCCCGGCCCCGGGTGGCGATGCCAGGCAGGGCTGGGGGGACTGAGACTCCCCTGACCACCTCCACCCCCAGCACAGCCCCAGTACAGTGACCTCAATAATCCAAACGATCCCAACTCTCTCAGTGATCCCAACAATCCCAGTGATCTCAATGATCCCGGTGATTCCAACAGTCTCACTGATCCCAATTATTCCAGTGTTCCAAATGGTCTCGCTGATCCCAGTGATCCCAGTTATGTCAGTGATCCTATTGATTTAAACAATCCCGCTTACCCCAATCATCCCAGCAATCCCAGCTATCTCAGTGATCCCGATTATCTCAACTATCCCAGTTATCTCAGTGTTCCCAACCACCTCAGCTCTCTCAGTGATACCAACAGTCCCAAGTATCCCAATTATCAGGACGATCCCAATGATCCCTGCGATCTGCCCGTGCATTTGAGGCCTTCCCAGCCAGTTTCTTCCCATCACAGAGACCTTTGGGAGAGGCAGGACGGAGCCCTCCTCCTCCCCATCCAACCCCCGGGACCCCCCAGCTCTGCTCCCGCCCCCGGGACCCCCAAACACAGCCCGAGCCTGGGGAGGGGCACGGCCCGGGGGGAGTCCCGGGGCAGGGAGAAGGGGGGGCTGTGGACCCTCGGGGCTGTGCCGGTGTCCCCCGGGGTAGAGAGGGACAAAACCTGGAGAGAAACTCGCCAATTCAGGCAAATGAAGGGACGCTGACGGAGAGGGGTGGGGGGTGCCGCGGTGTCCCCCCGCTGTCCCCCCACCCCGGCTGGTTTGGGACCCCCCTGCACCCCGGGGGTCCGTCCCCTTCGGTGGTCGCGGTGCCCCGAGCGGGGAGCGGAGGTTCCGCGCTCGGCGGTGCTGGCCCTGCCTCCTCCTCCTCCTCCCGCTCCCACATCTGCAGCTGGAATTGCAATTTGAGGCGCTGGCTGGGCCGGGACTGGGAGTGGGAGGAAGCCGGAGCGCGGGGGGCTGCGCGGGGCCCGGGCGGGGACGGAGCCGCGGGCAGGACGGGGACAGAGCCACCACCCCGCGGGCACAGCCGGCCCGAGACGGCCCTGGCTGCACCGAGGGGTCCCCAAGCCGTGTCCCCCCTCCCTTAGCGGTAAGCGGGGGGATTGGAGGGCGCCGGGGGGGCAGCGGGGCACTGCCCGAGGAGGGGGGACGAGGGGAGCAGGGGATCAGCCTCGTCCCTTGGTCGAGGTGAGGGTGACACCTCCCCTGGGGACTCTGCCCAGTTTGGGGACACTGGGGAGGGAGCACAGAGGTACTGGGGGGTGCCAGGACTCCAGGGCCTGCCCCCGGTGGGGATGGGGGCTGTGGGCGCGGGTGGGAGTGGGGAATGGACGCTCCCCGGGGGGTCTGTCACCTGTACCCCGTCCCCTCTCCTGGGGGACACTGCTGTGACCCCCGGGGACACCGCAGGGACAGCACCATGACATGCCAGTTCCATACAGGGACAGTGCAGCCCGTGCCAGGGACACCCCACGGCTCCCGTGCCCCAGCCATGCAGGGGGGGACGGGGAGGGACCCCCCAAACTCCACGGAACACCAACAGCTCCGCCTGGAGGGTTTGGGGCCCCCCCAGCCCCACAGCCGGGCTCACTCCTGGCACCCGAGGGATGTGGGGACTGACACCTCCCCCGGCTCCCACACATCTGGGTCTGAGCCCCACAGCTGCCCCGAGGTCCCCAATGGGGGACACCCCGAGCTGTGGGGACACCCCGAGCTGTGGGGACACCTCAAGCTGTGGGGACACCATGCCCACAATCCCGTGCCATGATCAGCCGTGCCAAGGCTCCAGTGCCACAGCCCCGGTGTCATTCCTGGCCCCACCACCCTGCTCCCTTCCCAAACTTGTTTCCTCTCCCTGTTTCCTGCAGAGGTGGAAGTGGTGGAAAGTCCTAAAAATTGCTGCTCCTGCACAAACTGCCAGAGAGGGATCAGGATCTTCCAGGGATCCTGGCCCTGGGGGCTCTGCAGGGACCCCTAGGGCTGGGGGCTCGGGCCTGTGTCCCCTGAAGGTGACAACAGCATGGTCACTGCCCGGGGCCTGCTTGGGGACAGCGCTAGGGACACCAGGGCTGGTGTGTGCATGGGGAGGGGGGTCCACCTGTGCCCACCCACTGGGACTGAGGGGGTGCTGGGTTCTCTGGGCACCCCAAAACCTCCCCAGCCCCCAGGGGGCCCAACCCAGGTCTGCAGCAGGAGGGGCACAGCCAGGTGAAACCCCTCGGGGGGCTGAGCCTCCCCCCCTCGCCAGGACCCCAGGCAGGGGCTGGGCACCTTGGGGACAAAGGTGGGCTCAGTGCCCCCCGGCCAGCCCTGGTTTGCCGGGGTGCAGGATTTGGGCCACTGGAGCCTGAGGGGCTACACAGGTTTGGGACCAAGCCCCCAGACCCCCCATGGCCACAGAGGCAGGGGACAGGACCAAGGAGCCCCTGAGGGCTTGAGTGTCCCTCCAGCTCGGGCTGATGGCCCCGTCCACCCATGGGATGGGGGAGCTCAACCCCCGGGGGTGGGGACACGGGGACATCCCTGCACAGCCCCCATGGGGGGAACACTCCCAGGGTCACCCCCAACCCATCCCTGAGGGGGTCCAAGCCCCAGGTAGCGTTTCTGCCGGAGGAGACCCCAATCCCTGCGCTGGGGGCTGATCCCTCGAATGTGTCCTTGTGGGACAACATCCTGGGAAGCCCCGTTTTGGTGGAGAAGCCCCTGTGACAGTGTCAGCCCACCAGGACCCCCCTCTGTGCCCTGCCAGGACCACCAGCACCGTGTTCCCAATTGTGGTTTGACCATCAGCCCCCTCTCTGCTCCCACACCGGGGTGGCCAGAGCTGACCCCCCCCACTCCAGGGGAAAGCTCCCCACCTGCCCCTTTTATCCTGAGGTTTTTTCGGGGTTGGAGGCTGCCCAGAGCAGGCGGGGGCGGCAGCGAGGGGGTGGGTTTGGCTCAGGGAGAGGCCTCTCCCGATGAGCTCAGCCCTGTCCCGGCTCCGCGGGATGGAGCGGGATCAGAGTGGGATGGGAGAGAGATCAGAGGGGGATAAGAGCGAGATGAGAGCTGCTGGAGCGGGGCAGGGACCCGGAGGTGCTGGGGTTGCCCTGGCCTCGGGCAGAGGGCCAGGAGCCGGGTGATTATCCCGGGCAGCAGTTTTGGAGCTGGTCGGTGCTGGGTCCCAGCCCCTAGGATGATCCGGGATCCCTTTGGCCATTCCTGCTCCTTGGCCAGCGCTTCCAGCAGGAAAGCAAGTTTAAATGTTTTCCAAATAACCCCAGAAATAACCTCTTGGAGCCTAAAAATGTGCTGGAGCAGCATTTTACACACATCTGTATCCCTCACATCTGTATCCCAAACATCTGCCTGACCTGCCCAGCAAGAGGAACCCGGTTCCTTCTCTCACGGTGGCCGTGGCAGTCGGTGACATCCCGACCGGTGCCAGCTGTCCCCCCAGACTGGCACAGCCCGTCCCACTGCCCCCTGTCCTCCCACAGCCCTCTGGGACCTGGGTTTTGGGGTCCCCCCTGCTCCTGTGGGGCCCTGGGAAGGGTTAGCCCCGTCCCTGGTGGATTTTTGAGGGGTGATCCAGTCTGTGCTCACCCAGCCCCGCTCTGAGGGTTCGCTGTGGACCCTCCCGGTGCCGAGGGCACACACGGCCCCTTGTCCCACTGCCCCGACTCTCTTGCAGGCGGGAAGCGCGGCCATGGCGATGCTCCTGGAGCCCGGGATGCAGAGCCTGCGGATGGGTAAGGATGACCCCCGGGAGGGGGCCCGGTGGGGCTGGCACGGCGTGGGGGGTCCCCTGCCTCCCCAGACGAGCTCGGGGTCCCTCCCGCACTCGGGTGTCCCCCCGATCCGCTCCCCCTCCCGCAGCCCCCTCGCCGCTCCCGCGCCGGGGTAACCAGAACCAGCTGCGGGAGGAAACCTGATCCCAGCATCCCAACCCCGGGAGCCGCCGGAGCGCGGAGGCCGCGGCAGGAATTACCCCCCTGCGGGGTCCCCCCGGATCACGGCCCTTCCGCCCAGGAACGATCCTTCGTGTTCACGGCTCCTGGACCCCCGGGGGGGTCACCGCTCCCCCCCAGCCCCTTCCCAGCGGGGCTCTGCCGCACGAGGAGACACCGGAGAGACATCCCGGTTTGTCTGGGATCAAATATTCATGGGACAGACGCGGGGTACAGGGAAAGGCACTCACGGAGCAGGTGTAAGGGACAGCAGACATGTCACGGGGGGGAGCGGAGCCCCCCCGGCCCAGCTCCCGGGGGGGACGTGGCAATCCCTGTCCCCCACTCCGTGATGTGCCGGTGCCTCGGCTCTTCTCTGGACACTGGATTCCAGAAAGTTGGGATCAGCCCGACCCCAACCCCACGGTTGCTGCTGTTGGGGGGTCCTGGAGCCCCCCCTCTGCAGAGCCTGTGGCTCCCGAGCTGCCAGAGGGGTTTAGGGAGCTGCCCTGGGGTGTCCTGGTGCAAACTGGTAGGGATCCCGGCAGGATCCTGGCTGGAGGGGCAATCCCAAAGTGTGGGTGTTGGCAGTGCCCATGGGGTGGGTGGTCCCTCCATCTATCCCATGTCCCATTCCCACCGCACCCCATCCAGAGCCGGCCAATCCCTTGGGAAAAGTGGTCCTGCTCCACCAGCCCCTTTCCAGCCACCCCTCCAGCTGGAGCCTGTCCATCCATGGGCCCTGCTGTGGGCAGTGATTAATCCCGGCTGTTAATTGGATCCCTGTGCCAGCGGAGCGTGGGTGGGACAGCCCCGTGTCCCCGCTGTGTGGGGGCCCTGGGGCTCCCCCTGTCCTGGCACTGGGGTGAGGGGGGGTCCCCAGGACTGGAATTCTGCTGCTGGTGGGTCACCTGAGGGGACAGGGAGGGCGGGGGACTCCCAGAAATGTGTCTCCATCGTGGTCCTCACCTCGGGAAAGGGTCTCCAGGAGGGTCTGGGGCCCCTTCCCACCCCAAAGTCACCTGTCTGTGTCCCCAGGAGCCAACGGCGAGCGCTGCCCGACGCCGACCCCCCCCGGCACGCCGGGGACACCCCACGACAGCTGCAGCATCGCCCCCCTGACGCCCTCCCAGTCCCCCGTGAGTTACTGGGGACCACCAGCGCTCCTGGGGGGGCAGGGGGGCCAGTGTGGGGCCCAGGAAGGCAGTAGAGGGGTCCCCAGTAAGGCAGTTGTGGGGTCCCCAGGGGCTACCAGGGTCTGTGTCCCTGTCCTTGCCCCCTCGATCCTCCCCTGGTCTCTGCTCCCCCCCAGTCTGGCCGCCCTCACCCCCCAGTGCCACAGAACGGGTCAGTCCTTCTCCAGGACCTTTATCCGTGGGATTTCCGGGATGGAGGGCTTTTCCAGCCCGGGATAAGTGTAACTGCGGGGCCGCAGCCCCCAGGCTGCCCCAGCCCGCGCTGGGAGGGCGCGTTCCACCCCGGCTCCTCCCCGGCACTCGCCGTCCCTGCACATTCCTGCGGCAGCCGCCTCGGCCCTGCCGATCCCGCTTTTCCAGGGCCGGCTCGTGTCCGCACTTAGCAAATCCGGGACATTAAATGTTAACGAGGGCTTTTAGCCTCCCATGTCTGCTGCGCGCGGAGGTGACACGGATACGGCGCTTGTCACATCCGCACGGATCCAGCGCGACACGCGGGGGGGAAGGGACGGCACACGGAGCAGAGACAGGGAATCCAGCCGTGGGGACCCCACAAAACACCCGGGCCAGCAAGGGTTTGGGCTGGGTGACCCTTGGGGACAGCTGGGTTGAGGTTCCATGGACTGAGATGGGGCGCAGGGAAGGGGTTTGGGTTGAATGATTTGTGGGAACCCCTGGGATGAGGTTCCTGGGATTGAGACGTGGAACAGGGAAGGGTGTGGGCTGAGTGACCCATGGGGACAGCTGGGAAAAGGTCTCTTGGAGTGAGATGGGGCACAGGGAAGGTTTTGGGGCTCAGATTTCAGGGCTCAGGTGAGGAGGGCTCAGCACCACGATAAGAACAGGCAGGCAGGTCCCCTGGCTGTGGGCATCCACCCCTCTCAGGGACTGCCCAAATCCCTGTGTCCCTTTGGGAACCACCTCAACCACCCTGTGGAACCCGGGAGATGTTTGTCCCAGTGCTGTGGAGCTGTGTGGGAGGGGGAATTGCCGGGTGTGGAGGAAACCAGGGAAGCACCGAACTGCGCAGCCCTCGCAGTGCCTGCAGGCTTGATCCTGCAAAAATGAGCCCCTTCCCGGCGTTTTCCCCCCTTTTGTGGGAGCAGGCAGCCCCAGGTGGGTGCTGCAGCCCAGCCCTGATGCTGTCCCTGCCTCGCAGAGGAGCGAGGCCCGTTCCCAGCAGGGCCCCTCCTTCGCCGTGGTCGTGGCCATCGACTTCGGCACCACGTCCAGCGGTTACGCCTTCAGCTTCACCAGCGACCCCGAGGCCATCCACATGATGAGGTGAGGGGCTGCTCCCAGCACTGGGACAGGGCTCCTTTGACCCAAAAATGGGGGGAAGTTGGATTGCTGGGGCGGGAAATACAGGGCAGGTTGGCGATGCTGCCTGGCAGCGATGAGTGGAAGCTGCTGTGGAATGAGGATGCTCTGAGGGCTGGAGCCCCTCTGCTCTGCAGCCAGGCTGGGAGAGCTGGGAATGTCCAGCCTGGAGAAGAGAAGGCTCCAGGGAGACTTGAGAGCCCTTTACAGGGCCTAAAGGGGCTCCAGAAGAGCTGGAGAGGGACTGGGGACAAGGCATGAAGGGACAGGACACAGGGAATGGCTTCCCACTGGAAAGAGGATGGGTGGGGATATTGGGAAGAAATTCTTGCCTGTGAGGGTGGTGAGGCCCTCACAGAATTTCCCAGAGAAGCTGTGGCTGTCCCATCCCTGAGAGTGTCCAAGGATTGGGGCTTGGAGCAACCTGGGCTGGTGGAAGGTGTCCCTGCCCATGGCAGGGCGTGGCACTGGGTGGGCTTTAAGGTCCCTCCCAGCCCAAATCAGTGTGGAATTCTATGAAATTCCTCCAGGGAGCAGGAGGACGGAGCAATACCCACCCCTTCCCTCCCTTCTTTTTCCCTCTGAGGTGCTCAAAGTTGTGCCCATACAAATAAATTAAACCTGCCAGGACCTCCCTGACCCGGAGGTTCACCTGCTCCGGCTCCTCTTTGCAGGAAATGGGAAGGGGGGGACCCGGGGGTGGCCAACCAGAAGACCCCCACCAGCCTCCTGCTGACTCCGGAGGGGACCTTCCACAGCTTCGGCTACACCGCCCGCGACTACTACCACGACCTGGACCCTGAGGAGGCCCGCGAGTGGCTCTACTTCGAGAAGTTCAAGATGAAGATTCACAGCACCAGCGTGAGTCCCTGCTCCAGCCTCACACCCCCAGTGTGGTGTGTCCCCAGCCAGGCTGGGGGTTGTAACGCCAGGAAAACCCACCCTGCAGCCCCTTTGAGGGGTTGTGGTTCCCTAGCTGGGCGGCCCCGGGGAAGGTGGATGTGGCTGCTCAGAGGGGATCCAGCTGCTCTGGTGGGCACAGGGGGATGGGCACCCGGCCATCTCCCGGCACCTTGTACGATCCACGTGCTCTTCCTGGCAGGATCTGTCCATGAAGACCGAGCTGGAGGCCGTCAACGGGAAGAAGATGCCGGCACTGGAGGTGTTCGCCCACGCCCTGCGCTTCTTCAAGCAGCACGCGGTGCAGGTGGGCACCTGGGCCGGGCTGGACGGGGCTTGGGGCGACCTGGGACAGGGGGAGGTGTCCCTGCCCGTGGCAGGGTCGGTGGGCTTTGAGGTCGCTCCCAGCCCCACCCATTCCGTGGTTCCCTGCGAGCCCCCCCTCCAGCTGGGGTCACCCGCTGCGTGTCCCGGCAGGAGCTGCAGGAGCAGTGCCCGTCGCTGCCCCAGAGCGGGGCCGTCCGCTGGGTGCTCACCGTGCCCGCCATCTGGAAGCAGCCGGCCAAGCAGTTCATGAGGGAGGCGGCCTACAAGGTGGGGGAGAGGAAGGGGACCCTGCCCGTGGCAGGGGTGGAGGAGCACAGGGTTTAAGGTCCCTTTCAACCCGAGCCAAACCAGGAGTTGTTGGCTGGTTGAGTGGCTGGATAATTCCTTGAGTGGTTGGTTGAGTGGTTCGGTGGGTGGGTGGGTGTTTGAGGGGCTGGCTGAACAGCTGGGTCAGTGGTCGAGTGTTTGCAGGGCTGGTTGGGTTGTTGTTTGGGTGGTGCAGGGGTTGAGTGGGTGGTTGGTTGAGTGGTTGGGTCATTGGTAGGGTGGTTGTTCGATGTTGGGTGGGTGGTTTGGTGCTCAGGTCATGGGTTGGGTGGTTGTTTGGTGGTTGGGACACCCCTGCCCTGACCCCCCATGTCCCCAGGCCGGGCTGGTGTCCCCAGAGAGCCCAGAGCAGCTCCTGATCGCGCTGGAGCCCGAGGCCGCCTCCATCTACTGCCGCAAACTGCGGCTGCACCAGCTCATCGAGCTGAGCGCCCGCCCCCCCCCCAACGGCCTGGAGCCCACCCACCACATCGACTCCAGCTTCAGGCAGGGTGAGCACAGGGACCCCGGGGGGCTGGGGCAGCAGGGGGAGCGGGCAGGGACACAGGGAGTGGGCACAGATCCAGCTGCACATTCCAGGTCTGGAGGGTCCATCTGCTGCCACGACTGATCACCAGAGATCCCCCATCCCCAGAGACCCCCCTATCCCCAGAGACCCTCTGTCCTCTCTGGGATCCAGAACTGGCACCTCAGGCCCTTGCTGGGGTCTGACCCCCCTCTCAATCCTTCTTTTCCACTTTGCCATCTCGTTTTCCCTATCATTTTCCCTTTTCTGGTACTTTATCAAATTCCAGCAAAATCCCAGCCTGGGGATTCCCTCCCACAGCATCACCCAGGGATGGGGTGACTGAGGCTGTGGGGGGCAGGACCCCCTGCCCAGGGGGCCTCTCCCCTCCCTGACAGCCCTGGGAAGCCCCAAATTCCCTTTTCCCCCTCCCCAAATCCCCATGGCCAGGGCACATGAAGGCTGCTTTCCTGGGAAGCCCCTAAGCTGTGTGTCCCCCCTGCCACCCTGGGCCACCTCCAGGGAATGTCTCCCCCTCCCAGGTGGGAGCCTGGGGGTCTCCTCACTCCAACCACAGAACTGGGACTTTACTGGGACAGCACCAGTTTGCCCAGTTGGGACGGGATGTGCTGTGGCCACAGCCTGGTCCCAGGTGGAAATTTGGGGTCCCCTCAGATTTATGGGGGGCCTGAGCTGCTCCCAGGGTAAGGAACTGGTGTGCCCTGGCCATCCCGGCATGCCAAAAATATCCCGGGACAACCCCACCTCCTCCGATGGGTCCCGGCCCTTCCGGGCGGCTTTGATGTCCCTGGGACTGGGGAGGGGGGCACAGGAAACCCCACCCTGGCTGGGGAGGCACGGGGGGTGGGATCCCGGCAGGGCACCGGGCAGGCTGGACCAGCCCCCCGCGTGGGGCCGGGCGGGGTGGGGGTCCCGGCAGGGGGAGCGGCCACCAGCGCTGCCGGTACAGCCCCTCACGGCGCTCGGCAGGGATCCCGGGGGGGATCCCACGGCAGGGGGTTGTTCCCGGGGGACGGGGGTGCTCCCGGCCCCGCTGCAGACCCCTGGCTCTGCCCGCAGCCCGGGAGCAGCTCCGGCGGTCCCGGCACAGCCGCACCTTCCTGGTGGAGTCGGGCGTGGGGGAGCTGTGGTCGGAGATGCAGGCAGGTACGAGGGGGACACAGGCGGGGACCCCCACGATGCTGCCCCGCCCCCGGGGTCACCCTGGGAGAGGGGATGGAGGGCTGGAGGTCCCCTCTGTGTCAGAGCCCCCACCAAGCACCCGAGGGTGCCTCTGCCACGGGGGTGACACGGCTCCGGTCTGGCCATTGACCCCCCAGATGATGCCGGGGAGGGCGGGACCCCTCTGCCACCATCCCATCCCATCCCTTCATCCCTCTGCCCTCCCAGCCCCTCCAAACTCCTCCAGCTGTTTTTGGGGGCGGGAAAAACACCCCAAACCCACATATTTTGGTTTGAGCTGCGTTTTCCCGGGGAAGGGGCATCCCTGTGTCCCTGTGGCCGCTCCCAGCCCAAGGGCTGGGTGCTCCGGGGGGTCATCCCGGACCAGGACCCCCACCCGGCCACTGTCCCCACCCACAGGTGACAGGTACATCGTGGCGGACTGCGGCGGGGGGACGGTGGATTTGACCGTGCACCAGATCGAGAAGCCGCAGGGGACGCTGAAGGAGCTGTACAAAGCCTCGGGTGGGCTGCGGACCCCAAGCCCACCCCAAAATCCCTCCCGGCACGCCCCGCCCGTCGCCGGGGGTCGTGTCTGGGGATGTGGCACCACCCGGTGGCGACGGCGAGAACTGCGGGGGGGGACAGGGGACAGAGGGGACACGAGTGGGGACAGGGAGGGGATTGGTGGGACAGGGTGGGATGGGAGGGGACAGAGGGAAGGGGGTGGATTTGGGGGGACAGAGTGGGACGGGGGTGGATTGGCGGGGACACGAGGTGGGACAGGGGAGCTGGATTGGGAGGGGATGAAGTGGGACAGGAGAGAGGGATTGGGGGGTTCAGGTAATAGAGGGGAGCTGGATCGGGAGGTTCAGGTAGGACAAGGCACTGGGTTATGGGGAGACAGAGGGACAGGGGCCTGGGGTGGAAGGGGTTAAGGTGGGAGCGGAGTTCAGGTGGGACCAGGGTCCTGGGTTATGGGGTGATGGGGGGCTGGGCTGGGGGGGCTCAGGGTGCTGGGGTGATGGGATCGAGTCCTGGGCAGGGGCTCCCCCCATGTCCCTCCACCCTGATCCCCTGCGGCAGAGCCCCGGTGGGACTGCAGGTTGGGGGACTGCATGGAAAGTGCCCCGGGGTTGGCCAGGTGATGCTGGGGGGCTCTGGGGACATGGGGATGGGCCCCATGGGGATGGGGGGGACCTGGGGACACGGTGATGGGGTACATGGGTGCCACAGCGCCGCTGCCTGACCCAACACCCGTCACCCTTTGTCCTCAGGGGGTCCCTACGGGGCCGTGGGGGTGGACCTGGCGTTCGAGAAGCTGCTGTGCCAGATCTTCGGTGAGGATTTCATCAGCACGTTCAAGGCGCGGCGCCCCGCGGCCTGGGTGGACCTGATGATCGCCTTCGAGGCGCGGAAACGCGCGGCAGCCCCGTCCCGCTCCAGCCCCCTCAACATCTCCCTGCCCTTCTCCTTCATCGACTTCTACCGCAAACACCGCGGCCACAACGTGGAGACCGCGCTCAGGAAGAGCAAGTGAGGGGGGAGGGAGGGGCGGGGGGACTCAGGGACAGGGAGGGGCATGAAGTGGGGAGGGGGAGAGGGAAAGAGCAGGGAGTGGGCTGGGGAGGACAAGGTGGGACAGGGGTGGTGGGCTAGGGGGCAAGGTGGGACAGGGACTCAGGTGGGATGGGGGTGGTGAGCTGGGAGGTCTCAGGTGGGACAGGGCTTCAGGTGGGATGGAGTGCTGGGCTGGGGGACTTCAGGTGGGACAAGGGTGGTGGACTTGGGGGTGACAGAGGGACAGGGGTGCTGGTCAGGTGAGGACCAGGTGGGGCCCCCTGTTAGAGGCCCCCCCCAGACCCCCTGTCCCTCCCCAGTGTGAACTTCGTGAAGTGGTCATCCCAGGGGATGCTCCGGATGTCCCCAGAGGCCATGAACGAGCTCTTCCAGCCCACCATCACCCACATCATCCAGCACATTGGTGCGTCTGCGCTGGGACCCCCAGCCCGAGGAGCCTCCCTGATCCTGATCTTAGGACCCCCTCTGTCCCTGGGACCCCTCCCTATCCTTGGAAACCCCTTGTCCCTGTGAGCGTTCCATCCCTGGAACTTCTCCCATCCCTGGGAACCCCCCTTGTCCCTGTGATCCCCTTCCATCCCTAGGACCCCCCATCTCTGGGAGCACCCCATCCCTGGGGCTTTCCCTGTCCCCATGAGCCCTCCATCCCTAGAACCTCTCCCCTCCCTGGAACCTCTCCCATCCCTGGCAGCCCCCAGTCCCTGGGACCCCATCACCCCTCAGCTTCCCCAGGGCAGCCCCAAAGGGGCTCAGCTCCCGACCCCTCTCCCCCCAGACTCGCTCCTGCAGAAGCCGGAGGTGCAGGGCGTCAAGTTCCTGTTCCTGGTGGGGGGCTTCGCCGAGTCCCCGGTGCTGCAGCAGGCGGTGCAGGCGGCCTTCGGCACCTCGTGCCGCGTGGTGGTGCCGCAGGACGTGGGGCTCACCATCCTCAAGGGGGCCGTGCTCTTCGGCCTCGACCCCTCGGTGGTGCGGGTGCGCCGCTCGCCCCTCACCTACGGCGTGGGCGTCCTCAACAAGTTCGTGGAGGGGAAGCACCCGCGGGAGAAGCTGCTGGTCAAGGAGGGCAGGAACTGGTGCACCGACGTCTTCGAGAAGTTCGTGTCCGTGGACCAGTCGGTGGCGCTGGGGGAGGTGGTTCAGCGCAGCTACTGCCCCGCGCGGCCCGGCCAGCGCCGCACCCTCATCAACATCTACTGCAGCGCCCGCGACGACGTGCTCTACATCACCGACCCCGGCGTGCGCCACTGCGGCACCATCAGCCTCCAGCTGGACGGGGACGGCGGGGACGCCGCGCGGGGCCGCAGGGAGATCCGCGCCAGCATGCAGTTCGGGGACACTGAGATCAAGGTCACCGCCGTGGACACCCGCACGGCGCGCACGGTGCGCGCCACCATCGACTTCCTGTCCAACTGAGAGCCCTGGGACTGCCACCATCGACTTCCTGTCCAACTGAGAGCCCTGGGACTGCCACCATCCACTGCCTGTCCAACTGAGAGCCCTGGGACTGCCACCATCGACTGCCTGTCCAACTGAGAGCCCTGGCACTGCCACCATCGACTTCCTGTCCAACTGAGAGCCCTGGCACTGCCACCATCGACTTCCTGTCCAACTGAGAGCCCTGGCACTGCCACCATCGACTGCCTGTCCAACTGAGACAGCCTGGGACTGCCACCATCGACTGCCTGTCCAACTGAGAGCCCTGGCACTGCCACCATCCACTGCCTGTCCAGCTGATCATCCACCATCACTGCCTGTCCAACTGAGACAGCCTGGGACTGCCACCATCAACCAGGACCTGCCACCATCAACCAGGACCTGCCACCATTGACTGCCTGCTATCATTGACCAGGACCTGCCACCATTGACTGCCTGCCCAACTGAGAGCCCTGGCACTGCCACCATTGACCAGGACCTGTCACCATCAACTTCTTCTCCAGCTGACTCCCTGTCATTGTGGTGACCCCCAGGACCTGCCACCATCAGCTTCCTCCCCAGATGAGACTCCCCGTCGCTGTGGGGACCCCGAGGATCTGCCACCCACTTGGTCACTCCAGCTGAGACCCCCCCTCAGCAGGACCTGACCTGCTACCGCTGATTTCCCTCACAGCTGAGACCCTGTGTTTATATATGTGTATATGTTACATGTCCCCAGCACTCCCAGCCAGCACAGAGACAGTGACGTGAGGGGGACACGACCCCCACCCTCCCCCAGCCCCCCTTTAACTGGAATTTGCCCCCCTCCCCACCCTGGACTGTTTGGGATCATCCCTGGACACCCCTCCCCACACCCCAGGGAGCACAAATCTCTGTCCCTGACCCCCCCAGCCTCGGGGTGTCCCCCCACCCTGACTCCCAGGGGATTAATGGAGGGGAACTGGGCTCCAGCCCCTTCCCAGTGGGATTTTATTATTTCCCAAGGTGGGATTTTGTACTTTACCCCCCCTCATGCATCCCGAGGTATGTAAGATAACTCTATATTTATATATATATATATATATATATAGGCACATAAAGCCTCCTGTTGCTTTAGAAACTTCTCCTGGTCCTTGTACCACGAGGAAAAAAAAAAGAGAAAAAGAGGGGAAAAAAGAGGGAAAAAAATAACAACAAGAGGCAGGAAAAGAGAGGAAAAGGGGGAAATAAAGCCCAACGGGAGGAGAACGAGGAGGAGAACGAGGCGCTGGCAGCAACACGAGGACACGGACGGGGCCACGGAGCCACGGGGGCCACGGCTCCCCCACTCCTGCCCCAGCTCAGCTCCACATTCCACAGGCAAAATCCCTCCCCGGGGGAAAAAAAATCCCGCCCCGGGAGGCAAAACTCCCCCTCCCCCCCAAGATCCTGGGGCGCTCCGGGCCGCGGGGAGGGGGAAGCGGCAGCAGCAGCAGCAGCAGCTGGAGGCAGCAATCGGGGTCCCCGCCCGCCCTGGGGACCCCCCCGCGCTGTGGGGACCCCCCGACCCCGCGCTGGGGCCGGGGGGGCTCAGTCGAAGCCGTGCCAGTCGCTCTGCTCCGAGTCGTACTCCAGCTCGGCGCCCACGCAGCGCACCCCGTCCAGCAGCATCGGCGTCCCGTGGTGCCGGTCTGGGGACAAGCGACGGCCTTGGGGACAGCCCCGGGGACACCGCGGGGGCCGCTCCCCGTCGTTCAAGGGGGGAAAACGCCCCTTTTTGGGGCGGGGCCGGGGAGCTTTGGGGCTCGCCCTCCATCGCAGGGGACGCCCGTGGGCGGTGCCGGCCGCGAGGAGGGGACGCTGTGTCACCTGTGCCCTGTCCCTGTGTCACCGCCCTGGGCACCGCCAGGCGTGGGGGGGCACGGGGGGTGGGGGATGGCCGGGATGTGGGGTGGGGGGACACGGGGAGCTGGCGGGAGGGACCCTAGCCCTGCCAGGGTCCCAACCCTGGGGATGTCGGGATCACCCTGCACCCCTTCCCAGGGTGTCCTCAGCCCTCAGGGCGGGGACTTTTGGGGTGAAAATCACCCGGTTTAGGCACTTTCTCAAGGGGTGGGACACTTGAACTGGGAGAACTGGGGCAGAGGGGCCGTGCTGGGGCAGAGCAGAGCGCCCAGCTCCGCGTTCCCGCTGCTGCTGGGAGGGGCCCCGGGACCCCCCGAGGCGCTGCCCCTTACCCATGACCCGGGCCTGGACCGTGACCTTGACGTGGCCGTGGCTGGGGCTGGCCAAGAGCAGCTCCTCCCTCAGCACCCCCTCCTTGTGGGCCGTGTACTCACAGTGCACGCTGAGCCCTGCTGACACACAGGGGGCTGAGCCCTGCCTGCACCTTCCCTGCCCTGCCTGCACCTTCCCTGCCCTGCCTGAGCCCTGCCTGCACCTTCCCTGCCCTGCCTGAGCCCTGCCTGCACCTTCCCATGTCCATCCCATCCTTCCCATGTCCATCCCACCCTTCTCATGCCCATCTCACCCTTCCCAAACCCTTCCCATGCCCCTCCCATGCCCATCCCACCCTCACTGCCCACCCTCAGCAGAAGCCCCCCAGAGCTGGGGGAGAAGAGTAAGGGAGGACCCTGCCCATCCCAGAGCCAGGCTGGGGGCCCCCAGCCCACCCTGAGACCCCAGGACCACCAGGATGGGATCTGGCCCATGGCCAGGCACTCCTGGCACTGCTCCAGCCCGGGATCCGGGAAGCAGAGCCCGCAGTGGAGCCCTGGTGTCCCCAGGGCCTCGGGGACAGACACCACAGTGAGTGCCCACACCCCCTGGAGCTGCTGGGGGTCCCCAGGGGCTCCTGGCCCCGCTCCCAGCAGTGCCAGCCCAGGCTTACAGCTCCAGACAGAGCTGGAGAGCTTTCCTGGGATGGAGCCAGCAGCGTGTGGGAAGAGCCACAGCCCAGCCCTGGCCCTGCTGCCAGGAGGGGACACCCAGGGGACAGGGATGTGGGAAAGAGGGGACACCCAGGGACAGGGATGTGTGACCCTGGCTGTGTCAGAGCTGGATGGGACCGGAGAGGTGGCCCAAGGGACCCGCTGTGTCCTCGGAGGACACCCCGTGGCCCCAGAGAGCTGTCCCCTCAGCCCAGGGTGACACTGAGCTGGCCCAGTGCCACCACACACAGTCCCACTCCCATCTGCCGTGGATGTGCCAGTGCCAAACTGTGCCCAAACCAGAGCCTGGCACCCCCTGCAGCAAACCCTGTCCCTGTCCCAAACCCCATCCCTGTCCCTGCCCCCCTGGAATAAACCCTGTCCCAAACCCCATCCCTGTCCCTTGTCCCCCCAACCCATGGGCTCCGACCCAAACCCACTTCTGTGGGGACAGGAGGGGACAAGGGGCACAAACAAGGGGGGGCCACTTTACCTTCTGGCAGGGAGGTGACACTGAGGACCCGCAGGTTGGGGTTGGGGACAGGCAGGGCACACACGTCCCCCTCCCCGCTCTGCTCCAGGGGCAGCAGGAAGGTGATCTCGTACTTGTGCAGGATCTTCAGGAATCCCACCTGGAAGGGGGGACATCCCCCTGATTAATCCAGGGGGCATTCGTGTCCCAAATAATTGGGAAAACATAACAAACACGATTATTTTTGACAAAAAAAAAAAAAAGCAGCAAAAATACCCAGTTTTGGGCAAAACTCTGGGAACAACAACCCGAGGGTGTCACGGGAGCAGGGGGCAGTTTTCCAGCACGAGCCATTCCTGGTCTGGAAAAGCCAGGAGCGTGTCTTGCCATGGAATTTCTCCCCTGCCATGATGAAAAGCAGAGCCCTCCGGAGCAGCAGGCCTTGGAAAAAGCCATTTTGGGAAGGGAGCAGCGAGCTGGGTGGGACACAAACCACTCCTGAGGGACAACCGGAGCAGAGCCAGGATCCAGCACTGCCAGAGGGTGAATCCCCCCAGCCCCCTGTCCTGGGCTCATCCCCAGCACCTGGGGAAGGGAAGGTCCAGGGAGAGCTTGAGCCCCTTGCAGGGCCTAAAGGGGCTCCAGGAGAGCTGGAGAGGGACTGGGGACAAGGCATGGAGGGACAGGACACAGGGAATGGCTTCCCACTGGAAAAGGGGAGATTTGGGTGGAATATTGGGGAGAAATTCTTCCCTGTGAGTGTGGGGAGGCCCTGGCAATGGATTTCCCAGAGAAGCTGTGGCTGCCCCTGAATCCCTGGAAGTGTCCAAGGGTGGGTTGGACGGGGCTTACAGCAACCTGGGCTGGTGGGAGGTGTCCCTGGTGGGAGGTGTTCCACGTTTTCTCCCCACACCATTCCATGATTTATCCACTTCAAACCCTGGAAAACCCTTTGGCACCAGCCTTAAGGAGCCTTTTCTCCAGAGGGCCTGGAACACCCTACACCTGCTGGCCCTGTCCTGGACCCCCATATCCCCATCAGGGACCCCTGTGGCCCTACCAGGAACCTCCATAACCCCACCAGGGACCCCCTGTCCCTGAGCTGGTGTGGGGGCTCTGCCATCCCCCCCACGTCCCTCTGTCCCCAGCTGTGTGTGGGGCTGTGTCCCCGTGTCCCTGAGGTGGCTGTGTCCCTGTGCCCCTGAGGTGGCTGTGGGGCTGTGTCCCCGTGCCCCTGAGGTGGCTGTGTCCCGTGCCCAGGCGCACGTGCCGTGCCGGGGTGCCGGTCACGCGTCGCGCGGGGAGGAGGAGCAGCCGCCCCCGGGGAGCCGCTTTCGGGGGCAGCTCTGGGAGCCTCCCCTGCACTCAGGCTCTGACTCAGCGCTGCTGGAACACGAGGTGCCACCGTGGGGGGCTGGCTGTCCCCCTGCTGTCCCCCCCGCTGTCCCCGCCCCGGGATCGCAGTGGGACCATCTGGGACGACCCTCGGGAAGGGGGTGAGACCCAGCTCAGCCCCCAGTGTCACGTGTCCACAGTGCCACGTGTCCCCAGAGCCACCCCACCAACCCAGCACCCAAACCTGCTCCAGAGATGGACTGGGGGAAATGGGAGAATCCAGAGCCAACACCCACTGGTGCCCTCAGGAGCGGCACAGCCACCCCTGGGGGAGCACACGGGATTTGGGGGGCTCCCAGGGCCCCCCAGGGTGTGACAGGGAGCTCGTGGGGTGTGAACACCCCCAGGGGTGGGAACTGTAAGGACACGGAGCGATGGAAACATGCCCAGAGCCCCCCAGGATGGCCCCAGTCCCTCTGGGGGGGCTGGGAGAGCCCAGGGTGAGCCCAGGGTGACCCAGCCCCCCCTGTCCCCATCCCTGTGCCCACCTTGACCAGGAAGCTGCCGTCCTTCTCCTGGGTCACCATCACGGCCGAGTCGTGGAGCTGCTCCTGGAAGTGCACGTGGGCCCCCTCGGGGGGGGGGCTGGGGGCGAAGCGCACGGAGCCCCCCTTGCCCTTGCTGCCTGCAAGGGGGTCACAGAGCCCCTGGTCACAGCCCCCTCCGTGTCCCCACGGGCTGGGACCCCCCACCAGGGGCTGGGGGGGTCATGGACCGAGGCTGGAGTGTCCAGGGGCTGGGGACACGGGGACACAGCGACACAGGGAGCAGGGCCCTGCCACCACTCGATGCCCAGAGGGTCCCCAAGGGTCCCTAAGTGTCCCCGAGGGTCCCTGGGCTCAGCAGCATCTGTTCCATTCTGTGACCTCCTTGGGATGAGTGGTGATGGGGGGGGGACACGGGGGACCAGTGGCCACAGTGAGCTCCTCTCTGAGCAGTGACCTGCCACCAGATGATGCCCAGAGGGTCCCCAAGGGTCCCCAAGCGTCTCCTGGGCTCGGCAGCATCTGTTCCTCTCCCCAGCTGGGCCCTCCTCGGGTGGCACAAGGCCAGGGGGCAGGACAGCCTTGCACCCAGCCCAGGGCCAGGATTTTGGGGAGCAGCCCCCAAGCCCCCCGGCCCTGGGAGGTGACACAGGACCCCCAGGCACAACCCCCGGGCGATTTTGCACGTGCTCGGCTCCATCAGGCTCTGTGGGTGCCTCTCCACGGAAAAGCAGTCTCTCTTCCTCCTCCTCCTCCTCCTCCTCCTCCCCCCCCCGAGCCCCCGGCCCCGCTGCCTCCATCTGGCAGAGCCGGCAGCAGATTGTCGCCTCCTTGCCTGAAGAAAAGGCTCTTTGTGCTGGAAGCGCCGGGAATCCCGGGATTTAATGACCCGGCATTGTTCAGCCGGAACAGCGCGGCCGAAATCCCTTCCACACGCAGGGACAGCGAGGGACACGGCGAACAAGGGACGTGGCCACACACGGGGACACGCGGGGGACGCCCTGTGACAGGGCACGGCCACCCCCTGCCCCGCTGACCCCTCCCGGGCGCCACGATCCCAAGGATCTCGGCGGATCCCACATCCCGATCCCAGGGCGGGGACGGGATCGCTCCCGGCCCGGGGCTGCCGGCGGGAATCCCGGTGCCAAGCCCTGGCTCGCGGCAGGGATAATCCCAAAGGAGGCTTTGTCACACGGGAGGACAGGTGACACCTGGGGACAGCACCCGGGGGGCCACAGGGCACGGCCAGGGAGCCCCGAGGCAGAGGGAGGCTGCGGGAGGATGGAGGCGGCACCGCGGGCAGCTGGCCCGGCATCCCGCTGGCCCATCCTTGTGACACGGAGCGGCTGCCCCGGGCCACGTCCCTGTCCCGGCTCGGGAGGGGACAGCGCGGACCTGGCAGGTGGGGACAGCCCTGGAGGAGCCTGGGGGGTGACAGTGGCACTGGGGGGGGTCACAGGTCGGGGGTGACAGGCAGGAAATCACCTGGATCTGGCATTTCCCCAACGTGCCCACGGCAGGGGAGTCCCCAGGACCTGTCGGACCCTCGGAGTCACCGTGCCCCCAAAATGAGGACACCCAGGTGTCCCCAGGGGCTCAGCCCCCCCGCAAAGGGCCCCCCAGCCCCTCTCCTGTTGCTCCTGCAGCTCCTGTTGCTCTCCAGCCTCGTCCTGCCGGGAAGCCGGAGGAGGCTCCGCAGGGAGCGAAGCCATCGGGATGGAGCCGCCCCAGCCCTGTTCCCCCGGGATTCTGGGAGCACAAAGGAGCCAAATCCCACCCAGGAATGGCACAAAGAGCCCCCTCGGGCTTTGTCTCCCCGAGGGCCTTCGGGGGGCCCCTCCAGACCCCCCAGTCTGGCACTGCCAGAGCCTGTCAGGAGGCACTGGGATCCAGGAGTAACCTGGGAATGGGGGGTGCCAGGGCTGTGCCTGTCCCTGGAGGGGGCAGCAGGGACCTCCTGGACAGCAGGAATGTCCCCCTGGTCCCCTGTGAGCATTGACCTGCTCATCCGCTCCGTGGGCTGTTCCAGGGAACCCTGAATCCCTGGATACAGGCAGAGGGCCCCCCCAGCATGGACAGGGCCAGGGGACCCCAAAATCTCCACGCAGTCCCTGAATCCCTGGATAGAGACAGAGGGACCCCCCAGCAGGGCAGAGGGGACCCCAAAAGCTCCAGGCAGCTCTCGAACTCCTGGATATGGAAAAGGGACGCTCCAGCAGGATTACGGGCAGAGGGAAACCCCGGGAAGGCCACGGACAGGGGGGAGCCTGGGGAAGGGACACCAAAGCAGGAGCCTGGCCCTGGATCCCGGCAGGGATCCCGGGAGGGGACACAGGACCCGGACTCACCCCTGCCGGCCGTCGCCATGTGTGTCCCCTTTTGTCCCCTCTGCTGTCCGTGTGTCCAACTTCAATTGCTGGAGCCGGGGGGCATCGTCTGGGAACGGAGCTGGAGCAGGGAGCGGGCAGGGAATGAGCAGGGAGTGGGCAGGGAACTCTCCCCGTGGCTCTGGGAAAGCGGGGATTCCCCCCCTCCCCTCTCACCCCCCGTGTCCCTCCCTGTCCCCCCGTTGCTCCCCATCCCCTCTCACCTCCCGGTGTCCTCTCTCACCACCCCCGTCCCCCATCCCCCGTTGCCCCCGAGCCCCTCTCACGCCGCGGTGTCCCCTCTGACCGCCGTGCCCCCTCGGCCCCGTTCCCCATCCCGTCTCACCCCGTTCCGTCCCCTCCGCGGCCGCTCCGCTCCCGGTCCCCGCTTCCCGCTGCTCGGCCCCGCCCCTCTCTCCCATTGGCCAGCACTCCCACAGCGCCGCTCCCATTGGTCGATGATCCCACTGGTCCCGCCTCCGGTCCCCGCCCCCAACGGCCGTCCCCGAGCGGGGCGGGGGCGGGGCTGTGGCCGGGGGCGGGGCCGGGGCGGTGGCAGCCAATGGGAGGCGGGTGCGCTCGGCGAGGGCGCTCCCTGCGGGTGGAGGGGAAACTGCGGGGGGAGGGACCCCGGTGCGCGGGGCCGTTGCCATGGAAACCGGGAGATGGACCGGGCTGGGGGCTCCGGCACATATCGCGACAGCGCCGCGACACCGTGGGGAGGGACCGACCGCTGCTGGGCGCGGGGGCACGCGGGGGGGCAGGGCTGGTGATGCCATCCCATCCCACCCCATCCCATCCCATCCCATCCCACCCCATCCCATCCCATCCCATCCCATCCCATCCCATCCCACCCCATCCCACCCCATCCCATCCCCACTCCATCCCACCCCATCCCACCCCACCCCTGGATACAGCTGTGCCTGGGAACAACCAGCCCCATCCCTCCTATCCTGAGGGATCTCCCAGGGTCTGGTTTACTCCATCCTGACCTCCATGTCCCTCCCTGCTGGCTCAGGGGACATGTGACAGACGGGGGGACAGGAGGGACAGGGGGTTCATGTCACTCCCGGGGGGCTGAGCTGACCCCCCAGCCCAGCAGCTCCAGCTGCCAGAACACTTAAAACATTGGGATCCACATTCCCAGGGATCCACGGACATCCTGGGGGAGCGGGACCAGGGGTCACACTGAGGGACAGGGGACACCCTGAGGGGACAGCAGGGTCCCAGTGAGGGATGTCACCTGTCCCCTGTACCTCACTGTGAGCCCTGGCCCTGCTCCCCCAGGATATCCGTGGATCCCTGGGAATGTAGATGCCGGATGCAGTGAGGGACAGGGGACACGTGAGAGACAGGGGGTTCATGTCCCCCCCAGGGGGCTCAGCTGACCCCCCAGCCCGGCAGCTCCAGCTGCCAGAATGCTTAAAAAAAACAGGATCCACATTCCCAGGATCCAGAGAGCCCAGCTGTGTCCTCACCTCTGGCACGGGGACACCACACACGGGAGGGGACACGCAGGGCCTGGCTCGTCCCCTGCCAGGACACCCCACATCCACATTGGCCAAAACCATTGGATTTTCCCTAAAAGCTGCCCCTGGCACAGGGATGGTCCCCAGTGCCACTCCCAAACATGACCCCACAGGCAGGGATGTCACCTGGGGGGGACAGGAGGTGGAATGGGGGACACCAGGGGGTCCTTCAGTGCCAGGCTGAGCTGTGGGGTCCCTGTCACCCCCCACATTGTCACTGTTCCCCCAGCCCCGTGTGTTTGGGTCCCTGTCCCCCCCAGCCCCGTGTGCTGGGTCGGATTTGCTCTGGGATTACGACAACAAACGGATTTGGGAAGGGATTAAATCCCAGAGTCCGCTGGGCTGAGCAGCCAACGGAGTCCCCAGGGGGTCCCCATGCTGCTGGCCCTTCCCTGATGTCCCTATGATGATGTCCCTATGCTGATGTCCCCACACCAGTGTCCCCACACCAGAGTCCCCACGCTGTCCCTGAGCTGCCATCCCCACACAGATGTTCCCCCTCCCACACTGATGTCCCCACAATGATGTCCCCACCCTGCTGTCCTCACGCTGATGTCCCCACAGTGTCCCTATGCTGATGAACCCACACTGGCATCCCCACGCTGATGTCCCCCCTCCCATTCTGATGTCCCCACATTGTCCCCACACTGCCATCCCCCCACGCTGTCCCCACAGTGTCCCCCCACTCCTGCTGGGGACAAACCCACCCCACAGCACCTCTAGCTCATCCCAGCGACCATGCAGGACTTTAATTCCCAGTGTGGGAGGTGAATGGAGCGGGAGCCCGGGGGGGGCACTGGGGGGCACTAGGAGGCCGTTCCGTGGTGGAGGGTGTCCCGAGGGTCCCTCAGCGCTGCTGGCCCCGTCCCTGGCCCCGTCCCTGGCCCCGTCCCTGCTGCAGCCGCCGGCTCAGGTCGTCGATCCGCAGGTTCTTGAGGAGCAGGAGCTGCTCCAGCCGCTCCACCTTCGCCTGCAGGATCTGGGGGAACCCCCCGCGGGGTCTGGGGGGGTGGGAGGCACCTCCACCCGCCCCAGACCCATCCCGAGGGGTCTGTCTGGGACAGGGAATGTGGGGACAGGGAATGTGGGGACAGGGAGGTTTCACCTTTACTGGGGGGACACTGAGGCAGGGGAGGAGCAGCGACAGATTTGGGGTCCCAATCGCAGCCCCCACAACCCACATCGAAATAACCCCCCCCCAAAACAGGAGTCCCAGTCCCCCCCAGGTCCCAGGGACAACTTCACTCCAGATATCCCACAAAATTCCTGGTCCCCTCATCATTTTACATCTCGGATGTTTTCCAGCAGAAAAAAAAACCGATCTTAGGCAAAAAAAAACCGATTTTAAGGGTGAAGCCGCCCCCAAAACCCACCCAGAGGGGAAAGGGGGATTGCTGGAGCGTCGGGATGGCCCCGAGGCCGCGGGGAGGGGCCGTGGGAGCGCCAGGAACAGGGAATGAGGGCACGGCCGGGTGGAAAGGAGGGAAAGGGAAAAGCTGGTCCCAGAGGGGAGGCATCTGCAGGGAGAGGCTTTCCGAGGGATTTCACGGGATAAACGCGGGGAAAACGCCGTCTGGCGCGGCGGGAGGGGGGACAGCGCCGTGTCCCGCCGTGCCCCCCCGGCGGGATCGGCACTGCCCGGCTCACCTGGATGGTCTCCTGCGCCAGCCGCAGCGCCTGCTCCCGCTCCACCAGCTGCAGGCGCGTGGCAGCGTCCCCCGGCACCCCCACGGGGGGCTTCGGCACCCCCCTGGGGCGGGACAGCCCCGTGGGGACGAGCACTGACCCCTCCTGCGGCCCCGGAGCTGCACAGGCTGGGGAGGATCCTCCCACATCCTGCTCCCCCCTCCCCACGGCTCAGCGCTCCCCTGCCCACCTCGGGGACCCCCAGGGACACACGGGGACCCCCAGACCCCCACGGGGAGCCCCAGGGACACAGGGGGACCCCCAGAGCCACACGAAGCACCTCCAGACTACTGCAGGGACCACCAAGGCTACATGGGGACACCCAGACCCTCACAGGGGCCCCACCCCCAGAGCCACATGGGCCCCCAGAACCACACGGGAACCCCTCGACCCCCACAGCGACCCCCAAATCTGCACGGGGACCCGCAAAGCCACATGGAAACTCTCAGAGACCCACATGGGTCCCCCAGAGCCCTACAGGGACCCTCTGGCTCCCATGGGGCCACTCAGAGCCCCACAGAGACCCCCCAGACCCCAAAAGGATGCCCTAGACCCTCAGAGGGACCCCCACACCCCCTCAGGGACCCCCTGACCCACAGAGTGACCCCCAGGGCCCCAGAAGGGGCACGTCCCCTGGCCAGCCCTTACCTGGCAGTGCCCTCCTGGGAGTAGCCCCCTCCCACGTCACTCCTGCCCTTGGGATGGCCTGGAAAACCCAGCAAGGGCTTTGTCACCCTCCCAAACACCTCTGACCCCTCCCCTGCCCCTCAGGGCTCCCAGGGGTATTTTTGGGGTGTCCCAGGGCTGGCTGAGTCCCTTCCTGGCGACCACAAAAGTCACGGTGAGGGGAATTTGGGACCTCCTTCCCCGCAGCCCTACCTGTGTCCAGGTATCCACTCTCCTCTGGCACTGCCTGAGCTCCTGGGGGCTGCAGGGAGATGGGAAAACTGGGAGAGGCAGGAAAACACCTGGCACACCTGGCCAGGAACTGAGGGGGCCCTGGGGACACCCACACCCTGTCATGGGCAGGGACACTTCCCACCAGCCCAGGTGGCTCCAGCCTGGCCTTGGACACGCCTAGGGATCCAGGGGCAGCCACAGCTTCTCTGGGTACCCTATGTCAGGGCCTCCCCACCCTCACAGCCAGCAATTCCTTCCCAATATCCCATCTGTCCCTGCCCTCTGGCAGTGGGAAGCCATTCCCTGTGTCCTGTCCCTCCATGCCTTGTCCCCAGTCCCTCTCCAGCTCTCCTGGAGCGCCTTTAGGCCCTGCCAGGGGCTCTCAGGTCTCCCTGGAGCCTTCTCTTCTCCAGGGGAACCCCCCCAGCTCTCCTAGCCTGGCTCCAGAGCAGAGGGGCTGCAGAATCCTGGAATGGGTTGGGTTGGAAGGTGCTGTAAATCCCACTGATTCCAACCCCCTGTCACGGGCAGGGACACCTTCCACTCTCCCAGGTTGCTCCAAGCCCCGCCCAGCCTGGCCTGGGACACTGGCGGGGATGGCAGGAGGTGGCCCGGGACCCCCTGGTGTCCCCCCCGGGCACTGCCCACCTGGCCGGCCCCGCCCGTGCCGTGGCTCCGTCCCTGCCTCTCCTCGATCCTGTCCCGCAGCAGCAGCAGCACCTGCTCCGCCGTTCCCGGCTGGCTCTGCACCAGCTGCCGGATCAGCTCGTCCGGGACCCGCAAATTCAGCTTACTCAGCACCTTCCTGAAACGGGGGGGGGCAAAGAAACACCGAGGGGGGAGCAGAGGGGGCAGAGGGGCAGGGACTCAGTTGCCTAAAATCGGAGAAATGTTCTCTGGACAGTTTTTGATACGTTTTATATGATGGAGATTATATAGAATCTAGATTATTTTATATGTTATAAATATAAAAATACGAGACATATGAATTATATATTATAATATATTAATACCATGTCGTATAATATTATATAACCTAGTATACTGCGGATTAATATAATATATAAGATATTCATATAGTATATTATGGAAGTTAATATATAACGTAATATATTAATACGAATACATTAATACATTAATATACAATATACGATATACCTTATAATATGGTATATATTAGATTGTATATATTATATACATTAGATTGTATAGATTATCTATATTATTTATAACGTAGATTTTAAGGCATCAGCTCCCTACCGCAGCCCCCCAGGGTGGGACACTGAGGGGGCACAGCGCTCCCGGGGGGGGAGCATCGGGACAGGTCGGGACCCTCAGAGGGCACAGGGGGTGGGTGGAAGCGGGAGGGCAGCGTGGGGCTGCAGGGGGTCCCCCGGCCGTACCTGTTGAGGTGCCCCCAGTTGGCGAGTTTCTGCGCGGTGGAGCTGGCGGGGACGAAGCTGTGCAACTCCACCAGGGAGGGGAAGAAGAACTTCACCACCTCGGCCGCGAGCACTGCGGGGGCACAGCGGGCAGGGCTGGGGGGCGGCACCCGGGACTCCCCGCCCAGCCCGGAACGGGAGCACCCCCGGTCCCTCCCGGCGGCCCCCCCGGCCCACCCCCGTCGCTGAAGTCGCGGGCGATGTTCCTGCGGGGCCGGGACAGCGGCACCGTGTCCAGCCAGCGGTACAGGGCCCGCAGCGCCGGGGCCGGGGCCGCGTCCGCCATGAGCGGCGTCCTGCTGCCATGGCAACGGGGGCGGGGCTAAACATGAGCGTCCTGCTGCCATGGCAACGGGGGCGGGGCCAACAGAGCGTCCTGCTGCCATGGCAACGGGGGCGGGGCTAAACATGAGCGTCCTGCTGCCATGGCAACGGGGGCGGGGCCAACAGAGCGTCCTGCTGCCATGGCAACGGGGGCGGGGCTAAACCTGAGCGTCCTGCTGCCATGGCAACGGGGGCGGAGCTAACAGAGCGTCCTGCTGCCATGGCAACGGGGGCGGGGCCAACAGAGCGTCCTGCTGCCATGGCAACGGGGCCGGGGCCAACAGAGCGCCCTGCTGCCGTGGCAACGGGGCGGGGCCAACAGAGCGTCCTGCTGCCATGGCAACAGGGGCAGGGCCAACAGAGCGCCCTGCTGCCATGGCAACAGGGGCGGGGCCAACAGAGCGTCCTGCTGCCATGGCAACGGGGGCGGGGCCAACAGAGCGTCCTGCTGCCATGGCAACGGGGCCGGGGCCAACAGAGCGCCCTGCTGCCATGGCAACGGGGGCGGGGCTAAACCTGAGCGTCCTGCTGCCATGGCAACGGGGGCGGGACTAAACGGAGCGTCCTGCTGCCATGGCAACGGGGGCGGGGCCAACAGAGCGTCCTGCTGCCATGGCAACGGGGCGGGGCTAAACCTGAGCGTCCTGCTGCCATGGCAACGGGGGCGGGGCTAAACCTGAGCGTCCTGCTGCCATGGCAACGGGGGCGGGGCTAAACATGAGCGTCCTGCTGCCATGGCAACGGGAGCGGGGCCAACAGAGCGTCCTGCTGCCATGGCAACGGGAGCGGGGCCAACAGAGCGTCCTGCTGCCATGGCAACGGGGGCGGGGCTAAACCTGAGCGTCCTGCTGCCATGGCAACGGGGGCGGGGCTAAACATGAGTGTGCTGCTGCCATGGCAACGGGGGCGGGGGCCAAACAGAAGCATCCTGCTGCCATGGCAACAGGGGGAGGGCTATACAGTGTCCTGCTGCCATGGCAACAGGGACAGGACCAGATCACAGCACCCTGCTGCCATAGCAACAGGGGCGGAGCCAAACAAGAGCATCCTGCTGCCATGGCAACGGGGCCAGGGCCACTCCATGAGCGTCCTGCTGCCATGGCAAAGAAGGCGGGGCCTGTCCAAAGCATCACCCCTGTCATGGCAACGCGACAGGGACTTCATGGGAGCATCCCGCTGTCATAGTGACAGAGGTGGGGCCTGCCTGGAGCATCTCGGTTACCATGACAACAGGGGGCGTGTCCTAATGGGGAGGGCGTTCCCGCTGCCATGGCAACAGGGGGGAGCAAGGCTGGCGTGCCCCCCCTGCCATGGCAATGGGTGGCCATAGGGGGACGATGTGGAGGCCCTGGGAGGGGGGTCCTGAGCTACGGGGGGGGGCTGGGGGTTCTGGGTAATAGGAGGTCTGAGCACTGCGGGGTCCTGAGCAAAGGGGGAACCAGGAGCACAGTGAGGGGGTCCTGAGCCATGGGGAGGCCCTGGGGGGGAACGTTAAAAGGGGGCTCTGTGGGTGCTGAAACCACAGAAAGGGGGTCTTTGGGCAAGGGGAGACTCGGGGTGAGGTTTCGGGGCAGGTCAAGGAGAGTCACATCAGTGTGGGGCCCTGACACCCCCCAGCAAGGAGGACCCTGAGCAAGGGGGGTCCCTCTGGGAGGGTGCAGGGAGAGCATCCCAAGAGGGTCCCAGGGTGTACTTCAACAAGGTGGAGGGCTGGAGATCCCACAGGGATGGGATACGGACACCAGGGATGGGATATGGACATGATGGATGGAATTTGAACACCCTCCATGGGATATGGACACCAGGGAGGGAATATGGACACTGGGGGTGTCCCCTCCATGTTCCCCCAGCTCTGCACCCCTCCATGCCTTCTCTGGCCATGCCCTTTCCCTTATCCCCCCAGCCATGTCACCCCTCTGCCCCCCGCCCATGTCCCCCCACTGCTGCACCCACCCACATTCCCTGGCTGTGTCCCCCCCCAAGTCATGTCCTCCCTGGCCCTGTGACCCCCAGCCTCGCACCCCTCCATGTCCCTTCCCCCTCCATGTCCCCTGCCATGTCTCTTCCATCCCCCCACGGCCATACCCTCTCTGTGTCCCCCCTAGCCTTGTCACCCCCCCAGCCTTGTCCCCCCCTCAGCCATGTCCACCTGGCCGGGTCCCCCTCCATGCCCCCCAGCCCTGCGCCCCCGTGCCTCCTAAATTTATCCCTCAACCCTTGGCCCCTCCGCTGAGCCATGACCACGCCCCTGCAAACCACCACCCCCTTCCATTGGCTGTCGTGCCCGCCCATCAAATGCCCCCGCCCATTGTCTGACCCCGCCCCTGGCCCCGCCCTGGCCCCGCCCCCTGGCTCCCATTGGCCGCCACCGCCGTTATTTTTCGAATATAAATGACCCCGCAGGGTTGGCGCCCCCTGGCGGTGCCGGGTGGGGGGTGACACGCGGCTGTCGCGACATAGCGCGACACAGAGCACAGAGCGGCTCCGCACCACACCCCACCCTCTGCGCGCCCATGGCGGGCAGGGCCGGCCGCGGGCTGCCCGGGGTGTCCCCACGCGTGTCCCCGGTCTCCACGCTGGCGCTGGACATGGACAACCTGGCGGGGCTGGGCAGGTCAGGGGGGCTGGGGGGCTTCGGGGCGATCGTGGGGGTGCGGGGGGTCTGAGATGCGGGACACGGGCTGCCCCACGCGCGGCTCGGGGATGGGATCCTGCGCGGGGGGGGGTGTTGGATTGTTTTGGGGACCTCCCGTCTCCTCCCGGGGAGGGGGCGAGGGGCACCCCGAGGCTCTGACCCCCACCCCCCAATCGCCCACAGCCACTGGGACACCCCGAAGAGGCGGGTGCTTCGTCCGGGGCTGCGGTCCCCCGTGTCCTCCCCGCAGCCGGGGGCCTCGGACCTTTCCCGGGACCCCCCCCGGGATCTTCCCCGGGATTCCGTCTCCTCCGAGTCCTCGGATGCGGGTGAGTGATGGGCGCTGTCCCCCCACAACACCCCCCGGGAGCTGGGCAGGTCCTGGCACTTGGGGGTTCAGGAGGTTCCTACATGTGGGGAGGGGGCTTGGGAGGGGGGATTGAGGTGTGGGGGAACTCTTTGAGAGGCCCACGGGAGCTGGGACCCCCCCGAGTCATCCCGCCGGGGGGTGTGTCATGGGCAAAGCCCCCCCGCGCCCCCCCTTCCCCCCCGCGGGGGTCGGGGTGACCTGGGTGGGACAGCCCGGCCCGAACTGGTGGTCCCAGTGCTGGACTGGTGTCCCCCCCGCCCCGTGTCCCCGCAGGTTTGGGGCTGGACTCGCCCCCCGCTCAGGACCCCGCGGCACTGGACGATGTGTGAGTGTGTCCCCCCCCCCGTGTGACCCCCCCGGGAGGTCCCCACTGCCCTGTCCCGGCCTTGCTGGGGGGCCGTGACCCCCCAGATCAAATCAAATCTCCTCCTGCGAGGTGACAAAGCCCCTGGTGGGGGGTGTTGGTGACCCCGGTGGCTTCAGCAGCTCCCGACAGATGTGGCAGAAGGGGACAGATGGGGACGCCGGCTCGGCCGCGGGGCCGGGGGACTCGGCGTGGGGGCCCATCTGGCCCCCCGCCAGCGGCCCCAACGTTCCCGGAGTTCCCGGTGGCCGCAGCATTTCCAGCCAGCATTTCCATACAGCTGGAGCCGCCCGCGGGGCTTTGTCTGGGCACGGAGGGAGGGGCGCCGGGACCACCCCGGCGCTGCCCCCGCTCCCAGCCCGGGATGGGGTTCCTTGGCCCAGGACTGAGGTGCCCGTGGTCAGGACTGGGGTCCCCCCGGCCGATATTGGGGTCCCTTGACCCGGGATGGGGGTCCCCGTGATCAGAACTGAGGTCACCCCCAGCCCGGGATTGGGGTCCCTTAGCCCGGGATTGGGGTCTCCAAGATGGGATTGGGGTGCCCCAGCACAGGACTGGGGTTCCTCCCCTGGCCCAGGATTGGCGTTCCCTGGGGGGGTGGGGACCATCCCCAGGGCCTCTGGGCTGCTGGGGTGGGACATGGGGTGTCACCCCCCACCCCAACCCCGGCTGTCCTTGTCCCCACAGCTTCGAGGGGGCGACCCTGGAGCCTGAGAGGGGACAGAGAGCGTGAGTGAGGGGCTCTGCCCCCAGGCTGGCCCTGGTCCCAGACCCCAAAGCCACACTGGCCCCACGCTGGCCCCATGCCCAGTTCATCCCCATCGCCGTTCCCAGCCTGTCCCTGTCCCTCTCCCCAGACCCCAGAGCCACACTGTCCCTGTCCCCAGGCTGTCCCTGTCCCTTTGTCCCCATGCTGTCCCTGTCCCCAGACTGTCCCCGTGCCCTTCCCGGGATCGGGATCATCCCATCAGTGTTTCCTCCAATCCTGGAGGAATTCCTGAGCTGGGACAGCCCCGGGGGGGTCTCATCCCACTGTGGGGACGGAGGGGGGGGGCCGTGCCAGGGGTTGGGACCCCCCTAATCCAGGGACCTTCTCCGGCTGCATCCTTTCCTCTCCCTGCTCCTGCAGCCGCGGGATCCGGCGGATCCGCTCCCTGCCGGTGAGTCCCGCCGGGCTGGGAGGGGTTAATGAGGTCGGGGGGGGCTGCACGGCCCTTCCTGACCCCCCCCGTGTCCCCCAGCCCCGAATCCTGGCAGGCGGTGCCCCCCTCAGGGACATCTCACATGGCACCGAGTTCAACGGCCGGGGAGACCCCCGGGACCAGGTTAGGGGGGCGGGGGGGATGGGAAGGGGCTGGGGGGCTGGGAAGGGGCAGGGGGACCCCGGGATGAGGTGAGGGGGGCAGTGAGGCCGGGGGGAGTTGGGGAAGGAGAGGGACCCCAGGATGAGCAGGGGAGGGGGTGGCAAGAAAGGGGCAAAGGGGTTGGGGAAGGGGTGGGGGGTTGGAGGCTTGGGGGTCTCACCCCGCGTGTTCCCCCCTCAAGAGGGGTTTGTCCTCAAGAAGCCACAGCGGCTGGTGAGGGGTCTGGGAGGGTCAGGGGGCACTGGAGGGGGTCCTGCAGCCTGGGAGGGACTGGGGGGAGTGTGGGGTGGTCATGGGGTGGGGGTGGGGGTTCGGGGGCCGCTGGGGGTCGTTTGTGCTGCTGGGGGTCGAGGAGGGCACTGGGGGTGATAGAGGGCTGGGGGCTCTGGGGAGCACGGCAGGGGGTGGCTCGGAGGGGCACTGGGAGGGTGGTCCTGGGGCTGGGGGAGTCGGGGAGGCATTGGAGGTGTCCTACTCCCCTCCCCTGTGCCCCCGACACCTGCAGTGTGGGGGGCTGGGGGGGGGCCGGGGGGTCGGTCCTGAGCCCTCTGGGTCGTGTCCCCCCCCTGCCCCAGTTTGACCCCCCCAGGAAGAAATGCGGCTTTGGAAGCGAGCAGGAGGAGGGGGAGGGATTCATGGACATCCTACTGGAGGGACAGGAAGGTGGGGGGTCCTTCATCTGGGGGGTGATGGACCCGGGGGGTCCGTCCCTTTTGGGTGGGGAGACACCCTGGCTGTGGGATCCAGCCCTTTCTGGGGCAGGAGATGTATCCTGGATGTGGGATCCATCCTTTTTGGGGGGTGGGGTACACCCGGGGTGTAGGGTCCATCCCTTTTGGGGTGGGGTGGGGGATCCTGGGAGTGGCATTTTTTGGGGGGAGGGAATGGTTCCTGGATGTGAGATCCATCCTTTTTTTGGCGGGGGGGACACACACCCTGAGTGTGGGATCCATCCCGTTTGAGGGGAGGGAAGGACCCTGGGCACGGGATCCACCCTTTGGGGAGGGGCGGGGGGTCCCTTCCCTGGCGAGAGGGGTCGGGTTGGGCAGCACCGGGTGTGTCCCCTCCCCTTCACCCCCCGTGTTCCCCGCAGGGTGCTGTCCCGGTGTCGCTGGGGATGGAGAACCTGCTGCGGGCGCCGCTGCTCCGGGGGGAGCCCGGGGGGGCTCCGGAGCCCTCGGGATCCCGGGCATCCCCCCCGGGCTGCTGGAGCCTGAGGAGGCCGGAGCGGCCCCGGCGGGACAGGGACGGGGACAGGGACAGGGACAGGGGACCCCGCCGGGCGGGCCAAGCGCAGGCGGAGCAGCATCGCAGGGACCAGCGGGGAGGGCGCGGCAGAGCCGGTGCGTGACGGGGAGCCCCGGGGGGGTCCCTGGGGGGGCTGGGCTGTGCCCTGACAGAGCCCCCACTGACCTGGGATGTCCCCCTGACTCCAGGGGTGTCCTCTGATTCCAGGGGTGTCCCCACTGACTTGAGGGGGGAGTTCCCCTGACCCCAGGGGTGTCCCCCTTGACTCCGGGAGTGTCCCTGCTGAATTTGGGGGGTGTCCTCCCTGACTCTGGGGGTGTCCCCGTCCCTCTGACTTTGGGGGGTGTCCCTGCTGAGCCCAGGGGTGTCCCCCCTGACCCTGGGGATGTCCCCATGACACTGAGAATCCCTCTGACTTTGAAGGGTATCTCCCAGCTCTGGGGATGACCCTGCTGACCCCAGGGTGTCCCTCGACTTTCGGGGTGTCCTCCTGACCCCGGGGTCCCCCTCTCCCCTGGGGGTGTCCCCTGACCCCGGTGTCCCCCTGTCCCCTGGGTGTGTCCCCCTGACCTCGGTGTCCCCCTGTCCCCTGACCACGGTGTCCCCTGACCCCGGTGTCCCCCTGTCCCCTGACCACGGTGTCCCCTGACCCCGGTGTCCCCCTGTCCCCTGGGGGTGTCCCCTGACCCCGGTGTCCCCCTGTCCCCTGGGGGTGTCCCCTGACCCTGGTGTCCCCCTGTCCCCACAGCCGGTGCGGCTCCAGCGCTCGCTGTCCCTGTGCCACGAGGCCCTGGAGCAGCTGCTGGCCAAGGACGACCAGGAGCTCATCGGGGACTTCTCCAAGGTGGGACCACCCAGACGGGGCAGCTCTGCCCCCCCTCCCCAAATCAGGGCCCCTCGGCAGGGCCCGGCCCTGGTTTGGGGACATGAGGACCCCCCCCGGGAGCTGAGCTGGTGTGTGCGGGGTCACCCCTGGGGGTCCCCCGGGACAGGGGTGACCCCCGTGTCCCCCCCAGGCCCACCTGCTGCAGACGGTGCAGGGGAAGCACCAGGACCTGAAGTACATCTCCCCCGAAATGGTAACGGGGGGCAGCCCTCCCACCCCCGTGTCCCCCCGTGTCCCCCCGTGCCCCCCGGTGACAGCTGCCCCCACAGATGGTGGCTGTGCTGACGGGGCAGTTCCACAGTGCCCTGGAGCGGTGCCTGGTCGTGGACTGCAGGTACCCCTACGAGTACGAGGGGGGGCACATCCAGGTGAGCTCTGGGGCTGGGAGCTGGGGGGGGACACACTGCAGGTACCCCTGGGAGGACAAGGGTGGGGAACAGCCAGGTGAGAACTGGGGGGGTGGGACAGCCCAAACATCAGAGGGTATAAACCTGCCCCCTCAAAGGGTGAAGTCCCCCCACAGGAGCTGAGCAGCCCCCCAAGGTGTTGAGCCCCACCAGACGAAGGGCACTGCTGCCCCAGGGATGGGGACGGGACACACACTGGGGGCAGGGGCTGAGCCCCCAAACTGTAATGGGGGTGCTGGGGAGGAGTCCTGAGCCCCCCTCGATGGACGGGGTGTCCTGGGGAGGGGTCTGAAGGCGCTGCCCCCGCCCCAGGGCGCGGTGAACCTGCCCCTGGAGCGGGACGTGGAGCGGTTCCTGCTGGAAAACCCCCCCGGCCCCCCCCCGGAGGCCCGGCAGGAGGGTCATCCTGGTCTTCCACTGCGAGTTCTCCTCGGAGCGGGGGCCCCGCATGTGAGTGGGGGTTTCGGGGGTAGGGGCTGTCGCGGGGGTCCCCGAGCCCCCCAGCCCCCAACGCTGTGGTGCGGCAGGTGCCGGTTCGTGCGGGCGCGGGACCGGGCACAGAACCCGTACCCGGCTCTGCGATACCCCGAGCTCTACGTGCTCCAGGGCGGCTACCGGGAGTTCTTCCGCCGCTTCAGGGTGAGCCCCCAAATTCGGCACCCTCGGCGGGCGGGGGCGGGGTTGGAGGGAGAGGGAGAGGGAGGAAACCCCCTCCTCAGTTGGGGAAAGGGGAAGGAAGCTCTGAGCATCCTCCGGGGGGCGGGGGGCTGCGGGGCTGGGAGGGGTTTGGGGGGACTGGGAGGGAGGATGAGGATGCCCTGTGGGTGCTCTCCAGACCCACTGTGACCCCCCGGGACTGCACCCCCTCCCCACTCTGGGGGGTTGGAAAGGGGGGGCTCATCCTCCGCGGGAGTGTTACCCCGTGGGTTGTGGGGCTGGGCTGGGGTTTTGGGGGTGCTGGGGGGGTGGACACTGGGGGTGCTGACAGTGCTGGGGGTCCCCAGAGCCACTGCGACCCCCAGGGCTACCGGCCCATGGACCACCAGGACTTCCGGGAGCACCTGCGCAGGTTCCGCCGCCGGAGCCGCACCTGGACGGGCGGGGGCGCGGGGGGCTCGGCCACCGCCTCCGCGACCTCTGAGGGCTGGGACGGGACCCTTCGGACCCCCCACACCCACCCCAGGGCACCCTCCGACCCCCAAACCCCGGCTGTCCCCAAACGTCCCCTGCCACGAGCCCTGAACAGCGTCACTGACCCTCAGGGTGTGTGGGGTTTCCCTTTCCCCACCCTTTCCCCGCCCTTTCTTTCTCCCCACCCCTCCCTTTTTCTCCCTGTGTTTTCCCATTTTTGCCTCCCAGGAGCGCTGGGAGCCCCGAGAGAGGGGAAAAGCACCTAAAGCCCTTCCACGGCCATGGGAGACCAGGGGATCCCCGGAGAGAGGGGACACCCAGGGGGGCTTGCTCGAGTTACCCCCGGGCTTGTTTGGGGGTTATTTTTAGTTGTTTAGGCGTTATTTTTAGTTGTTTGGACATTATTTTTAATTGTCTGGGGGTTCTTCGCCCCTCCCTGTGTTGTTTAAAGCAGTTTGTTCTCAACCAGCCTTGGCTCGTCTGGGGGGCTGGTTAATTTGGGGGGACCCAAATGTGACTGGGGGGGTGAGTACCCCCCCACTGGGGGCTGTGGGGGTGGGTACCCCCCTTTCTGAGGGGTGCCCCCAAAGGTCCCCAAGGGGGATGAGGAGACCGGGGGGGACCCCAGCGTGTCCCTGGGGGGACAGAGCTCACTCCCCTTGGTGCAGGAGGACGAGAGACAGCACGGGGAGGGGCGGAGGGAGCAGTTTAATCAGAGCCAGAAATAGGGGGTCGGCGGGGGGGCTCCGGGATCCGGGAGGGGTCCAGGACACTGGGCACAAGAACAAGGTCGTGGCACTGCCTGGGAGACCCCCCTGCTTGGGGGTGAACCCCTGGATGTGGGGGGGTTGAATTCCTGGGTGGAGGGGATGAGTCCTCTGGATGGGGGGTTGAGACTCCTGGTTCGGGGAACTGATCCCTCCTGGCTGGGGAGGAATCACCCCATTGGATGGGGAGGGGATTGAGACCCCTGGTTGTGGGACAGATGAGTCCCCTGCATGGGGGGGATGAACTCCACTGGATAGGGGCGGGCTGAGCCCCCTGTCTGGGGGGCTGAGTCCCCTGAATGGGGAGGATCATCCCCCTGGATGGGGAGGGTTGATCTCCTTGGATGGGAAAGGGCTGAGGCCCCCTGGATAGAGGGGATTATCCTGCTGGATCGGGGATGCTGAGCCCCCCTGGTTGAAGGGGATGATCCCACTGGATGGAGGGGCTGAGCCCCCCTGGTTGGGAAGGATCACTCCCCTGGGTGGGGGTGCTGAGACCCCCTGGACAAAGGGGATCACTCCCCTGGGTGGGGGTGCTGAGCCCCCTGGATAAAGGGGATCACTCCCCTGGGTGGGGGTGCTGAGCCCCCCGGGCTCACGCAGCTCAGACACGGGGTTTGTGTCCCAGCCTTGCCCCCCCAGCCCCACGGGCTCAGGGCGCCCGCAGCTCCCTCTCGCAGATCCAGGGGAAGCTGAAGTTGCAGTTGTGGTCGTTCCAGAGCCCGTTGCCCACCGGGTGGATCTGGGCACAGCCCTCGGCCCCCCAGTGCCCGTGGTCGGTGTTGTCCGGCTGCCCCACGGCCCAGAAACTGCGGGGATGGGGGAAATGGGGTCAGCGGGGGAGGGGGCGGCAGTTGTGACCCCCCGGACCCCAAATGCCGCTCACCTGTTGGAGGGCGAGTAGGGGGTCCCGTCCACCCAGCGCCAGGAGCCCCCGGGCCCGTGGCCGACAGCCCGATCCAGTAAGTGCCACCCCGGGACTGGCGGGCCAGGTACGCCTGGGGGACAGGGACGGGCTGAGGGGGGCAGGGATGGTCTGAGGGAAGCACAGGGGTGGGCTGGGGGACAGGGGCGGGTGGGAGAGGTAGGAGAGGATGTGGGAAGGGGCTGTGGGCGGGGGGGACAAGTAGGAGGGTTGTGGACGGGTAGCAGGTGGGGTGGGCGGGGGGATGCTCAGGTGGGGGCACAAGCAGGTAAAAGTGCTCAGGCAGGAGGGGTCCCAGGAAGAAAGATGGCCAGGAGAGAGGGTAGGGCAGGCAGGAGGGGGCACAGGAGCGGGCAGGGCAGGACAGGACAGGAGGAGCCGCGGCTTGGTCCTGCCCCCTCACCTGCTCCTCGGGGTTGGTGACCGATGCCAGGTGGGCGTGAGTGGCCACACACGAGGCCTCGGCCGCTGCCCAGGGCCGGCCCTCCGCTGAGAACAGGTAAATCTTCCCGGCGTGGTAGTGCCAGCCCAGTGCCAGCCCCTGCAGCCACCGCCCTGCGGGACAGCGCGGGGACAGGGTCACCCCCGTCCCCAACCCGTCACCCCCTGCCACCCCACTTGTCACCCCCCCATCACCCACCGAGCTGGTCCTGCCGCCTCCGTGCCGCCGCCGGGGTCTCTCCTGGGCTCCGGGGACCTGCCGGGGGTCAGGGACAGGAGCGGAGGGGGGCGGGCTGGGGCCGGGGGCTGCAGGGAAGGGCTGGGCCAGGGGCTGGGGACAGGGACTGTGGGCTGGGGACAGGCTGGGATAGGGTACAAGAGCTGCGGGGTCAGGGGACAGGGGCTGCGGGCAGGGACGGGGCAGGGTTGGAGAAGGGGGGCTGCGGGCGGGAGGTGGGCACGGGGGTCGGGGACAGGGCTCGGGGGTCCCCGGACCAGCCCGGGGGTCGCACTTACCGTCGGGGTCGGGCATCAGGAGGTCCGCGGTCGCTGCCAGCTCTGCCCGCACCGCCCGCAGCTCCGCCCGCCCCTGCACGTCTGGGGAGGGGGGGGAGATGTCACGGGACCCCCGACCCCTGCCCATGGACCCCGGACCCTCCTGGGTCCTGCCCACGGCCCCTGCCCACACTCCCTGCCCTCCCAGCCCCCTGCCCCGCCCTGGGGTGCCCCGGTGTCACTCACAGAGGGTGCCCAGCGCTGCCAGCGCAGCCCCCAGCACCAGCAGCACCGCCGTGCCCAGCGCCCAGGGGCACAGGGGGCACCCCCGCGGGGCAGGGGTCTCCCCTCGGGCCCGGGGGGGCCCGTAGCTCAGCTCCAGGGTCTCGTACAGGTCGGTGCCCGTGGCCATGGCACCGGGAGCCGCTTCCTGCCCGCTGCCCACCCAGGAACGGGAACCGCCGCCCGCGGCCGGTTCCTGCCATCCCTCAGCGTCACAAGTGTCCCCACGCCCCGAGGGGACAGCCAAGGCACGGGGGGCCAGGACCCCTACCCGGCGGTCAACCCCTGTCCCTGACCGTGTCCCCATCCTTCTCCCTGTCCCTGGCACTACACTTATCCCGCTCACTGTCCCCATCCTCGACCCCGTCCCTGACTCTGTCCCTGTCCTCGATCCTGTGCCAGTCCCTCATCCCGATCCCATCCCCGACTCTGTCCCCATCCTTGTCCCACTGATTCTCTCCCTGTCCCTGGACTTGTCCCTGTCCCTGATCCTATTCCTGCCCTCGTCCCAGTCCCTGAGCCCATCTCTGTCCCTGTCACTGTCCTTGACTCTGTCACTGCCCCTGTCCCTGTTCCTGACCCCATCCCTGTCCCTGTTCCCATCCCCATCCCTGAAGTTTCACCCCCAAACACAATTTACTTTTCCCACCCTCAGACACAGAAATTCCGGGGGAACCCCTGAATCCCGGGGGGGACCCAGCTCCCTGATGCTGGGGGAGGGACACACACCAGCCCTCGTCCTCCCCATCCCTGGGGGATCCAGCTTCTTGTGGAATCCTGGAATGGTTTGGGTTAGAGGGACCTTAAATCCCATCCAGTGCCACCCCCTGCCATGGGCAGGGACACCTCCCACTATCCCAGCTTGCTCCAAGTCCAGTCCAGACTGGGCACTTCCAGGGATGGGGAATCCTTCCCCACTCAGCACCCTTAGGGCTCTACTGGACCCCGCTGCATTTCCAGTCCTTAGGGATGGGAATCCCCGGAACGGAATCCCAGGGAATATTCATGACGTCAAGCCCATCAGAATTCCGGGATCATCTGCATGATGCTCGTAGTCAAATCCGTAATCCTGGAGTGGTTTGGATTGGGATGGACCATCAAGCTCATGGACTTGGACCCCCAGTGCCGTAGAATTCCCGGGGTCCCTGGATTCCCACCGAACTGCACGGGAAGTTTTGCAGGATGCAGCCCCATCCCAGCTCCCTGAGGGGCTCCCGGAGCCGCCAGACCCTCGGGATTGTGCAAGGGGTGAGTCAGGGAGGATGTTCCCCAATATCCGTCCCCGGGGATGGCGGGGGGAGGGAAACAGGAACAGGAAAGGGTCGGGAAGGGGGAAGGAAACGAGATTGCACAAGGGCTGAATCACAGCCCCGGGGGGAACGGGACCGCAGGGATCAGCCACAGCCCCACAGCCACGGGACCCCCAGGAACCCACACACCCCGGCTGGGGGGGCTGTGCCCGGTTCTGGGGTGTCTGTGGGAGGGTCTGGTTTCTCTCAGCCCAGTTTTGGGGTGTCTGTGCCCAGCCGTGGGGCATCTGCTCAGTGCCAGTGCCCAGTTTTGGGTTCTTGTGCCCAGTTTGGGGTGCCCCCACCTGTTTCTGGTGTGCCTGTACCCAATTCTGCTGTGTCTGTGCCCAGTTTGGTGTGTCTAGTCCCATTTCTGGGGTGTCTGTGCCCACTCTTGCAGTGTCTGTGCCCGGTTTTGGGGTGTCTATGCCCAATTTGGGATGACCGGTCCCAATTCTTGGGTGTATTTTCCCATTTCTGGGGTGTCAGTGCCCAGTTTGGGGTGTGTTCACCCATTTCTGGGTTGTATTTTCCCATTTCTGGTGTTTCTGTGCTCAGTTATGGGGTGTCAGGGACTGGTTTTTGGGTGTCAGTGCCCAGTTTTGGGGTGTCTGTGGCCATTCATGGGGTGTCAGGGACCGGTTTTTGGGTGTCAGTGCCCAGTTATGGGGTGTCTGTGCCCACTCATGGGGTGTCAGGGACTGTTTTTGGGGTGTCAGTGCCCAGTTTTGGGGTGCCTGTGCCCAGTTTTGGGGTGTCTGCACCCTTTACTGGGGTGTCTGTGCCCACTCTTGCAGTGTCTGTGCCCAGTTTTGGGATCTCTGTGCCCGATTTGGGGTGGCTGGTCCCAGTTCTGGGGTGTCTGCTCCTGTTTCTGGGGTGTCGGTGCCCGGTTTGGATCCCCCTCCCTCACCCCCCGTTCCCTTCCCAAGATGGCGGCGGCCGCGCTGCCCACACCCAAAATGGCGCCGGCCCCGCCCACATCCAAGATGGCGCCGGCCCTGCCCGGCTCTGCCCACAGCAAGATGACGTCACGGCCGCGGGGCGCCCCCTGGCGGCCGGGCTGGGGCTGCTGGTGGGGGGACACAGGGCCGGGACGGGGGGGACACTGGGGACACTGTCCCCTCGGGGACACGGCCGGGCCCCTCTGGGGGGGGAGCTGGGACTCTTCTGCTGCCCCCAAATCTGTCCCCCAGCCCTCCCGGAGCCCGGATGGCCCCGATCCCAGCCCCCTCCCCAGCGCAATTCGAGGGGGGGCACAGGGGTCCCTTTGGGTGCCCACGCGTGCTCCACCCCCCAAATGCAGCTCTGGGGTCCGTTTGTGCCCCCCGGCTGCTCCAGCAACCCCCCCAGCCTGGGGGAGCCCCCCATCCCTGTGCCCCCCCGCCTCCATTAGGGTCCATTAGCGGCTGGAACGGCTCCCCAGGGACGCTCCCGCGGGAATCCCGCCGGGAACTGGGAATGAACGAGGGGGGGCAGAGAGCGGGGGTTCCTCTGGGAACATCGCCAGGGGCAGGGCTGGGGGGCTGGGGGTGGGGAAACGGATGGATGCAGGGACACGGGGATGGAGGGATGGGGATGGAGGGATGGATGGATGGATGGACACTAGGGTGGACACTGGGATAGATGCATGGGTGGACACTGGGAGGGATGGATGAATGCTGGGATGGATGGGTGGGTGGAGGGATGGATGGATGGATGGATGGATGGATGGATGGGCAGGTGGACATTGGGATGGACGGGGCAAGGATGGATGGACAGGGGGATGGATGGATGGACACTGGAGTGGACACTGGGATAGATGGATGAATGCTGGGATGGATGGGTGGAGGGAGGGATGGATGGATGCTGGGATGGATGAATGGACACTGGGATGGATGAATGGACACTGGGATGGATGGATGGATGGATAGATGGATGGATGGATGGATGGATGGAGGGATGGATGGAGGGATGGAGGGATGGATGAATGGACACTGGGATGGATGGATGAATGGACACTGGGATGGATGAATGGACACTGGGATGGATGGATGGATGGATAGATGGATGGATGGATGGAGGGATGGATGGAGGGATGGAGGGATGGATGAATGGACACTGGGATGGATGGATGAATGGACACTGGGATGGATGAATGAATGGACACTGGGATGGATGGATGGACACTGGGATGGATGGATGGATAGATGGATGGATGGATGGAGGGAGGGATGGAGGGATGGATGGATGGATGGATGGACACTGGGATGGATGAATGGACACTGGGATGGATGGATGGATGGAGGGATGGATGGATGGATGGACACTGGGATGGATGAATGGACACTGGGATGGATGAATGGACACTGGGATGGATGGATGGATGGACATTGGGATGGACAGATGGAGGGATGGGCACTGGGATGGACACAGGGATGGACAGGGACATGGACAGATGGACTCAGGGGTCACTCCAAGGGGTCTGAGGGGCTCCCTGGGGGACAGTGAGGGGGGCAAGGGACACAAAGGGAGGTGGCATCGGGATCCCAGGGGGCACATGGGAGGGAACAAGGGGCTGCCCAGGGCCAGGGGGGTCTGGGGGAGTCTGGGGGTCTCTGAGGAGCCAGCAGTGCCCTGAGGCCTTGGGGGTGTCGAGGGGTGCAGGGGAGGCTCCTCTGGGGTGTCCCCAGAGCCTCTTTGGGGTCTCCTCAGGGTGTCCCTGGGCTCTTCCCAGAGCATCTCGGGGGTGCAGTGGGGTCTCCTTTGGGGTGTCTCCAAAACCCATTTGGGGTCTCCCTTGGGGTACCCCTGGGACCTCTTTGGGGTCTCTCCAGGGAAGTCTCCCCAGGATCCCCCCTGGATCTGCCAGGGGTCTCCCCAGGGTGTCTTGGGGGATCCATTGGGGTCCCTTTGGGGTACCCCCATGGCTGCTTTGGGGTCTCTCCAGGGTGTCCCTGGAGATGCAGCAGGGTCTTCCCGGGGCACCCCGGGGGCTGTTTTGGGGTGTCCCGGCGGTGTCCCTGTGGCCGCAGGGGGGGTACCCCCGGATGTGCCGGGGGTGTCCGCGGGGTGCCCTGGGGGCTGCACTGGGGTCACTCCAGGGTACCCCTGGGGCCCGCTCGGGGCGCCCCCACGGTGTCTTGGAGGATACATCGGGGTCACTTTGAGGTACCCCCGGGGCCGGTTCGGGGTGTCCCCGGGGCGCGCCGGCCGGGCCGCCCGGTGGTCTCCGGGGGTCCGTGCCCCGGGGTGCCCGGTGCCCGCCGCCCCCTCCGCGGGCGGGGAGGGGCCGCTCCTCCCCGGAATGATGTCAGCCTGCCCGGCCGCGGCCCCCGCCTACCCCGGCGGCTCCGGCCCTGCCTCCCCGGGGAGGCGGCGGCGGGGGCTCGTTTGCCGGGCGGGATGGCCCGGCCGGGCGGGGCGGCCCCGGCGCGGCGGCCGCGGGCGCTGCTGCTCATGGTGCTGCTGCCCGCGGCGGGGGCGCGGCGAGGGCGGCGGCGGGGGCGCACACGGAGCCCCAGGACCCCAGGCCGCCTCCGCGCCCCCGCCCGCCCGCTCTGCTGCTGCTGCCGCTGCCGCCGTCGCCGCCGCCGCCCCGCGCCGCGCCCGCCGCCAGCGCCGCCCGCCCGGTAACGAGCCCCCGCCGCCCCCGCCCCCGCCACGAGGCCCCCGCGCCGCCCTCCTCCCCCTGCAGCCTCCACTCCTCCTCCCCGCCTCCTCCATCCCTCCTCCAGCCTCCTCCATCCTTCCCTCCCCTCCCGCCACCCCTCCCGTGCCTCCCTCCGTCCCTCTACTCCTCCTCCAGGCCTCCCACTCCATCCCTCCTTCCCACCCCTCCCGTGCCTCCCTCCATCCCTCTACTCCTCCTCCCGGCCTCCCTCCATCCCTCCTTCCCACCCCTCCTCTCCTTCCCTCCATCCCTCCCTCCTCCTCCTCCTCTCCGCCTTCCCCCCATCCCTCCCTCCACTCCTCCTCTGCCGCCCTCCTCTCCTCTGAGCCTCCCCATCCCTCCCTCCACTCCTCCTCTCCTCCCTCCATCCCTCCCTGCATCCCTCCCTCCACTCCTCCCCATCCCTCCCGCTGCCCCCTCCGCCCTCCCCTTCCCCTCCCCGCACTCGGTCTCCTCCGTCTCCAACTTCTCAGGCTCTGCCCCTCCTCCCGCCCCCGCGCCCCCGAGGCTCCCCCGCTCCCTCCCTCCCTCCCTCCTTCCCTCCCTCCGCAGATGCCGCTTCCCCGGCGGCCGGGACGGCGGCCCCCGGCACCTGCCCGGAGCTGAGCCCCGGGGGGGGGTCCGGGGGGGCCCCGGGGCACCCCCTGAGCCCGTGCCATGTTCTCGGTGCAGGAGGCGCTGCCCCGGGGGGGGGTCCCCATGAAGGAGGAGCCGCTGAGCGCGGGGCTGCCCGCCGGCCGCTGGCTGCAGGGCACCGGCATCCTGGACGCCAGCACGGCGGCGCAGAGGTAAGGGGGCACCCCGGGGGCTCCGCGGGCAGGGCGGCCATCCCGGGCAATGCGGGCAATGCCGGCAGCTGCGAACATTCCAGGTGCTCCGGGCGTCCCGCGGGCTGCGGGCATCCCGAGCTCTGCGGGCACCCCGGGCTCCACGGGCATCCCGGGGTTTGTGGGTATCCCGGGCTCCACGGGCATCCTCGGGGTTTGTGGGCATCCACGGCCGTCCGAGGGCTGTGGATAGGCTGGACTCCGTGGGCATCCCGGGCTCTGCAGGCACCCCAGGCTGCTCGGGCATCCTGGTACAGTGGGTATTCCAGGGACTGCGGGCATCCCGGGCTGCTCGGGCATCCCAGGGACTGCGGGTATCCTATCCCAGCCTCCAGGATCCATGGGCATGCTGGGGTCTCTGGGCATCCCAGGCTCCGTGGGCAGCTTGGGGGCTGTGGGCATCCCCGGGTCCGTGGGTGTCCCAGGTGCTCTGGGTGTGCTGCGCTCCGTGGGCATCTCGGGCTCTCTGAGCACCCTGGGCACTGCAGCCATCCCGGGTTCCAGGGGCATCCCAGCCCCTGTGAGCATCCCAGGCACTGCAGCCTCCCCGGGCACTGCAGGCTTCCCAGGCTCCAGGGGCATCCCGGGCACTGCGGGCATTCCAGCTGCCGTGGGCATCTCGGGTGCTGTGGGCATCCTGGGCACCCTCAGCATCCCGGGCACTGTGGGCATCCCAGGCTCCATGGGATTCCCAGGTTTCATGGGCATCCCAGGCTCCATGGGCACCCCAGGCACCGCAGGTGTCCCGGGAACCGTGGGCATCCCAGGTGCCACGGGCTCCATGAGCATCCCTGGGCAATCCAGGAGCCCTCCGTGCCCCAGGAATGCTGGGCACTCCCGGATCCCAGGATGTGCCCCCGGGTGCCCCCAATGCCCTGGGGCTCCTTGGGCCTCTGGGTACCCCCTACCCCTTGTCCCCTGGGTGTCCTGGGACTCCCGTGGAGCTCAGCTGGGAGGGGCTTGTGCTGTGCCAGCAGGGATGGCCCCTGGCACCCCCTTCCCTGCCCTCCTGGGGGGCTCAGGGCTCCATGAACCCCATTCCCTGCTGTCCTGGGGGGCTCAGGGCTCTGCCCACCTCATCCCCTTCTTTCTGGGATGCTCACCACATTCCCTGCCTTTCCAAGGGGCTCAGGGCTCCATGAACCCCATTCCCTGCCATCCTGGGGGTCTCTGTGTCCCTTGTGTCCCCCTCTCTGTGCCCAGAGGGGTCTTGGCTGCAGTGTGGGACAGTGTCACCCCTGTCCCCAGCTCCTGCACTGTGGGGTCTGGGGGGTCGGTAGTGGGGGGGACTTAAGCCTTGGTGGGTCCCTGGGATGCCCCCAAAGCTCTGGGATGTTTGAAAACTGACAGGGACCCCCCAGAGGCTCCCCCGGCCCCATCCCATCCCAGCCACAGGGGGTGGGTCTGGAGCCCCCGGGGAGTGGCTGGACAGGGGGTCCCACCTGGCCCCGGGGGGCAGTGCCAGGGTGGGGGGCTGGGGGGTCCAAGCTGGGGTGTAGGGGGATGCTGGGCTTGTCCCTGTTATCCCACAACCCCCCCGGGACCCCCGTGGGGTGCAGGGGGCACAGCCGGGGGTGGCAGTGGGGACAGGGAGGGGTGCGTGTGTGGTGAGGGGGTCCGGTGTGCCAGGCACCCCCTGGGCGAGGGGGGGCTCACCGACCCCCCAGACCAGGTGCTGGGCAGTGTGGGGTCCCCCCTGCCCTCCCCTGTGCCAGCTGGGTGTGTGGCACCATGGTGGCAGTGCCACATGGATGGACAGGCTCGGGGGGGCTCGTCCCACACCCCTCTCGACCCCTGTACCCCCACCCTACAAATACCAGCCCCACAAAGACCCCCCACTGCTGTGGTCCCTGTGGCCACCCCAGGGTGCCCACAGGGGTTGGGGGTCCTACAGGGGGCTGTGGGGTGACCCCCGCGGGGTCCCGTGGGTTTTGGGGTCACCCACGTGGGCTCTCAGCCCGCGGGTGGGGTCCAAGACCCACTAGGACTCCCCCAGTCCCGTGTGTCCCCTTGGCTGCTCCAGGGTCCCCGGGGGGGCCGGCCCGGGGGTCCCGCTGTCCCGCAGGGGTCCGTGGGCTGTGGGGTGACCCCACGCGGGGTCTCGGCTCTGGGGTGGGGTCCTGCGCCCCCCGCACCCCCCCGGGAGCCGCGTCACGGCCGTGCCCGGTGCCCGCCGGGGCGGCCGCCGCTTTCCTGTAAGCGTCGGGGCCGGGGCTGCTTGGAAATGCCTGATTGCCTTTAATAATTAATTAACGCGCCGCGCTGGGCCGGCAGCGCGGGCGGGGGGGGGTGGCAGCCAGAACCCCCCCTGCGCTCCGGGGACGGGGTTTGGGGAGGATTTGGGGGGATCTAGGGGGGCTGAGGCTTTGCAGATGCCACCGTCCCGTCCGGGGGAGTCCCGGGGTGGGCTGGGGGGGGATAGTAGGGGGGTCACCCGGGGGGTGGACCATGAGAGCGAAGCCACCAGTGCTGGTGAGACCCTTAGGAGGGGACAAGGGACACCGCGGGGTGGGGACACGGCTGTGGGACACGGTGGTGGCCGCGCTCAGGGCTCCGTGTGCCAGGCGTGGCCCGGGGGTTGGCACTGGCGACAGTTCGGGCCCCGGGGATCAGCTTAACGAGCTTTTCCTCCGTCACAGAGTGTCCCCAGAGTGTCCCCAGAGTGTCCCCAGAGCGTCCCCGGGGTCCCCAGGCTCCGAGCCTCGCACTTGGCCTGGGCTGGTCCCCAGAGCTGGCGGGGCCGGGGCAGGGGAGGTGACACCGGGGACCTGCTCCATCCCCGGGCTGCGAGGGGAGGGGTGTCCTCACCCTGTCCCCACCCCTGGGCCGTGTCCTCGGCCACCCCCCCGTGTCCCAGCGGGGTGCTGGGGGTCCTGACTGGCCCCCCACGCCCTCAGAGGGTTGCTGCGGGCAGGGGGCTGCGTGTGACACCCCCACCCCGCTCCCAGGCCACCCGTGGGGGGACAGTCGTGTCCCTCCGTGGCTGGGGGTGGTGGCAGTGCCCAGCAGCAGCACAGGGGGGTTTGGGGGGCTCAGGGGTCCTGCCCCACGCTGCAGGGGCCTGTAGGTTCTGGGGGTCCCCGTGGGGTGCAGGGACTGTCCCCAGGACAGCAGGGGGGGACCTGGGCCCTCCACACAGGGGGACAGGGACCACCCGTGGGCTGGGGACACGGTGACCGTGACGGGGACTGGTCGGTGCTCCAGGAGCCACTGTCCCTGGGGTGGCTCTGCCCCCATCCCCGTGCTGTCCCCGTCCTGTCCCCATGGGTGGCCCTCAGAGCAGCTGGTGACACCTCGAGCCCCGAGGTGGCCCTGCGGGGTGGCAGTGGGGGTGGGGAGGGTGGGGAGGGCTCGGGGACGTCCCCTCCTGTCCCCCCTGTCCCCTTCTGTCCTTTCGTGTCCCCTCTGTCCCTCCTGTCCCCGGTGCCAGGGACAGGGACGGTCCTGGCAGTGTCCCCCCCTGGACAGTGCCCCCAGGAGGAGCTGGGGGCTGGGGGTCCTGGGAGCTGGGGTCCCAGGGACAGGGGTGCTGGGGGTCCTGGGAACGGGCTGGTGGCTCTGGGGAGGGGAGCTGAGGGTCTTGGGGAGGGTCTGTTGAGGGTCCCAGGTGTGGGGTGCTGGGGTCCCAGGGAGGGTGTGTGGGGTTCTGGGGACAGGCTGGGGGTCCCAGTAAGGGGTGCTGGGGGTGCTGTGGAGGGGGGCTGCAGGGTCTGAGTGTCCCAGGGACAGGGTGCTGGGGGTCCCGGTGCTGTGTGGGGTCCCAGTGCTAGGGTGCTGCTGCTCTGGCGTTGTGGTGCTGGGGGTGCTGGGGATGGGGTGAAGGGGTCCCATAGAAGAGGTGCTGGGGGTGCTGGGGAGGGGGTGCTGCAGGTCCCGGGTGTCCCAGGGACAGGCTGCTGGGCTGCTGGTGTGCCATAGTGGGCGCTGGGTGTCCCGGCAGCCCCCCCACGGCCCTGTCCCCCTCCCCAGCGGGGTGTCCCTGGCCCGGGCGCACTTCGAGAAGCAGCCGCCGTCCAACCTGCGCAAGTCCAACTTCTTCCACTTCGTGCTGGCCATGTACGACCGGCAGGGCCAGCCCGTGGAGGTGGAGAGGACCTGCTTCATCGACTTCGTGGAGAAGGAGCGCGTGAGGAGCCCCCCGGGCCGGGGGAGGGACCCCCGGGGCTGCCCCGCCTCGGGCAGGGCTGAGCCCTGACCCAGAGTCACCCGAGGGGCTCCGTGGGGCCGGGGAGGGGGGCAGGGGGTGGTGGAGGGGCCCGTGGTGTCCCCCCACATCCATCTGTGTCACCCCACATCCAATCTGATTTCCCAACCGTGTACCCCCAACATCCGACCGTGCCCCCAACATCCCACTGATCCCACATCCACCCGTGTCCCCCCTGTATCCCACTGATCCCACATCCAATTCTGTCTCACCCCCACCCACCTGTGTGTCCCCTCCACACCCAACTGGCCTCCTCACATCCGTGTCCCCCCACATCCACCTGTGTCCCCCCCATGCACCTGACCCCAAATCCAACTCTCATCCCCACATGGAACTAATCCCCCATCCAGCTGTGTCCACCCTGCATCCAACTGACCTCCCCCATCCAACTGTGCCCTCCAGTTGGTCCTCCATCCATATGTGCCCCCCCATATCCATCTGTGTCTCCCCCCACATCCACCCGTGTCCCCCACTGCTGATCCCCCTCCCTCTGTGTCCCCCCAGGAGCAGAACGGGGAGAAGACCAACAACGGGATCCACTACCGGCTGCAGCTGCTCTACAGCAACGGTGCCTGGGGGCGCTGGAGGGGTGCTGGTGGGGCTCAGAGGGTTTTGGAGGGGCCCTGGAGAGGTCCCCGGGGGGGCCCAGGTGGGGCTGACCCCCCCATTTCCCGCAGGGCTCCGGACAGAGCAGGATCTGTACGTGCGGCTCATCGACTCCATGTCCAAGCAGGTACCGACCCCCCGACCCCCCGGGCCCCCCCGGCACACTCGGGTGTGTCTGAGCCGAGCAGGAGCACCTGGTGCGGGGGGGGGCACCCCCATCTGTGGTGCCAGCCCGTGCCCCCCTGTGCCCCCACCCCTCCTGTCCCCCAGGCCATCATCTACGAGGGGCAGGACAAGAACCCCGAGATGTGCCGGTGCTGCTCACCCACGAGATCATGTGCAGGTGGGGGGGCTGGGAGGCTCAGAGGGTCCTGGGGTCCCCGGTGCCCCGTTAGTGCCCCGGTGCCCCATGAGTGCCCGCCCTTGTTTACCAGCCCCGCTCTGTTTGTGCCAATTAATGAGCCAGCGCCGCTAATTGATCCCCAGAGCCGCTCTAATGAAGCCCCCGGACCCCCAGAGCCCCCGGGGACCCCCTCACCTCGCTGTGCCCCCCAGGACCGGCCCTGCCGTGTTTGGGGTTTGGGGGTGGCACCAGCCCGGCCCTGCCGCGTCCCCGGGGGCAGGCCGTGGCCCCTGCCATGGGGAGTGGGTCCCTCCCCCCTCACTCCCCCGAGGTGATGGGAAGCCCCCCGGGGATGGGGGGTGGGTCCCCCCCAGTTCAGAGCCCCCCCCTTGGCTCCCCGAGTGTTTCCCAGGGCAGGAGGGCCCCCCCAGAGACCCCCAAATCGCCCCCCAGCCCCAAGGGGGGTGGAAAGGAGTGCCCCGGGGTGATCCCCCCTGCCGTGTGTCCCCCCCGTCCTGTCACCACTGTCCCTGTGCTGGGGTCCCCCCCGTGACCCCCACCCCGCAGCACAGGGTGACAGGGGGTCCAGGGTGAGAACCGGGGCTCTGGGGGTCCCCCCCGGGGTTTGGGGGCTGTGGGATGGGGTCCCAGCCCCCCCCTCCCTCATGTCCCCTCTTGTCCCCTCCTGTCCCCGTGTCCAGTCGCTGCTGTGACAAGAAGAGCTGCGGGAACCGCAACGAGACCCCCTCGGACCCCGTGATCATCGACAGGCACGGGGCCATGGGGGGACCCCCACACCTCGCTGGGGCCTGGGGGGGCGGTGGCAGCCGCGGGGGGTCCCCTGGAGCTGGTCCGGGGTGTCCCCAGGGCTGGGGACGCGGTGCCAGCGCTGCCCCACCAGTGCTGAGCCTGGACATGGTGTCACCTCCCTGGTGACACCAAGCCAAGCCCGGGCTTGGGGATCCCACCCCCCCCCGAGGTCACTGGGGGGGACAGCGTGGGGAGGGGTCTGCACCTCATCCCACCTGCAAGGGGGGTCCCTCAGGGCCCCCGTCCCACCTCCCTGGGGACAGGGGGTGACACAGACCCTGTCCCCGACCCCCACCCCAGCAGCGCCCTCCAGATGTGCCCCCTCCCGCCCCCTGGCCAGATGTTGGGATCGTGGCCCTGGAATTCCATCACGGCCACGGGATGGAGCTGCCACGTCCTGGTGTCCCCGTGTCCCCTCCCCTACCGCCCCCCATCCCCAGGTCCCTCGGGGGGTCACACAGGGCCAGGAGTGTCCCCGAAGTCCCCAACACACCCCCATCCGCTGGGGCTCTCGAGGGGTCACCCAGGGCCAGACGTGTCCCCAGGCCGCCCCCCAGTCCCCCAGTTCCCCAGCCCCCAGCCCAGCCCCACTGGTTTGAGAGCCCGATAAGTGCCCTATCAACATGTTAATCAAATTACTTAGGAGCTAAAATTGACGCTTTTCATTAATTATACACGATTATGCAAATTGCGGATTCAAATTTATGCGCTGGGAGCAGAAGGTGCTCGGCAGCGGCGCCGCTCATTTGCATATTCAATGGGCATTAGCGATGCTAATTAATGCGCAGGACCCGTATTTTTAACTCCCGGGCCCATACGAGCGGCTGCAGCCCCGGGGCTCAGCCCAGCACCCCCGGGCCGGGGGCGGGGGTTGAGGGCCGGGGGTCGGGGAGCCCCAGCCCTCGCTGTCCCTGTCAATCTCCCGGTGCTGGGGGGGGTGTTTTCCTGCCGTTTTCCAGCTCCTTCCTTGCCCTGATTACCACCTGCGGGGCGGGGAGGGGGGCGCGGGGGGTCCCCCCTCTGCCTGAGCTCGGCCGGGAAAGGGGCCTTGGTGGGCACGGCCGGGCTGGGACCCCCTTCCTGGGGGAGCAGCTTCCCCTGGGACCCTCTTTCCGTGGAGCCCCCCCCCTCCAGGGGACCCCTTTCCTTTGGGACCCCTTTTCTCTGGGGTCTCTTCTTCGTAGGACCCCTTTTCCATTGATTCCCCTCGTCATGGGACCCCCTTTCCCTGGGACCCCCCTCTGACTGTGGGACCCCCTTTCCCTGGGACGCTGTTGTTGTGGGACCCCCTCTCCCTGCACACCCCTCTCCATGGGATCCTCTTTCCCTGTGATCCCAAATCCGTGGGAGAACCCCCCTCCACGGGAGCCCCTCTCCCTGTCGCTGGGAAGGGCCAGAGGGGGACACTGGGAACAGGGAGGGACACTGGGATGGGGAGAGTGGGGACAGTGGGATCGGGCAGGGGGACAGCGGGATGGGGATGGGACGGGACACCGGGATGGGGCAAGATGTCACACTGGGGTGGGGCCAGAGTGGCACAGAGGGATGGGGACAGTGGGGGACAGGGTGGCACAATGGGATGGGGACGGTGGAATGGGACAGGTGGGATGGGACAGGGTGACACAGGGATGGGAAGAGCACGGGATTGTGGGATATGGCAGGATGGGGACAGAGGGATGGGGACAGGATGGGACAGTGGGGTGGGAACGGGGCGGGGGACAGAGGGATGGGGACAGTGGGATGGGGACGAGACGGATGGGGACAGTGGGATGAGACAGGGTGACACAGGGGTTGGGACAGTGGGATGGGACAGGATGGGACAGAGGGATGTTGCAGGATGTCACACTGGGGTGGGGACAGAGAGGCACAGAGGGATGGGGACAGTGGGGTGGGACATTGGAATGGGGATGGGGTGGGACAGTGGGATGGGACAGGGTGACACAGGGATGGGGACGGGGTGGGACAGTGGGAAATGGCAGGATGGGGACAGAGGGATGGGGACAGGATGGGACAGTGGGGTGGGAATGGGGGGGACAGAGGGATGGGGACGGTGGGATGGGACAGGATGGGGACAATGGAATGGGACAAGGTGACACAGAGGGATGAGGCCACCGTGCCACGGAGGTTTTTTAACACCCCCCAAACCCTTCCCAATCCCAGGTTTTTCCTCAAGTTTTTCCTCAAGTGCAACCAGAACTGCCTGAAGAACGCGGGGAACCCCCGGGACATGCGGCGCTTCCAGGTGAGAGCCCCCAAAATAAAATATCTGAGAGGGTGTGGGACTTCAAGGGGTTGGGGGACCCCTAAAGCTTTCAAAGGGGTGGAGGGGATGGGGGACTCGATTCACCAAGGGTAGTCCCAATTCCCCTCCACCCCTTTGAGATCCCAATTCCTGAAGCCCCCTGTGCCCCTGAGCCGCAGCTGGCGCAGGGAGCGCAGCCGAGTTGGAGGGGAGGGGGTCCTGGCTCTTCCTCCCCACCTCCAGCCCCCCGCAGGTTCATCAGGGCTCGGTAACGAGATGTTAATTGTGACATTTCGGTGATTAACGACCCCATTTGCATCGCGGCGGCGGCAGGAGAGCGGTGGAGGGAGGGGGGGCGAAGAGGGGGCGAGGGGTCCCCTTTTCGGGGCTGGGGGCTAGGAGGGGCAGGAGTCCCCTTGGGGGGCTGGAGGGTGGTCCTGGAGGGGCTACGGGGGTCCCTGGGGGTTCTGGGGTCCCTGGAGGGGGCTGGGAGGGCGACAAGAGGGGCTAAGGGGTGTCTTGGGGGGACAGGAGAAACTCAGGGTCCCCTGGGGTGTCCTGGATGGGGAGGGGGGTCCTGGGGTGGTTGAGAGGGTCCAGGGGGTCCCTGGGTGGGGAGGGGCTGAGAAATAGGAGGAGGGGCTGGGGAGGGTCTCCTGGGGTTCTGGGGGTCCCCTGGAAGGGCTGGTGGGTTCCCTTGGGGGGGGCTTCAAATGCACCCACCCCTTTGTCACCTGCACATGGGTGTGACAGCCCTGGGGACACCCGGCACAGCCCCCCCGGGGGGCTCAGGGGGTGCTCACTGGGGGTCAATGTCCCTCAGGTGGGGGGGTCTCTGATGGTCAGGGGTCCCTGTCCCTCAGGTGGGGGGGTGTGTGATGGTCAGGGGTCCCTGTCCCTCAGGTGGTGGTCTCCACCACGGTGCACGTGGACGGCCACGTGCTGGCCGTGAGTGACAACATGTTCGTGCACAACAACTCCAAGCACGGCCGGAGGGCCCGGCGGCTCGACCCTGCCGAGGGTGAGGGACACGGGGGGGACAGGGGGGACATGGAGGGGGACACAAGGGAGGGAGGTGGAAGGGGGTGGGATCCCCTCGAGCCATGTGTCCCCCTGTGGTCACTGGTGGCTGTCCCCTCCCTGCTGTCCCCATCTGTCCGTGTCCCTGAGCCTGTCCCTCGTGTGCCAGCCCCTGTGTCTGTTCCCATCTGAGTCCATGTCCCCATGGCCACCTGTGTCCCCGTGTCCGTGTCTGTCCCCATCTGTCCCTGTGGCCACCTGTGTGTCCCAATCCATGTCCGTGTGTCTGTCCCCATCCATATCCACCTCACTGTGTCCCCCTGTCTGTGTGTCTGTCCCTGTCCATGTCCATGCCCCCATGTCCCCACCTGTCCTAATCTGTGTCCCTGAGTCTGTCCCCAGCCATGTCCGTGTCCCCATGTCCCTGTGTCCCTGTGTCCCTGTGTCTGTCCCCACTGTGTCCCCATGCCTGTCCCCAGCCATATCCATGTCCTCATGTCCCCATGCCTGTCCCCACTGTGTCCCCATTGTGTCCCTGTGTCTGTCCCCTGCCATGTCCATGTCCCTGTGTCCGTGTGCCTGTCCCCACTGTGTCCCCGTGTCTGTCCCTACCTGTTTCCCCTGTCCCCATGCCTGTCCCCTCTGTGTCCCCACTGTGTCCCCGTGCCTGTCCCGCCTCTCCCCCTCTCTCCCTTCCCTCCTCTCCCCCATCCCCGTGCCCCCCAACCCCCTCCAACCCCCTTAACGCCCCCCCGCCCCCGGTGACTGTCCCCCCCGCAGCCACCCCCTGCATCAAGGCCATCAGCCCGAGCGAGGGCTGGACCACGGGCAGGGCCACCGTCATCGTCATCGGCGACAACTTCTTCGACGGGCTGCAGGTGGTGTTCGGCACCGTGCTGGTGTGGAGCGAGGTACGGGGGGCCTGGGGGGGCCGCGGGACCCCCTGGGCCGCGCTGACTCCCCGTGTGTGTCCCTCTCACCCCCCCGCAGCTCATCACCCCCACGCCATCCGGGTGCAGACTCCCCCCCGCCACATCCCCGGCGTCGTGGAGGTGACCCTGTCCTACAAATCCAAGCAGTTCTGCAAGGGCGCCCCGGGCAGATTCGTCTACACCGGTGAGGGGGCGCGGGGCGGGTGGGCAGCGCCCCGGAAAGGGGGGCAGAGACCCGGGAAAGGCGGGAGCAGAGCCAAGGGAGGGGACACAGACCCCCCAGAAACAGACCCTGGGGAGGGTTCCCAGCCCGGGGATCTGACCCCCCTTCTTTCCCCCCCAGCCCTGAACGAGCCCACCATCGACTACGGGTTCCAGCGGCTGCAGAAGGTGATCCCCCGGCACCCCGGGGACCCCGAGCGCCTGCCCAAGGTGGGACCCCCGGGGCACAGGGACACCTCTGGGGGGCACAGGGACACCTCTGTGGGACACAGGGACAGGGAGGGGGGACCCTGTGCCCCCCACCTCCTCCAGAGCTGGCAGCAGGGAGGGACACGGGGAGGGGTTTGGGGGGGCCCAGGGAGGGCCATGGGGGGAACATGGGGGGTGTTGGGGGTGTTCAGGGAGGGCCATGGAGGGGACAGGGGGTTCCTGAGAAGGGGTTCAGGGAGGGCCATGGGGGGCTGGGGTGGGGGGCAGGGTGGGGGTGCCTGCAGTGTGTGATGGGGTTGGGGTGGGGGTGCAGCCCCCCCTGGACCCCCCTAACCCCCCTGCCCCAGGAGGTGCTGCTGAAACGGGCGGCTGACCTGGTGGAGGCGCTTTATGGGATGCCCCACAGCAACCAGGTGGGCACGCCCCGGGACCCCCCCGTGGGACCCCCACCCCGGGAACACCCCTGGGACCTGCCCCCCTCCCCTGACACGGTGCCATGGGCTGATGCTGTGCTGGGGGTGACACCAGGGGGTGGCACTGTGGGGTGACACTGTGGGGTGATGCTGTGGGGTGACACAGGGGGGTGAACCATGCTGGGGGCGTGGACACCATGGGGTGCCACCGTGCTGGGGGGTGACCCTGTGGGGTTCCACACTGTGCCACAAGGTGACACTGTTGGGTGACGCTGGGGGGGTGACACTCGGGAGTGATGCCGGTGCCACACCGTGCCATGAGGCGACGCTGTGGGGTGACACCCGTGGGGTGACGCTGTGCTGGGGGGGGGCCCGCCATGTCGGGGGGGTGACACCATGGGATGCCACACTGTGCCACGAGGTGACACCGCGTGGGTGTCCCCCCGGGGTGCCCCGCGGGGCTCTGTGGGGTGGTGACACCGCGGTGGCCGCCGTGCCGGTGTCCCCAGGAGGTGCTGCTCAAGCGGGCTGCCGACATCGCCGAGGCGCTGTACAGCGTGCCCCGCCCCCCCGCGCCGCTGCCCCCCACCCACGTGGGGGTCCCGGCCTTCGGGGGGGCCCAGCTGGGGCTGCCCGTGGCCGAGTCCCCGCAGGGCTCCGACCAAGGTGGGCCCGACCCCGCGCTGGGGACGGCAGGGGTTTTATCCCCACCCCCCCTCACCCTTTCCCCGTGTCCCCACCCGTCCCCACGCGTCCCCACACGTCGCCGTGTCCCGCAGGGTTCTCGCGCAGCCCGGGCACCCCCCCGGCGCGGGGGTTCGGCCCCCCCGGCTCTGCCCCCCAGCAGGGCTATGCCGGGGGCACCGGCGGCTTCGGGGGGGGCACCATGGCCGGGCTGGGGGTGCCCGGGTCCCCCCCCAGCTTCCTGAACGGCTCCACCGCCACCTCCCCCTACGCCAGTGAGTCCCGGCCGCGGGGGGGGCCCAGGGCGGGGGCAGGGGGGTCTTGGGGGGCCCCGAACTTCTGGAAGGGTCCCTGGGGAGTCCCCAAAGTCATGGGAGAGTCCCTGGGGGGTTTCCAGTGATGTGCCAGTGCTGGAGGGTCCCCGAAGTCATGGGCGGGGGGTTCCTGGGGGTTCCCCAAAGTCGTGCCAACCCTGGGGTGTCCCAAATCCATGGACCAAAGCCGGGGTGTCCCCACAGCCACGTGCCAGCCCTGGGGGGTCCCCAAAGTCACGTGCCAGCCCGCGTGTCGCTGTCCCCACGGTGTCCCCACCCCGCGTGTCGCTGTCCCTGCGGTGTCCCCACCCCGCGTGTCGCTGTCCCCGCAGTCATGCCGGCCAGCCCCCCCCTGGGCGCGTCGTCGGTGTCGGTCCCCGCGGGCCCCCCCGCGCCCACCCCTCCGGGGGGTTTCTCCTTCTCGCCGGTGACGATGATTTCGGCCGTGAAGCAGAAAAGCGCCTTCGCGCCCGTGGTGCGGCCGCCCGGCTCCCCCGGCCCCGCCTGTGCCAGCGCCGCCGCCGCCCTGCAAGGTGACACGGCCCCGCTGGCCCCGTGTCCCTGTGTCCCCACTCCCACCCCCGGCTCCCCCTGCCCCACGGAGGGGTCCCGGTGTCACCGTGTTCCCTGTACCTCCCTGATGTCCTGAACGTGGGCACGGCCGGGGCTGCCCTGTGCCACCCTCGTGCTTGTCCCCCCATGTACCCCCGTCCCTGATGTCACCTCTGTGTCACACTGTCCCTCCGTCCCTGATGTCCCCCCTGTGTCACACTGTCCCCTCCGTCCCCGATGTCCCCCCTGTCCCTGGTGTCCCTCCCTGTCCCCGATGTCCCCCCCTGTGTCATGCTGTCCCCCCTCTGCCCAGACCCTCCGTTCGAGGACTCGGACAAGTTCCCGGCCCCGGCGCGGCCGCTCCAGGGATTGGCCTATTCCTAAGCACGGTGGGTCCTGGGGGGCTCCAGACCCCCCCATTCCCCTGGGATGGACATGGGGGAGCAGGGACAAGGGATGGGGACTCCCCTGTCCCCCATGTTCCCCTTTCCAACCCCCTTCCCTTGCAGCCGGGCCCGGCCGCCTCGAGCCGCCCTGGGAGCTGGGACGGCACCGGAGCCGCCACACGGAGCGGGACGGGGGACCCCCACCCCAAAGGGGACCCCGACCGCGCTGGCCACGGCTCCCCCAGCCCGGCCCCCCCGGGGGACCCCGGCCCCGCTCAGGGGGGGCTTTGGGGAGCTCCCAGAATGACCCAAACATGCTGGATTTGGCCTCGGAAAGACATGGAGAGACCTGGGAGTGGGGGCAGTGGAACTGAGGGCATGAGGATCCAGGCGAGGAGGGAGGGATGTGCCGGTGTGGGATGGATGCCCTGAGGTGGGATGGATGCTCCAGGGTGGGATGGATGCTCCAGGACAGGATGGATGCTCCAGGACAGGATGGATGCCCCAGGATGGGATGGATGTAACAAGGCAGGATGGACACTCAGAGCTGGAGGGATGGTCCAGGACAGGATGGAAGCTCCAGGGTGGGATGGATGGATGGAGAGATGGATGGAAGGATGGGGGGATGCTCTGGGGAGGGCTGGAAGCTCCAGGCTGGGATGGATACTTTGGAACAGGACGGATGCTTGTGGTTGGAGGATGTTCCAGGGCAGGAGGGATGGATGTTCTGGAGTGGGATGGATATCCCTGGACAGGAAGGATGCTCAGGTGGGTATCCCTGGACAGGAAGGATGCTCAGGTGGGATGGATATCCCTGAACAGGAAGGATGCTCTGGGATGGGATGGTATCCCTGGACAGGAAGGATGCTCAGGTGGGATCCAGCTCCCCCACCATTCCCAGCTCTCTCCCAGCTGTGCAGCTCCACATCTGGAACTGCCCACCCACGACTCCCATGCCTGGATCCTGGATCCCAGCTCTCTGCCCGTGCAGGATCAGGCCCTGCTGCCCCCCCGGGAGGGGACCCCCCTGTCCCTGTCCCTGTCCCCGGAGGCCCCAGGGCTGTGGGACCTTCTCTCCTCGTTATCAATCATTATTAATATCAACACTCCAATCATTGTTAGCCCGGGGGGAGCCCTGGGGGGGAGGGGTGGGTGGGGCAGGGGACCCACCCTGGCCCTGCTGCCCCCAGGGGGTGTCCCTGTCCCTCCCTTTGCCCCCCTCCCATCTGGGAAGGAGCAGCGGGAACTTTGTACATAAAAAGGGTTAAAAGCCCAACCCCCTTCAGCCCCTGCCCCCCTCACATCCCACCCGGGGGTGGCCCGGACCCCCCGCGTGTCTCCTGTCACCGCTGTCCCTGTTCGGTGTCAGTGCTCCCTCGGCACCCCCTGGGGCCACCCCGGGCAGGGCTGGGGTCCTGCGGGACCCCTGGGGACAGGGACCCTGGGACAGGCCCCCCGCGGCGCTGTCAGGGCGTGGCCGGGGTCCCTCGTGGGGTGGGGGGCTCTGCCGTGGGGAATAAAGGCCTTGCAGAAGGGCTGCGGCTCCGGGGCTCTGTGAGCGGGGGGGCGGCACTGGGGACCCCGGGGTGGTGACACCGCGGGGGGAGTCCTGGGTACAGTCGCGGGGAGAGGGAGGGGGCTTCACCCTCCCGGCGCCCACCCTGGGCCCCACGGCCCCCAGTGCTGCCCCCACTGCCGGGGGTCCCAACTCGCCGCCCCCAGCTATTTGCACCCCCGTGCGGGAGCTGGGGGGGTTTGCGGGGACCCCCATCCCCTCACCACCCCCTGGATTCCTCCCACCCCCCAGGGCCCCTCTGTCCCCCGGGGGACACGGGGGGGGACCCCCAACTTTGGACAGGGGGGCCCAAGGACCCTCCCTGACCCCCCTGCTGTGCTGGGGACAAGGCAGGGCAGGGGGGTGACCCCACCTGGGGACAGCGGGGACACCCCCATCCTGCCCTGCCGGCGCCCCCCGTGTCTCCCCCGGCCGCAGGTGCCACCTCCTGCCACCCCCTGGGCTCCGTCCTGTCCCCTGGGGGTCCCCCGTGTCCCCCCGGCCGCAGGTGCCACCTCGTGTCCCCCCCCGCGCCGCTCCGGGGTGTCGCTGCGAGCGGAGGGTGCTGGAGTTAATTACGCTAATCAAGAAAGGTTAATGAGGCGGCGGCGGTGCCAGCGCGGGTCTGTGGGGGGGGGTGGCACAGGTGGCACTGCCGGGGGTGCCGGGCACGGGAACGGGGGGCACAGGGAGGTGACACTGAGTCACGGCCCGGCCCGGGCGGGAACGGCGACACCGGGACCCCCCCCGGGGACACCGGGACACCCCGGGGACAGCGTGGGGGGAGGGGACACGGGGGCTGCAGGTGCTGCGGGGGGCACACGTGGCACGGGGGGGGGGACACACATCCAGCCGGTGTTGGGGACACGCACGTGGCACGTGCCGTGGGGACACTCGCGGGCGTGGGGGACACGCGTGCAGGGGGGACACGCACGTGGCACAAGTGGGAGGGACACAGGGGGGCTGCGGTGAGAGGGTCTGGGGGGTCTTGGGGCAAGTGGGGGGAACGGGGGTGGTCTGAGGGCTGAGGGCCCCCCTGGCTGAGCTGTCCCTTCTCCCACGGGTGCCCTTGGCTTTAATCTCTCCCAGATCCCCTAAATCCCCCAATTCCCCCAAATTCCCCTTTCCCCCCAATTCCAGGGCTCTGCTGCTCCCAGGGTTCCAGTTCCAAGGCTGATCCCGGGTTTTGGGGCCGGGCAGGGGGGAATGGGGTGGGGGATAAAGGCAAAGCGGGCACAAGGAAAAGGGGGATGGAGGAGCTGGAAAGGGGGGACACGGAAAAAAAGGGGGGTCCCATTTCCCTCTCTGGGGGAGGGGCCTCCCGGAGCCGATTGCTGGGAAATCCCGGGATAAAATTACCCCCCAAAATAGCCGGGGTGGGGGGGATGGGGGTTGGGGCCGTTCCCGGCTGCTCCCGCTGGGACACGGTGGGAGACGCCCCCCCCAGCCCCAAATGCACCCCTCAGCACAACAGGGGTGTGAGGACTCACAAATTCTCCCCCAATGTCACAGTGGGGGGGTTGGAGACCCCCCAAATCTCTCCTGGGTCAATGGGGGTGTGGGGACCCCCAAATAACCCTCGGGGACAGTGGGGGGAGTGGGGACACCCCAACATCCCCCCCAGGTCACAGTGATGGGGTGGGGACCTCCCGGGGACAATGAGGTTGTGGGGATCCCCAAATTCCTCCCCCCGAGCCACAGTGAGGGGGTGGGGACCCCCAAGCTCCCCCCTGGGGCCAATGGGGGGTCCCCAAAGAGAGGACGCTCCCCCACCCTTGTTTAGGGGGGGTCCCACCCCAAAACCCCCTTTCCGCTCCCTCGGGTCTCCCTGCCCGGGGCCGTTTCCTTTAAGGGAGGCGGGGCGGGGGCGGTGCCGGGGGTTCCCGGGGTTTGAGTGGGGGTCAGCGGGCTGGGGGCCGGGCCGAGGGGCTGATGGGACGATGCTCCGCGTGTTCCTCCTCCGCGCCGAGAACCTGCGCTCTCCCGACTCGGACATCAGCGACGCGTACTGCTCCGCCGCCTTCGCAGGTGGGGGCTCGGGGGCTCGGGGAGGGGGGCGAAGGGCTCGGGAGGCTCCCGGGCGGGTCCCGGGGTTTGGGGCTGCCCCGGGGGTTTTGCTCTCGCCGGGCTCTGCCACCGCCGCGGGGACGGGGAGGAAGTCATGGGGGGGTCCTGCTGGTGTGTCCCCCCTTCTCACACCCCCTCAGTTTGTGACCCCCACCGTGAGCGCGGCCACGCTGTCACGCCCCGCCCGACACGTGGGGACCCCCTAAAGCCCCCCGGTTCCTTTTTGGGGGACATGGCTGAGCGGTGACACCAGCGCCGATATTTTTGGCCTCTCTGCGCTCCTGGGGGGGGAGGGGCCATGCCGAATTTTGGGGGGGGGGTAAGGGTGTGTCCCTTCCCTGCGACCCCCGTGGGCTCAGGGAGGGGTCCCACGAGTTGAGGACCCTCCGGGACAGGCGGTGCCGGGGTGGGGACACCCCCAGGTCCCCCTAAAAGTGCTATTGGGGGCCACCCCCCCTCCCCAAAAAAGGGGTGACAGAAAGGACAAGGCGGGGGTGACATCACAGCTCGTCTGGGACGTTTTTGGGGTGAACAAGCAGCTTTTTGGGGCGGGGCGGGCCAGTAATCACCTCCGGGGCTTTGTGCTGCTTTTCCCTGGATGGGGGCGGGCCCTTTCCCGGGATTTGGGTGCTCCCCGTGTCCCGCTGCTCCCGCAGCTGCCGGGGTGTCCCTTCCCGGTGTCCCATTCCCAGAACCCCCGGGACAGGGGCTTGGGCACCCGCAGTTCCCGGCATTCCCAGCTCCCGGGGTTTGCGTGCCCTGCGGGATCGCAGCATTCCAGGCTCCGGGAGATTTCCCAGCCCCAGGGTCGGCAGCGACCCCAGATCCGGTGCTGGGTCATCCTCAGGCCTCGGAATATCCCCAGATCCCGGGGATTTCTTTCCCATGCCGGGATCACAGCCCCCACATCCCGGTGTTTGGGGGATCCCCGGGACTCGCAGCATCCCCAAATCCCAGTGCCAGCCCCTCCTCAGCTCCGCAGTTTTCCTGGATCCTGGGGGTTTATTTCTCATCCTGGGATGTGTCCTGGAAGTTCTCAGCATTCCTGAGTCATGATGATGGAGTTTACCATGTTTGGGATCTGCAGCTTCCCTGGATCCCAGTGCCAGGCCATCCTGGGAGTTTGCAGCATTCCAGTGATTTAATTTACCATCCCTGGGGGTTGGAGCTTCCTGAATCCTGAGGCTTTATTTCCCATTCCAGCTCCAGGGGGTTTATTTCTCACTTTGGGATGTGTCCTGGAGGTTCTCAGCATTCCTGAGTCACCCTGGTTATTAAATTTACCCTGTCTGGGATCTGCAGCTTCCCAGGATCCCAGTGCCAGGCTGTCCTGGGAATTTGCAGCAGTCCTGGGTCCTCAGGATTTAATTTCCCATCCCTGGGACTTTCATCATCCCTTGATCCCAGAGATATATTCACCATCCCTGGGGTTCACAGCATTCTCACATCCTGGTTCCAGGCCATCCTTGGGCTTTCCAGCATCCCTGGGTTCCAGTGATTTGATTTCCCATCCCCAGGCCTTGCAGCTTCCCTGGATCCTGGGGCTTCATTTCCCATCCCAGCTCCAGGGGGTTTATTTCTCACCCTGGGATGTGTCCTGGAGGTTCTCAGCATTCCTGAGTCACTCTGGTTGACTTTGCCATGGTTGGGACCTGCAGCTTCCCTGCATCCCAGGGAACTATTTCCCATCCTGGGTTTGCAGCTTCCCTGGATCCCAGTGAATTATTTACCAGATCCCAGTGAATTATTTCCCATCCTGGGGCTGGCAGCATTCCCACATCCCAGTGCCAGGCCATCCTTGGGGTTCAAAGCATTCCTGGCTCCTCATGATTTAATTTACCCTTCCTGGGATTTGCAGCATCCCTGGATCCTGACGCTGGGACATCCTCAGGCCTTGCAGCATCCCCAGATCCCAGGGATTTCTTTCCATCCCTGGCACTCCCAGCAATCCCAAATCCTGGTGTTCAGGCATCCCTGGGAGTTCCTGGCATCCCTGAGTCCCAGTGCTTTCATTTCCCAGGTCTGATCACCTGGATCCCGGGCCTGAGTCCCAGTGCTTTCATTTCCCAGGTCTGATCACCTGGATTCCGGGGATTTATTTACCATCCCTGGCTCCAGGGAAGTGATTTACCTTCCCAGGGTTTGCAGCATCCCTGGATCCTGGTGCCAGACCATCCTGGGGGTTCCCAGCAGCCCTGAGCCCCAGGGATTTATTTACCATCCCTGGGAATTGCAGCATCCCTGGATCCTGGTGCTTGGATATCCTTGGGCCTTGCAGCATCCCCAGATCCCGGTGAATTATTTCCCATGCCGGGCTTTGCAGCATCCCTGGATCCCAGAGCCAGGCCAGCCCTGGAGTTCTCAGCATCCCTGAGTCCTGGTGCCTGGCCACTCCCAGATCCTGGAGCATCCCTGGATCCCGCTGATTTATTCCCCTCTGTGGCTCCAGCATCCCTGGATCCCGCTGATTTATTCCCTTTCATGGCTCCAGCATCCCTGGATCCCGCTGATTTATCCCCCATCCCGGTGCCTCCCCCGCCCCCCAGTGCCCCCTCCCCGCATCCCTCCCATTATCCCGGTTTTCCCACCCTCCGGCGCTGCCGCTCCGAGGCGTTTTTTGTGCCGCCTCCCGGCGCCTCCTCCCGCCGGGAAGGGCCGGCCCGGGAAAAGGGGGGGGATCGGGATGGGGGGGTGGGATCCTGCCCGCTCCCGGCTCCATCCCGGCCATGCTGCGGGTGCTGCTCCAACGGGCCACCCACCTCCCGAGCCTGGAAAAGCGGGATAGGCAGAGCGATCCCGTGGCCAGCCTGACCTTCCGAGGTGAGGGATCCCCGACTTTGGGATGGGAGGGGGGTTGGGGAGATTTTTGGCTGCTTTGGAAGCCCCTTCCCACAAAGCCCGGGGGCTGCTGAACCCCATCCCGCTCCTAAATCCTTGGGGAATCCCCCCCATTCCCTGCCTCCCATGCATCCCTTGCTCCCACCCTCGGCACTGGTGTGTCCCAGGAGCGGGCTGGGAATTCTCTCCCTGTCCCTCCATGATTTTGGAGTGCTTTGCTTTGCATTTTAATTAAGATGGAATTAATACAGATGATCCCTTTCAGAGGGGTTATCCCATTCCCGGGGGATGGATTTCCCGGGAAGGGAGGGAGGGAGGGAGGGCTCTGCATCTCGAAAGTTCTCCCTGGAGGATGTCCCTGGGATATTTTTTTTTGGAAGCCGTTTCCTGCCGGTGGAAAATCTCCATTTTTAGAAAAAAACCCCAAACAAACAAGGAAAAGGCCGAGCAATTCCTGCCCCAGCTTTTCCTGTGGGGAGCGGGAGGGGTGCTGGGAATGGGGGTGCTCCTGGTCCGTGTCCCCCTGGCTTTGGGATCCCTCCCATCCCTCAGCTCCGCTTGGCCCAATCCTGATCCCGGAGCGCAGCGGGAATTGCAGGGCTGGGAGTGCCGTGGGAATGGGCAATAACAGGGAGATGAATCTCCAGCTGAGGAAGGAAAGAGGGTTGACATTCCCAGAGGTGCTGTGTCCATGTCCAGGAGGTTGGGCAGAGGCTCTTCCCGATCCCAAATAGGGAAAGGTGCTTTTACTGATGCCGAAATAGCCAAAAAGCGGGAATTTCTGGAGTGTCCCGGGCTCCCGGTCCCCCCCTGTGCCAAATCCTGGTGTCCCTTCCCGCTGTCCCCCGGGATTTGAGTCACTGCTATTGTTTGGCTCTTCCTTTTCCTCTTCCCCCGGTCCCTCCCGCTCGGGATGCCGTGACATTCCAGCGGGGACAGGGGGGTCGTGGTTTTGGGGGATCCTGGGCAGGGCTGGAGCCCCCCCTGGACTGGGAATGGGGGTTCTGGGAGGCTCCTGATGGGACATTCCCAGATGGCTCCGCTCCCGTCCCGGGCCACCAGGGGACAGGGCACCATCCATGAATTTGGTGGGATGGTGAGGAAACTGAGGTACAATCCCGAGGTTTTCATGGAGGGAGGGGGTGTTTGGGACTCCCATCCCAAAAATGCCCCTGGAACACTTTGGGAGCTTCCTCTGTGCTCCTGGGGAAACTGAGGCACAGCTCCAAGGTGACTTCCATGGGTTTTCCAGGGTTTGGGATCCAAGTGGAGTCCTGGACCCCATCCCTGCATCCTCAGTCCAACCTAGGAGTAGGGAATGGGCCCAGCCCTACTCCTGGGAATTGTGGGAGTCACTGGATGCTCAGCCCCACCTGGGAACAGGGAATGGGGCCCAATCCTGCTCCTGGGAATTGCAGGAGTCCCTGGATGTCCTGAGAGCCAGGAATTTTGGGATCCTGCTCCACAGGAAGCTCCTGTGATCCGTGTGTTTCTCCCTCCAGGTGTGAAGAAGAGGACAAAGGTCATCAAGAACAACGTAAATCCCATATGGAATGAGGTGAGAGTGTCCCCATCCCGGGGCCTTTGGTGGGAAAAGCGGCACCTTTTCCCTGCCAGCCCCATCCTGGCCTTCCAGGGGCAAAGTTTCTAAAAAAAAGGGAATTTAGTGGGAAAAAGGGGAGTTTTTCCAGCACCTTTTCCCTTCCAACCCTGTGCTGTGTTTCCATGGACCAAAATTTAAAAAAAGAGGAGGATTCAGTGGGAAAAAAAGGAATTTTTCCAGCACCTTCTTCCTTCCAATACTGTGTTTTCATTGGCTAAAACCTAAAAAAAAGAGGGATTTGGTGGGAAAATGAACCTCTGGAAGGGGAGTTTTTCAAGCACCTTCTTCCTTCCAATCCTGAGTTGGGTTTTCATGGGGTAAAATTTTTAAAAAAAGGATTTAGTGGGGAAAAAAGAGGAGTTTTTCTAGCACCTTCTTCCAATCCCATCCTGTGTTTCCAGGGACCAAAATTAAAAGAAAAGGATTTGGTGGGAAAAAAAGGGGAGCTTTTCCAACACCTCCTTCCTTCCAACCCTGACTTGGATTTTCATGGGCCAAAGTTTAAAATAAAAGGGGATTTGGTGGGAAAAGAAGCCCATGGAAGAGAAGTTTTTCAGGCACCTTCTCCCTTCCATCCCTGTCCTTTGTTTCTGTGGACCAAAATTTAAAAGAAAAAGGGGATTTAGTGGGAAAAAAAGGAGTTTTGCCAGCACCTTCTTCCTTCCATCCCTGTCCTGTGTTTCCACGGGCCAAAATTTAAACAAAAGAGGGATTTTTTGGGAAAACTGCCCCAGCTGTGGTGCTGAACTGGATTCCATGGTTGGTCCTTCCCGTTAATCCACGGCCAGGAAAAGGCCCTTGCCAAGGGCAGGTTTTTCCTTGGGACCTGCCAGGAAATTTGGGCTGGGGGGAGCTGGGAGGCAAAGCCTGGGGTGCCTCATCCTGGTGCTGATCCCGCTCCTCTCTCCTTTCCAGGGATTCGAGTGGGATCTCAAGGGGGTTCCCCTGGATGCCGGAGCCGAGCTCACCGTGGTGGTCAAAGACCATGAGACCGTGGGCAGGAACAGGTGGGAGAAGCTCTGGGAGCTGGGAATGATCCCCCCCCACCCCGCTCCCAGCCGTGGGATGTGCGGGAATGTCCCCCGGGGTGTGCGGGAATGTCCCCCGGGATGTGCGGGAATGTCCCCCGGGGTGTGCAGGAATGTCCCCCGGGATGTGCGGGAATGTCCCCCGGGATGCGCGGGAATGTCCCCCGGGATGTGCGGGAATGTCCCCCGGGGTGTGCGGGAATGTCCCCCGGGATGTGCGGGAATGCCCCCCGGGGTGTGCGGGAATGTCCCCTGGGATGTGCGGGAATGTCCCCCCGGGGTGTGCGGGAATGTCCCCCGGGATGTGCGGGAATGTCCCCCGGGATGTGCGGGAATGTCCCCTGGGATGTGCGGGAATGTCCCCCGGGGTGTGCGGGAATGTCCCCCGGGATGTGCGGGAATGTCCCCTGGGATGTGCGGGAATGTCCCCCGGGATGTGCCGGCTCTTCCCGGGCTCCCTCCCCGGGCAGTGGGAGGCCGGAGCAGCATTTCTGGGCTGCTTTGCTCCCAGCGTGGGGGGAGATCGCGGCGTTGGAGGGCTGGGAATGCTCAGGGGATGCCTGTGCCGGGCTCTTGGCCGGGAGGTGGGAAGTGGCTGCCAAGCTCCTTTCCCGAGGCGCCGGCAGCGCCGGGAAGGGGTGGTGGAGCCCTTGGAGCTGCCGCCTTCCTTCCTCCCCCCCCCAGCCCCTGTGACCCCACTTCAGGAATTCCCTGGATAGAGGGCTCCCTGCTGTGTCTGGAACGGGGGGATCCCACTGTGGGAGCCCCAGCCTGGCTCCCTGCGTGGCTCCGTGGGGAGGGAGAGCTGTTTGGAATGGGAAAAAATTGAGGAAGGGATTTATTTTTGGGCTTTGGAGGGTTGGGAATGTGCTGCTCCTGCTCCTGCTCCTGCTCCTGCTCCTGCTCCTGCTCCGGCCGGGACAGGGAGCATGGCCTGGCCTGATCCCGTTTCCAGAGCTGGAGCCAACCTTGGGCTGGCTCTTGGGCTGGAGGCCAAGGAGCTGGAATTTGGGAGCCATCCAGCTCCCTGTGACTATAAATAGTGAGGGGAGGGCGGGAGGAGGGTCCTGGATCCCGGGACAGGAGATCTCGGCTGACACCTCCCCCCCAGCCCCGCTGCTCCAGGTCCAGCCTGGCCTTGGACACTTCCAGGGATCCAGGGGCAGCCACAGCTTCTCTGGGAAATTCATTCCAGTCCCTCTCTACCCTCACAGGGAAGGATTTCTTCCAAATGTCCCATCTATATGTCCCCTTTTCCAGTGGGAAGCCATTCCCTGTGTTCTGTCCCTCCATGCCTTGTCCCCAGTCCCTCTCCAGCTCTCCTGGAGCCCCTTTAGGCCCTGCCAGGGGCTCTGAGGTGTCCCTGGAGCCTTCTCTTCTCCAGGGGAACCCCCCCAGCTCTCCCAGCCTGGCTCCAGAGCAGAGGGATCACATCCATGGCCCCCTCTGGATCTGCTCCAGCAGCTCCCTGGCTCAGGAGGGGTTTGGGTGTCCCTTCCCTGCTGAGCTGTCCCCTTTCCCAGGTTCCTGGGGGAGTGCCGGGTGCCCCTCCGGGATGTCCTGGGCACCCCCAGCCTGGCGGCCTCGTTCAACCTCCCGCTGCTGGACACGCACCGGGAGAGCACCGGGGTGAGTGCGGGGACAGCGGCACGGCGGGGACACGGGGGGCTCCAGGAGGGGCTGGGGGACCCCAGGGTGGCTCCAGGAGGGGCTGGGGGACCCCAGGGTGGCTCCAGGAGGCTGGGGCACCAGGGTGGCTCAGGAGTGCTGGGGACACCAGGGTGGCTCCAGGAGGGGCTGGGGGACCCCAGGGTGGCTCCAGGAGGGGCTGGGGGACCCCAGGGTGGCTCCAGTACGGGCAGGGCACGGCCAGTCCAAGTAATGTCCCTGCCATTTGCAGCTCCCAGTTTAAGACCAGTCCAAACTGTGTCCCTGTGAGTTTGAGACCAGTCTGAGCAATGACCCTCCCAGTTTGAGACCAGTCTGAGCACCGTTCCTCCTGGTTTCAGACCAGTCTGAGCCCTGTCCCTGCCAGTGGCAGCTCCCAGTTGGAGACCAGTCCAAGCAATGTCCCTGCCAGTTGCACGTCCCAGTTTAAGACCAGTCCAAGCAATGTCGTGCCAGTTTGAGCCCAGTTTGAGCCCTGTCCCTGCAGCTGCAGCTCCCAGTTTCATCTCCCAGTTTGAGCCCAGTCCGAGCTCTGTTCCTCCCAGCTTGAGCCCAGTCTGAGCCCTGTCCCTGCCAGTGGCAGCTCCCAGTCTGAGCCCAGTCCGAGCAGTGTTTCAGGCCAGTTCTCCCAGTTTGCCCCCGTTATGCCACCCTCTGTGACGACATTCCCTGTTCCCAGGCTTTCCTGCTGCTGCAGGTGTCCTACCTGCCCCCCCCAGGGGCTGTGCCGCTCTTCCCCCCCCCGGCCCCTCCGGAGCCGGCCCCGGCTGCGGCCGAGCTGGACACGGTCACAGGTAGGAGACCCCCTGGTGACCTCCCCGGGTATCCCCCCCTCGGGAAGCCCCATTCCCACATCCCTGCGTCCCTTCTCCCTCCTGCCAGAGCCGGCTGAAGAGGAGGAGCCGGAGGATCCCGGCGTGACGGGGGATGAGGCGGAGCCGTCGTCGTCCTCGGGCCCCCCCGGCTCGGAGCCCCCGCGTGCCCCACAGACCCCCCACCCAGCCCAGCCTGCGCGGCAGGAGGAGCAGGAGCTCTCCCAAAAAACCCCTGTCCAACAAACCCCAGGACTTCCAGGTGGGAGGGGAATGGTGGGTGAGGTGGGAATGGGGGATGGAGTGGGGTGGGATGGGAATGGTTGGTGAGATGGGATGAGAATGGATGGTGGGATGGGATGGGAATGGTGGTGGGATGGGAATGAGTGGTGGGTCAGTGGGTCCCAACCTTCCATAGGGTTGGGATGGGAATGCTTGCTGGAATGGGATGGAAGTGGGTGGTGGGATGGGAGTGGTGGGTGAAATGAGAATGGTTACTGGGATGGGAATGGTTTGGGGGATAGGAATAGTTGGTGGGATGGGATGGGAATGGTGGGGGGGATGGGAATGGGTGGTGGGATTGGATGGGGATGGATAGTGGGATGGGGTGGGATGGGAATGGCTGGTGGAATGGAAATGTTTGATTGGTGGGATGGGAATGGGTGTTGGGATGGGAATGGTGGGATGGGAATGAGCTGCTCCCCTGGAACCTCTTGAGAACCCCCTCAGTTTGTCCCTGTGGAGGTTTCAGCACCTCACAGGTGCCCCTGGAGTGTTAATTAATAAATAATTACAATTAATGCAGTTCAATTGCATTACAATTTTAAAGTTGATTTAATTTCAAATTTAAAATTGCCTTAAATGTTTAAAAATTTATTTAATACCAACTTTAAAATTTAATTCAGTTCTTAAAAATCCAGTTTAATTTCTAACTTAAAATGATGTGAATTTAAAAGAAAATTCCATTTAATTTCAAATGTAAAACCACCTTAAATATTTAAAAATTCAATTAAATTTCAAGTTAAAATTGCCTTACATTTTTAAAAATTCAATTTAATGTCAACTTTGAAAATGAATGCAATTCTTAAAAATCCAATTTAATTTCTAACTTAAAATGATGCGAATTTAAAAGAAAATTAGATTTCATTTCAAGTGTAAAACCGCTGTAAATTTTTAAAAATTCAATTTATTTCAAATTTAAAATTGCCCTAAATGTTTAAAAATTCAATTTAAAAATTAAAAACTTAATGCCAACTTTAAAATTTAATTCAGTTCCCAGAAGTCCAGTTTAATTTCTAACTTAAAATGATGCAAATTTAAAAGAAAAAAAAATCCATTTAATTTCAAACGTAAAACCTCCTCAAATTTTTAAAAATTCCATTTAAATTTCGAACTTAAAATTGCCTTAACTTTCTCAAAGCTGAAATTACCTTCACGTTTAAAACTGCAGTGGGATTTGACGTATTTTCCCTCAGTCGAGGTGGGATTCTGGGGGGTTTTTGGGCTGTCTTTAATCCCTTTTTCCCCGTGCGTGTCCCAGATCCGGGTGCGGGTGATCGAGGCCCGGCAGCTCCCCGGGACCAACATCCATCCCGTGGTGAAGGTGACGGCGGCCGGACACACCAAGAGGACGCGGATCCGCAAGGGGAACAGCCCCTTCTTTGACGAGGTGAGGGGGATTCCCGCCCCAGCCCCGCCTGGGAGCACCGGGAGGCTCCGTCCTGTGGAGTTGGGGTTTGGGAGAGGTCCCCCAGCCCGATCCCTCTTTCCCACAGACCTTCTTCTTCAACGTCTTCGAGGCGCCGGCGGAGCTGTTTGACACCCCCGTCTTCATAACCGTGAGTGGGGGATCCCTGGGATCCGCCTCCTTCCCACGTGGGCACGCCGTGGGATCCTCCCTCCTGGGCGGATCGGGGCTGGAGTGACCCTTTTCCTGTGTTCTCGCCCCCCAGGTGGTGGATTCCCGGTCTTTCCGCACGGACTCGGTGATCGGGGAGTTCCGGGTATGGTGCTCCCTCCCCTTCCCCCTCCCCCTTTTCCCCCCCACACTGACCCACGGGATGAACTCTGGAATTCCCTTCTATCCCACAGATGGACGTGGAATCCGTTTACTCCGAGCCAAGTGAGCTTTGGGAAACCCCTTTTGTTTTTAGGGGCCAAACGTTGGGAAACGTGGACACAAATCACGGCTCTTCCATGGACAAACCCGGCTGTGTCCCTGTGTCCATCACCAGGGAATCCCAGGCTGGTTTGGGTGGGAAGCGACCTCAAATCCCACCCAGTCCCACCCCCTGCTGTGGGCAGGGACACCTTCCACTATTCCAAGTTGCTCCAAGCCCCGTCTAACCTGGCCTTGGACACTTCCAGGGATCCAGGGGCAGCCACAGCTCCTGTGGGCAACCTATTCCTTCCCTGTTCCCACATCCCTTCCAGCTGACAAATTCCCTTGTTCTATATAAAGGAATGTGGTATTTATCCTAAAACCCCTTCCCAGAGCATCCTTGGAGCATGGCTGAGGGCTCTCCATCTCTTTCCCCCCCCAGAACACGCTTTCCTCAGGAAGTGGCTCCTGCTCTCCGATCCAGAGGATCTTTCCGCGGGGGCCAAGGGCTACCTCAAGGTCAGCGTCTTCGTGCTGGGGCCTGGAGATGAAGCTCCTGTGAGTATCCCCCTGGATCCCGTGGGGCCTTCCACCTCCCTGGGCCGCCAAACCCCACATCTCTTCCCAGGGAAGCTGCAGCTTGGATATTCCTCCATTTTGGGGGCAAAGTGCTGCTTTTTGTCATGGAATCACAGCCTGGTTTGGGCTGGGAGGGACCTTAGATCCAGTTCCACAGGCAGGGACACCTTCCACTAGCCCAGGCTGCTCCGAGCCCTGTCCAGCCTGGCCTTGGATGCTTCCCTGGATGGGGAATCCACACCTGCCTGGGCAACCCCTCTCGTGGGGTTCTCCTGCTCGTTGCAGGACTGTTGGGAAGCCTGGCTGAGCTCTGCCCTTGCCCTGTCCCCCTGCAGCTGGAGAAGAAGGAGGTGTCTGAGGACAAGGAGGACATCGAGGCCAACCTGCTGCGCCCCACCGGGGTCACCCTGCGGGGGGCCCAGTTCTGCCTCAGGATCTTCAAAGCCGAGGATTTGCCCCAAAGTAGGTGTTTGGTTTTCGGAGCACCCCGGATCCCTTGGCACCGCGGCATTCCAGGGAGGAGCTGGGGCTCAGGGGAGGGAATTATCCACAGTCTTGGTCCAAAGACCTTGCAGACACCAGCCAGTCGTGCTGTACTGGGAGATGGGTCTCCTGCTGGTGCAGACTGGTTTTATCCGCATGGGGAGCTTCTCCCCGATGGAAAAGCTGGTGGGACAGCCAGGACCACGTGGGCGCTGCTCCCGGAATTCCTTGGGCTTTAGCGTCCCCTCCTCCTGCCAGTGGATGACGCCGTGGTGGACAACGTCCGGCAGATCTTCGGCTTCGAGAGCAACAGGAAGAACCTGGTGGATCCCTTCGTGGAAGTCAGCTTTGCTGGCAGGACGGTCAGTGCTGCCTGGGCGGGGCGTGGGGGGTGTCCCTTGGGATCCTTGGAGCTGGGATGGCAGTGGGACAGCCCTGTTCCCCATTCCCAGCCCTATCCCTGTGTGTGTGACGTGCTGGGATCCGTGTGGTGCCATCAGAGCAGTTTCTTCTCCGGGCTCTTCCTGGTGCTGTTGCCTCACAAAGGGGTCTGGAGAGGCTGATCCCACGGGCTGCCCTTTGAGCCACAGCAGCACTGAGGGGCTGGAAATCTCCCCTTCCCATGGGAACACTATTTGTGGGGGGGAAACACAGGCTTGGGACATCATTCTGGTGGTCCTAAGCTGGGGAGATCCCTGAGCACCCCACAGCATCCTCTGCCTCCTGCACTGAGGGGGCTGCAGAGCTCCCTGGTGTCACCCATGGAATGGAGGTGGGATTTTGGGGATCCCAAGGCTTCCCAGCTCCCGGAATGGTGGGAGCAGCACTGACTGTTCCCTCCTCCATCCCACCCCTCCAGCTCTACTCGAGGATCCTGGAGAAAAACGCCAACCCCCAGTGGAACCAGTGCCTGACTGTGCCGGCCATGGTGAGCACTGGTGTCCCCAGGACCCCCCGGGCCCTGATCCCCCCATCCCTCACCATTCCCGGCTCTTTTCCCAGTTCCCGTCCATGTGCGAGCGGATGAGGATCCGTGTGACCGACTGGTGAGCGTGGAGGGGGCTCCCCGTGCCCGGAGCAGGGGGTGGGCACAGAGGGACCCCCAGTGTGACAATGTCCCCTGTCCTGCCCCAGGGACCGCCTGACCCACAACGACGTCATCGGCACCGCCTTCCTGGCCATGTCCAAGATCTCGGCCCCCGGCGGGGAGCTGGAGGGTAAGGGTGGGAAGGGGGCTGGGATTTGGGATGCATGGTCATGGAGCAGCTCTGCATGGAGTGGCTGGAGGTTGGTGGTGGCTTTGGGGGGTGTCACGGCTGTCACTGTCCCTGCCTGGGCATGTGGGATGGGGTCCTGGGGGTCACCCCATCCTGGTCTGGGGGTTGGCAGATCTTTGGTCCTCCCAGGAGTGCTGGAGGTGGCCACGGTCCCCTGTGGGGTTGGGGACAGCAGTGGTGTCACCGGAGCTGGCAGATGCCACATCCCACCTGTGGCCCCATTGGTGGCTCCTCCTGAGGGGAGGGATTTAGGGGCTGTCACAGGGTGGGATCCAGCTCTCACAGACCCAGCTTGGGCTGTCCCCAGTCCCAGGGGCTTTCCAAGGACCCTCAGGTGCTGGCAGGGATGGGCTGGGTGACACTGTCACCTGTGCCAGGGGGACAGTTTTGGGGCTGCTGAGGGCCAGGAGCAGAGCCTGCCCCGTCCTGCATGAGCCTGTCCTGCTGCCAACGCCTCCTTGGCATCTGGATCCCACCGGGAATGTCCCATCTGCCTTCGGGCACCTCGGGTGCCCCGGGACCCCTCACCACACCAGGAACATCCCATGGGACATGGGATGGCCAGGCTGGATGGGCTTGGAGCAACCTGGGCTGGTGGGAGGTGTCCCTGGATAGGTTTTAAGGTCCCTTCCAACCCAAACCATTCCATCGTTCCATGTGACAGCCTCTCCCTTTCCCTCTCTGTCTCTCTCCTGTCTCTTGGCACTAAAGTCCAGGAACACCCACCCTCATTCCCTGTGCCTCTCCATCCCTTTTCCATGCTCCTCCTCCAGCCTTTCCTGACCTCTCTGCCTTTCTTTGTGCCCCAGATGAGTTTCCTGCTCCCTCGAAGCCCCTGAAGGCCTCAGACCGTACGTCCCCTCATCGTCCCAGTTTGGTCGCTGCTCGGGACTGGTTTTACTGGTTCAGTGTCCGGGCTGGGGGAGGATCAGCTGGGTTCAGTCTGGGCACCCTGGGAAAAGGGAATGGCTCCGGCTTGGCCTCCTCCTGCTCTGTGGGAGCAGGGAAAGGGCTCCCCTGCCCTTTGGGGTGCCCCTGTTGGCCTGGGGAGCTCAGGGCAGGGCCCTGCCAAGGATTCCTGCCCAAAGTTCCCTGGAAAGGGATGATTCTCTTAGTGGAATCACAGAACTGGTTAGGTTGGAAAATCCCTGTGATCCATCGAGTCCAACCATTCCCCCAGCACTGCCGAGGCCACCCCCTGACCGTGTCCCCAAGTGCCACACCCACGTGGATTTTAAATTCCTGTGGGAATGGGGACACCTCCAGTGCCCTGGGCAGCTGTGCCAGGGCTGGACAGCCCTTTCCAGGAAGGAATTTTCCCGATATCCAACCTCAACTCACCCCTCGTGCAGTCTGAGGCCGTGTCCTTTCACCCTGTCACTCCTACTCTTGTCCAAGCCCCCTCTCTTACTGTCCCCCCTTCCCTGGGGACCCTTCCTGGGGCTGGGAATTCCCGTTTTTCCCGGGACACAGCCCCCCCAGCCTGTCTGTGTGCTGGCCTGAGGTGAGTGCTCGCAGGGCTCCAGCTGGGCACAAACCTCAGCATTTTGGTGCCTCCAGCCACACGTGGTGCCCGTGGCCGTGGCTGGGCCCCCCTGATGGCCTCTCCCTGTGATTCCCAGTGGATGACGGGCTCGGATTCCTGCCGACCTTCGGCCCCTGCTACATCAACCTCTACGGGAGCCCCCGGGAATTCACGGGATTCCCCGATCCCTACGAGAGCCTCAACCTGGGAAAGGTGACAGCGGCTTCTCCGCGGCGTGGCCTCAACTAACCCGGCAGCTGCTCCTGCCCCGGCCCAGCCGCTCCTAACCCAGCCTGGCTCCGGCAGCAGGAGCCTGTCCTGTGATTCCTGCTCTTCCTTGGCTATTCCCGCTGCCTCAAACCTCCCGGCTCCGCTCTGCTCCCGGAACTTCCCACCCGGGAAGCAGCCGCTGAAGCTTCTTTGCCCGCTCTCTGTCCTCTGCAACGGAGCTCCTGGAAAAACAAAGGCGCAGCTGATCCGTGGGGAGGGAACGTCGGGATCCTGACGCTTCTCCCTGCTCTGTCCCAAGGGAGAGGGAGTTGCCTACCGTGGCAGGATGCTGGTGGAGCTGGAGACCAAGCTGGTGGAGCACATGGAGCAGAAGGTGGAGGATATCCCTGCGGATGACATCCTGAGGGTGGAGGTAATGGGGTTTTCGGGGGGTTTTGGGGGGTGTCCGGCCCTGTGGGCACATGAGACACGATGGAAGGGATGTGGGAGTTGGTCCTGGGTGGGTTCCATGTTTGGGGAGCTCCTGGAGGTGCCTCCTGCCGAGTTCCATTCCAAAGTGTCAGGATTGATCCATCCGAGCTGATGTGTGGTGTGAGCTGACCATGGGGAACATGGAATCATGGAATGGTTTGGGCTGGGAGGGGCCTGAAAGATCATCCAGTTCCATCCAGTTCCGCTGTCCACCGGCCCAGGTTGCTCCAACCTGGCCTTGGACACTTCCAGGGATCCAGGGGCAGCCGCAGCTTCTCTGCCCAACCTGTGCCAGGGCCTCCCCACCCTCACAGCCAGCAATTCCTTCCCAGTATCCCATCTAGTCCTGCTCTCTGGCAGCTATTCCCCCTTGTCCTGTCCCTCCATGCCTTGTCCCCAGTCCCTCTCCAGCTCTCCTGGAGCCCCTTTAGGCCCTGCAAGGGGCTGGAAGGTCTCATGGAGCATCGGAAGATTTGCCTCCGCACCAGTGCTCTCCCACATTTGCTCCTTTTCCTCATTTTTCACCTTTCAGCTGCATTTTCCATGAGAAGCTGTGGCCTTCTCTTAGTCAGGGTTCTCCTAAATATCTCCCCCAAAATTCCTGTGCTGCGAAGTGTGTTTTTCTGCCCTGCAATGAAATCCCCACCTTGGAGGCCTCGCTGAGCTGTGTGTGCTGGGGCAGTGAAGGGTCCCTGAATCCCAGGATCATTTAGGCTGGAAAAGCCCTCCCAGCCCAGGGATCCCCCCTGTGCCCCATCCCCACCTTGTCCCTCAGCCCAGAGCACTGAGTGCCACGGCCAGGCCTTCCCTGGACACCTCCAGGGCTGGGCACTCCAAACCTCCCTGGGCAGCCCCTGCCAGTGCCTGACCACCCTTTCCAGGGAGAAATTCCTCCTGATGTCCAACCTGAGCCTCCCCTGGTGCAACCTGAAGCTGCTTCCTCTTATGCTATCCCTTGTTTTTTGGGAGCAGAGCCCGATCCCCCCAGGGAGTTGCAGAGCCAGAAGGTCCCCCCTGAGCCTCCTTTTCTCCAGGCTGAGCCCCCCCAGCTCCCTCAGCCGCTCCTGCTGCTCCAGCCCCTTCCCAGCTCCGTTCCCTTCCCTGGACTCTCTGGATGGGTGTTCAGGAGGGCAGTGGTGGCCTCTCCTCCACGTCCACGCTCCCGTTCCCGCTGCAGAAGTTCCTGCGCCGCCGGAAATATTCCCTGTTCGCCGCCTTCTACTCGGCCACGATGCTGCAGGGCGTGGACGCCGCTGTGCAGTTCGAGGTCAGCATCGGCAACTACGGCAACAAGTTCGACAACACCTGCCTGCCCTTGGCCTCCACCACCCAGTACAGCAGGGCTGTCTTCGATGGTGAGCCTCTGTCCTCGGGGGTGCTCCAATCCCAGCGGGATGTGGTCATGGGATCGTGGAATGGGCTGGGAGGGACCTTAAACATCATCCAGTTTCACTAGCCCGGGTTGCTCCAAGCCCCGTCCAACCTGGCCTTGGACACTTGCAGGGATGGGAAGCCAGGGGTTGTATCCAGGTGATCCTGGATAAGCTGCTGGAGGTGACCCTGCCTGAGCAGGGCTTGGACCAGGGGACTCCAGAGGTTCTTCCCACCTCAGCCAAGGGGAATACGTGAGTGAGGAGGAGCGGGGCAACCAGGACTGCTCTCGGCTCTGTGCCGGTTGAGGTGGTTTTTGGGACCACTGTGGCACTCCCAGTGCCCGTTTCTCTCCCAGGGAAGAGCCAGTGTTCAGGATAACCATTCCCTGGCTCCTGCTGTGGGATGTCCTCACTCCAGCGGGGTTGTGCTGGTGTCTGACCTCACTGCCACATCCACACAGCCTGACCCACATCCCTTTGGACCTCGCTGGGCTCTGGGCAGCACCATCCCCATCCTCTCGCTCCAGAACCCCCTCAGAGCTGATCTCCTGCCCAGACCCTGCTGTGCCCCCCTCCATCCCCTGTCCTGAGGGGCGGGTGTCCCGTCACCCCCAGCTCAGCAGTGCTGTCCTGCAGGGTGCCAGTACTATTACCTGCCCTGGGGGAACGTGAAGCCCGTGGTGGTGCTGTCGTCCTACTGGGAGGACATCAGCTGCCGCACCGACGCCCAGAACCTGCTGCTGCACGCGGCCCACAGGCTGGTGAGTGCCCTGCTGCCCCCCTCCTGGGCACGGGGAGGGGACAGAGACCACCTCAGCTTCGGGCTTCGGTGGCTCTTGGGCTGTGCAGGGAAAATCCTCTTGGTGTTCCGGGTGTCCTGCTCAGCCCAGGGGGTGAGGGGGGAATGGGGCCAACGTCACCCCCTCGGGGTGGGGCTTTGTCCTGGCAGCCCCTGCTGCAGGGCTGGGAGGGCAGGGATTGCATGGATTCATGGGATGGCTTGGGTTGGGGGGATATTAAGGATCATCCAATTCCAAGGGCAAGCACATCTTCCACTATCCCAGCTTGGTCCAACCTGGCCTTGGACACTTCCAGGGATCCAGGGGCAGCCACAGCTTCTCTGCCCAATCTGTACCAGGGCCTGCCCACCCTCCCAGCCAGCAATTCATTCCCAATCTCCCATCTGTCCCTACCCTCTGGCAGTGGGAAGCCATTCTCTGTGTGCTGTCCCTCCAGGCCTTGTCCCCAGTCCCTCTCCAGCTCTCCTGGAGCCCCTTTAGGCCCTGCCAGGGGCTCTCAGGTCTCCCTGGAGCCTTCTCTTCTCCAGGGGAACCCCCCCAGCTCTCCCAGCCTGGCTCCAGAGCAGAGGGGCTCCAGAATCCTGGAATAGTTTAGTTTGGAAGTGACCTAAAAGCCCATCCCATTCCACCCCCTGCCATGGGCAGGGACACCTCCCACTGTCCCAGGTTTCTCCAAGCCCCGTCCAGCCTGGTCTTGGACACTTCCAGGGATGGGGCCTTCCTTCAGCTCCTGAGCTATTTATGGGATTTCTTGCTGCATTTCCCTCTTGTTTCCCCTGGAATTCGAAGCTGGGGGTTGGAGGGCCCTGATGGGGGCCCAGGCTGGAGTTTCTGATCCTGGGGAGTGACCCTGGGCACTCCCTGGCTGTGGGGGTTGGTTCTGGGGGTTCCCTGCTGAACTGAGCTCCTCATCCCCACCTCTCCCCCAGGAAGCCAACCTGGAGCAGGTGCAGCTGGCCCTGCAGTCCAAGCGCTCCCCGGCCGAGCTGGAGGTGCTGGGGAACCAACTGCTGGACGATGTCATTGCCGACTGCAGGTACTGCGGCCACCTCGGAGCCAGCCCTGTCCTGCATGGATTGCCTTCCCTGGAAAGGACCACCGAGTTTGCATCTCCCTTTTTTCCCCCAGCCTTTTCCCCCCCCAGCCTTTTTTTCCCCACATTTTTCTCCCCATCCTTTTTTCCCCCCCTCCCTTTTTCTCTCCCTTTTTTCCCCTGCCTTTTTTGACCTTCCTTATTTCCCCCCATCGTTTTTTCAGTCTCTTTTTTTCTGCCCCTTTTTCCCCCTCTTTCCCTCCATTTTCCCCCCTTTTTTCCCCTTTCCCCCAACCCTTTCCTCCCCTTTTTTCCCCTCTTTTTTATCCCCCCTTGTTCTCCCCCCCTTGTTCTCCCCCTTCCCCCCCTTTTCCCCTCCCTTTTTATCCTCTCCCTTTTCTCCTCCATTTCCCCCCCTGTCCCCCTCCCCTTTTTTTTCCTCCCATTTTATCCCCCCTTTTAAAAAGCCGGGAGAACCCCCCAAAGGAGAGGCTGAGCTGTTGGGGTGCACTGGCAGGTGGATCAGCCGCCCTTTCGTGTCCCTCCCATCCCAGCCCAGCGTGTGATCCGTTCCTCTCTCCGTTCCCACAGCCTGACGCTTCCCGATGTCCTGGGCAAGGCCTCCAGCACCCAGCTGGACCAGCACCTGTTCCGCTTCCGCAGCGCCCACCTGGAGCAGATCCTGCAGGCGGCCCTGAGGCTCAAACACCACGACTGCAGCCTGGCCCCGCTCCTGGAGCAGGGAGAGGACTGGCTGGGCCGCCTGCGCAGCATGGCCCAGGAGGTGACACTGCTGGCTGGGGACATGGGGGGACACTGCTGGCTGGGGGCACACGGGGTGACACTGCTGGTTGGGGACACAGGGGGGGACACTGCTGGCTGGGGACACAGGGGGGGACACTGCTGGCTGGGGACATGGGGGGACACTGCTGGCTGGGGACAGGGGGACACTGCTGGGCTGGGGACAGAGGGGGATGCTGCGGGGGACACTGGCTGTGCCATCTCAGGGCCATGGCACAGAGGTGACACTGCTGGGGTGCTCCTGGGGCTCCCGTGCTCCCTGGAGGGGCTTGCTCTTCCCAGTCTTTCCACGGTGGCATGTTCTGGTGGGACGTAGGGATGGTGTTCTTGGATCCCCAATCCATGACTGGCAGGCGCCAAGTTTGGCTCCGGGGAGACCTTCCAGCCCCTTGCAGGGCCTAAAGGATCCCTCCCAGCTGTTCCCTGTCCTGTTCCCAGCCCCAGAACAGCCTCCCGGACGTGGTGATCTGGATGCTGCAGGGGGACAGGCGCGTGGCCTACGCCCGCGTGCCGGCGCACCAGGTGCTCTTCTCCAGGAACATCCCCCAGTGCTGCGGCGCCAGCTGCGGGAAGCTGCAGACCATCTTCCTCAAGGTACCCCTGGGGCCTCTGCCCGCGTTGGGAATGGACTTTTTTAAACGTTTTCCCCTGAGAATGGAGAGAAAATAAGGCAGAGAAAGCAGCAGCTCTTCCCGCATGGATCTTCAGCAGATCCCGTGAATACCTCCCTGTTTTCTGCAATTCCAGGGTAGTGAAGATTTGGCCCAGATGGTGCTTTTTTAGAAAATATTTCTTGGTTTTAAATTTTTCTATGATTATTTCCCCCAATTCCTGACCATCTGCCACCCCAGGAAATTTAAGCTGCCATTCCCCTGCCAGGCAATTCCTGAGTTTCTCCCATCTCCAGTGACATTCCTTGGCTGGTGCCAGCTCGGGAGCAGGGAATCAGCACTGAACAAGCTCTGAAAAAATAAAGTCAAATAAAATAAACTCAGTAAAGCCCCAAAGCCCAAACCCAGCTGGCAGCAAAAATGACCTAAAATCCATATATTGGGTTTCTTTTTTTCTATCCTTGAGCTCTGGATGGAAAACCAGCAGCACTTGGATTAGGGAAAAGTGGCTGAGACAGAGAAAAAAGAGCAATGAGGAAAAATTCCTGTGGATTATTTCTATTTTTGCTGAATATGTGGGTTGGGTTTGGTGTCCTGACCCTGAAGGGTGTCCCTGACTTTACCCCTGTCCCTGTCCTTGGCTTTGTCCCTGATCCTGACCCAGTCCCTGACCTTGTCCTGGTCCCTGATCCTGATCCTGTTTCTTTGTCCCTGACTTATCCCTGTCCCTGATCCAGACCTTGTCCCTGATCTTGTCCCTGACTTTGTCCTTGATCCTTTCTCTGGCCTTATCCCTTTCCCTGTCCCTCATCCTGTCCTTGTTCTTGACTTTGTCCCTGACCCTGCCCATGATCCTGACCTCATCCCTGACCTTATGTCTGTCCCTGACCTTAACCTGACCTTGTCCCTGACCTTATATCTGTCCCTGATCCTGTCCCTGCCTTTGTCCCTGTCCCTGATCCTGACCCTCCCCCAGCTGCCCAGGGTCACCTGGGAACACGTTTTAGGGCCGTTGACAGCGGGACTGGATGATCTCGAAGGTCTCTCCCTGCCCTGATCCCCAAAGTCCTCCACACACTGTCCCAGTTCCCAGCTGTGCTCCCCACCCAGGGCTCCATTCCCGCCCTCCCATGGGGAGCATTCCCGTTAATCCCCCTACCCGGGGGTGCTGACGGGGCCGTTCCCGGGCAGTACCCGCAGGAGGAGGCTCCGGGGCCGCGGATCCCGGCGCAGATCCGGGTGCGGCTCTGGCTCGGCCTGGCCGCGGACGAGAAGGAATTCAACCGCTATGCCGAGGGGAAGCTCTCCGTGTTCGCCGAGACCGTGAGTGCTCCACAGCCACGTCCCGGGACGGGGCCTCCCCGGGGTGGGCAGCAGCTCCACGGGCCACATCAGTCCCTGAAATCTGTGAGAAGAGGGAGCTCTTTCCTCCAGCATCCAGCCTGGAATGCTGAGGAGCGAACTGGGAACTAGCCATAAATCCACAGCGTCCCTTCACATCTCCATCCAGCTGCTGGAGGGGAGGGAACCTGGGGGTGCCCGCGGTGGTGTGGGGCTGGGGGATGGCTTTTCCCAGGAGATCTGTCCTCAGGGTGGGACCCTGCAGGGCTTGGCTGTGGGGTTCTAAAGGATGACCCCCGGGGTTTTGCGCCTCCGACCCCAAACCTCGCCTGCTGTTGCTCCCCCAGTACGAGAACCAGACGAAGCTGGCGCTGGTGGGGAACTGGGGCACCACCGGCCTCACCTACCCCAAGTACTCGGACGTGACGGGCAGGATGAAGCTGCCCAAGGAAAGCTTCCGCCCCTCCGCCGGCTGGGCCTGGGCCGGGGACTGGTTCGTCTGCCCCGAGAGGACGTGAGTGGGACGGTCCTGTCCCCCCAGAAACCACAGCGGGGGCCAGGCTGGGGGGAAGGTCAGTGGGGAGGGCTGGGGGGCCCTGGGGGTTCCTCAGCTCCTCTCCTGGGTGTGGGGCTCCCTCAGCCGTGTCGGGGATTGTCCTGCAGCTCTGCGTGGAGCACCAGCACTCGGAGCAGGGAGGAGGAGGTTTGGGAGTGGGATCCCCGTGGGACACTGGGCGGGATTTCATGGGGTTTGGGCTTGTCCGGAGGTCTCCTGGGAGTTTTTCTTGGAGTCTGAGGTGGGAGAGGTTTGGGAATGCTGGGGATGGCCCGAGGCTGTGCTGATACCCAGGAGGGTGGGATGGGATATCCCTGACTGGGATGTGTCCCTTGGAATGCAGGTTGCTCCACGATGTGGAGGGTGGGATGGGGATTCCCTGAGTAGGATGTGTCCCTGGAATGCAGGTTGCTCCATGACGTGGATGCAGGGCATCTGAGCTTCGTGGAGGAGGTGTTTGAGAACCAGGTCCGGCTCCCTGGGGGGCAGTGGATCCACATGACCGATGCCTACACTGATGTGGTGAGGGAAAAGTGGGAATGCTGGAGCTGGGCACCACCCTGGGCTGGAAGTGCTGGAGATCAGGGGGGATTTATGGATCCTTTCGTTGACAACACCCCTGTCCCACAGAACGGGGAGAAGGTCCTGCCCAAGGATGAGATTGAGTGTCCTCCGGGCTGGAAATGGGAAGACCTGGAGTGGGACACGGATCTCAACAGAGCTGTGGATGAGAAAGGTACCCAGGAGCACTTCTGGGGGCCCTCTGTTCATCCCCCATCCTGCTGTTTCCCTCCACGGCCTCACCAGGGATGAGACCTGTCCTGGATCCCTGCTGGATCAGCAGAAGGGGATCAGGCCCTGGGGGACCCTCTTGTTCGGGCTGGGGGAGGGAATTCCCAAAGGCAGCGCTCTCCTGGCTGCTGGGATAGTCCAGGAACATCTTCCTAAATTCTGGTGCAAGAGGAATGGTAAACATCAGGCCTGAGGGAGGGAGAACAGTCCCCAAGCTGTAACTTTGAGCCGAGGGCCACCATGGATCCGCCCCCACGGATCCACCCCCTGGACATCCCAGAGGGACACATCCATTGGGTACCACCGTGGGCAGGAGCAACAAGCCGGGAAATCGCCTCGGATCCGGACGCGCTGCCCTACTGAGGCTCCCTGGTGGGGCTCAGGGCGGGGGCTGCTCCTCAGCCGGGTGTCTCCCGCTCCTCCAGGCTGGGAATACGGGCTGACCATCCCCCCGGACCGCAAGCCCAAGGCCTGGGTGCCGGCGGAGAAGATGTACCACACCAACCGGCGCCGGCGCTGGGTGCGGCTCCGCCGGCGCGACCTGGAGCACATGGACACCTCCAGGAAGGTGGGATGGGCTGGGGAGGGGTGGCGGCCGCTCAGGGATGTGTCCCTGTCCCTCCCTGACGTGTCCCCGCCCTCCACGTGGAGGTGGCTTTGGCACAGACCTGGTTTTCCCTGAAGTTGGTGGCCCCTCCCCACCTGGAATGTCAACATTTCCCAGGGGAAGCCACCACTCCAGAGGGGCTTGGCCGGGCTGCGGGGCGGGATGGGGACATCCAGCAGTGTCACAGAGCGCGGGAGAGCAGGGCTGGCCGGCTGTCCCCAGCCTGTCCCTGCCCCGCTTCCCTCTAGATGGTGCAGTTGGAGCGGGAATGGCTCCGCAGCTGCAGCTCCTCCCTCCCCCCGCCGCTTCCCAAGGACACTCGTCTCCCTTTCCAGCACTTTTCCCGGGTCACTGTGGCCATGGGGAGCCCCTGGCACCCTGTTTGCTAATTCTGAGGAGGAAAACCTTCACAGGGTTGTGGCTGATGATCCAGGGAGACATTCCAGAGGGGACAGAGCCACGGGAGGGTGGAAAAGCAAAGGGAAGGCTGCGGAGGCACTGGATGTGGTCCCCTCCTTGCTCAACGTGGGAACCCCCCAGCCCAGCGACCCCACTCCCAGTGGGATTCACCCCAGGGGCTGGGGAAGGGCAGAATTCCCAGTGGTGGACCCAGCACTGCTAATGGTTAATCCCTGGAAGTGTCCCAGGCCAGGCTGGACGGGGCTTGGAGCAACCTGGGCTAGTGGGAGGTGTCCCTGCCCGTGGCAGGGGGTGCCACTGGATGGGCTTTAGGGTCCTTCCCAACCCATTCCATGATTCTGTGATGCTTTTAAGGGTCTTTCCCAACCTGAACTGGATGACCTTGGAGGTCTTTTCCAACCTAAACATTCCTATGATCCTCTAAATGATTCCATGACTCTGTTCCACGATTCCAAGCTGGGGAGGCACAGGGTGGGACAACCGTGGCCGACAACACCCTGAAGCCCCTGAATCCGCGTTTTGTGCTGGAAAAGCCGGGCGGTTTCCCCACTGTCACCTCCAGCGGGGCCGGGGGGCGGTGGCACCGACCCCGCTGAGTCCCGGCGTGTCCCTGTCCGGCAGCACAAGCAGGAGGAGCTGGATGGGGAAGGCTGGGAATACGCGTCGCTCTTCGGATGGCGCTTCCACCTGAAGCAGCGCCGGACCGACTCGTTCCGCCGGCGCCGCTGGAGGCGCAGGATGGAGCCCCTGGAACGCACCGGAGCCGCCGCCGTCTTCGCCCTGGAGGGGGCTCTGGTAGGGACCTCCTTCCTTTCCCCAATTCCGGCCTGGGAGTGGGGGCAGCCGGGTCAGGTCGGAGCTCGTTATCAGCCGCTCCTTATCAGCTCCTTATCAGCTCGTTCTCCCGCCCTCTTCGTTTCCTGATATCCCAGCTTTCTGGATTCCCTGATTCTCCAAAGGAGACCCAGCCCCGCAGTCCAGAGCTCCTGTTCATTGTTTTTAAGGGTTCCCCCTTATTTGGCTTTTCCCCTCTTTCCCTGCTCTTTCCATCCCCGGGTGCCAGCCTGGTGGGAAGGTCGACCCTGGAGGTCTGGGATGCTGAGGGGGTTCCTCCTCTGCACCCATGGACAGACATGCTGCTCCCTCATCCGAGTCTCGAGTCTTGTCCTTGAGCTCTGCATGGAAAACCAGCAGCACTTGGAGGAGGGAACGAGTGTTGGAGTGTTGGAGTCTCCCTGAGCTCCCACTGCTCCCACCCGGGGGTCCTGGTTGTCACCCACACACCCTGCTGCTGGGACTCTGCCTCCTCCCCCTTCACCCTGGAGCCCTTGGGTGGGATTCCCATCCTCAGAAATCCCTCCTTTTCCTTCCACTAAATATTCCAAGGCCAGTGGGGCAACTGGGAGGTGATGAAAGGCCAGGTCAGGACACGGGGGGAGGGAAGAGCCAAGGTCGGACTGGGAGAGAAGGGAATGGAGCTAAAAAGGGGCTGGAGCAGCAGGAGGGGCTGAGGGAGCTGGGGGGGCTCAACCTGGAGAAAAGGAGGCTCAGGGGGGACCTTCTGGCTCTGCAACTCCCTGACAGGAGGGGGGAGCTGGGGGGGCTCGGACTCTGCTCCCAGGGAACAGGGACAGGAGGAGAGGGAACGGCCTCCAGCTGTGCCAGGGGAGGGACAGGTTGGATATTGGGAGAATTCCCTCCTGGCACAGCTGCCCAGGGCAGGGGGAGTCCCCATCCCTGGGGGATTTAAAAGCCCTGTGGATGTGGCACTTGGGGACACGGTCAGGGGTGGGAACAGTTGCACTTGGGGGGGTCTCAGAGGTCTTTTCCCAACCTGAATTTTACAATTCTGTGGAGCATTAGAAGCCCAGACTCCTCCTGGCCCCCCGTGTGGGTGATGTCCTGGAGGAGCCCACCCCATGGGGGGCCCTGGCTCTGGGGGTGTCCTAGGGTGCCCCAGCTTGGCTACCTCTCCCTCGCAGGGCGGGGTGACGGATGACAGGAGCGATGATGGGAAAGGCGCGTCCACGCTGAGCTTCGGAGTGAACAGACCCACCATCTCCTGCATCTTCGACTGTGAGAGCATGGGGGGCAAAGGGGATGGGGAGAGCACTTCCCAGCCTGTGCCTCTGGCCCAGGGGGGGCAAAGGGGACGGGGAGAGCACTTCCCAGCCTGTGCCTCTGGCCCAGGGGGAAGCAGGGGATGGGAGAAGGCTGGAGGGGCAGGACGGGGCACGGATCTGTCCTTGTGGGAACATGATGGGCTCAGGGGGAATTGAGCCAAGACATGGCCTGGAGGGGGTGGAAAACCATCCCTGGCTCATCCCTGCCGTGTTTCCCGTTCCTCTGGCAGGTGGGAACAGGTACCACCTGCGCTGTTACCTGTACCAGGCACGGGATCTCCTGGCCATGGACAAGGACAGCTTCTCAGGTGAGCCCAGACCCACATGTCCACCTGGATCCTGGGGCTGGGAGGGGCCGGAAAACTGATCCAGGGACACCCTGGGACACCTCCCACCAGCCCAGGTTGCTCCAAGCCCTGTCCAACCTGGCCTTGGACACTTCCAGGGATCCAGGGGCAGCTGCAGCTTCTCTGGGAGATTCATTCCAGTCCCTCACCACCCTCACAGCCAAGAATTCCTTCCTAATATCCCATCTCTCCCTGCCCTCTGGCATTGGGAAGCCATTCCAGAGGGTGGGAGGATATAATCAGGACCTCAGGGCAGATGGGTCCTCTATCCCAGTGTCCTTGTGCCATTGCTGGTTGGATTTGGGCTGATGGAAGGTGCCCCTGCCCATGGGCTTGGAACTGGATGATCTCTGAGGTCCCTTCCAACCCAAACCATTTGGAGGTGGAAAAGCAGGAAAAGGGGATGTCAGGGCCTGGTTTTGAGAGGGAAAACTGGGCAAAGGGGATGTGAGTGCCTCTGGATCAGAGCTGGAGCTGGGACAATCTGGAATGTCCCCTGTCAGGTCATTGCTGTGTGCTGGGATCACACCTGAGGATATTTTGGACTGTAATTTTGGGGTGGAAAAGCAAGAGAATGGGATGTCAGTCCCTGATTTTTGAGGGAAAAGCAGGAATAGGGGATGTCACTGTGATTTTGAGGGGGGAAAATCAAGAAGAAGGGATGTCAGTGTGTGATTTTGAGGGAAGAGCAGGAAAAGAAGGTGTCAGGGCCTGGTTTTGAGAGGGAAAAGTGGGTAAAGGGGGTGCCAGTGCCCCTGGATCAGAGCTGGGGCTGGGACAATCCGGAATGTCCGCTCAGGTCATTGCTGTGTGCTGGGATCACACCCGAGGTGTGACCAAATCCCTGGAAAGGTGTCCCTGGAGCACCCACCCCCTGCACAGGGATCCCTCAGGCACCCAGCATCCCTCCAGGGCTGTCCCTGCCCACTTCCACCGGGATTTTCCGAGGGATTTTCACGGACTTGCCCACCCATGTGGTCGAAGGGGAGGTGGATCTGGGATGGGATACAGGGACACCCCCCCAAAATGGGGGTGGGAGCAGCTGGTGGGACATCCCCATTCCAGGCAGCAGGGCCGTGATCCCAGTGGGATCCTGCTCCTCCCAGGGCTTGGAAAAGAGGGATGTGGGGGGGGTAGAAATGCCCTGGAGGGGGCAGAGCCCCCGGACAGCCCCCCCAGTGTCTGTGCCCAGCACCAGGGGCTCAGCTGGGAGGGGGGAGCTCCTGCTCCAGGAATCCTTCCCTTGGAAAATCCCGGCCAAGGACAACACGGCACAGTGTGGGATTGTGATCCCACTGCTGGGACAAAGCAGGAGGGGGGGTCACTGAGGGGGCTCTGCACAGGGACACAAATAACCCTTCTGTGCACCCCGAACAAAGGGGCTTTGAGAGCTTTCCTTGGAAAAGCGGGAGAAGGGGAGGGGAGGGGGGGTGTGAAAAAAGAGCAAAAAAAGCCAATCCCAATCCAGGGGTTTTTTTTGTTTATTGTACCCAGTTCTGCTTTGCTGCAGCTGGAAAAGAGTGTGTCAGTGGGAAAGGCTCTTCCCAGTGGGAAGGGTCGGACACGTCGGAGCGGCCCCGGCTCGTTAACCGGGCAGGAATCCAGCCCCAGTCCTTGGAAAAGGGCAGGGAGGAGGGGGAATGGTGTCCTGCTTGCCTGGCCCTGCAGCCAGAGGGCTGGGGGGGATCCTGGGATCTGCAGCCAGGGGTTTAGGGGATGTTCTTGAGACCTGGATCCAGGTGTGAGTGGGGAACTCCTGGGATCTGCATCCAGGTGTGTGTGGGAGGTTCCTCTACCTTCTGTGCAGGAAGGACAACTTTGGCTCCCAGGAAAATTCCCAGGTGTGTGTGGGATGTTCCTGGGACCTTCATCCAGGTGTATGTGGGATGTTCCATCACCTCTGGCACAGGCAGGACACCTTTGGCCCCCAGGAAAATTCCCAGACTTGTGGCAGTGCTGGGTTTGGGGGGTGTGGGATGTTCCTGGGATCTCCATCCAGGTGTGTGTGTGGGATGTTCCTGGGATCTCCATCCAGCTGTGTGTGTGTGGGATGTTCCTGGGATCTCCATCCAGGTGTGTGTGGAATGTTCCTGGGATCTCCATCCAGGTGTGTGTGTGTGTGGGATGTTCCTGGGATCTCCATCCAGGTGTGTGTGTGGGGATGTTCCTGGGATCTCCATCCAGGTGTGTGTGTGTGTGGGATGTTCCTGGGATCTCCATCCAGGTGTGTGTGTGGGATATTCCTGGGATCTCCATCCAGGTGTGTGTGTGTGTGGGATGTTCCTGGGATCTCCATCCAGGTGTGTGTGTGTGGGATGTTCCTGGGATCTCCACCCAGCTGTGCCAGACGTGGGGGAGCTCAGGGAGCGCTGGAGGGGGCTGGGAAGGGCAGGAATGCTGGAGGAGCTGTTTGGAGCCCTGCCCGGAGGGTCTGGTGGGTCCCAGAGGGGCAGGAGCTCCAAGCCCCATCTCCCATTCCCGCAGATCCGTACGCCATCGTGTCCTTCCTGCACCAAAGCCAGAAGACGGTGGTGGTGAAGAACACCCTGAACCCCACGTGGGACCAGACCCTGATCTTCTACGAGATCGAGATCTTCGGGGACCCCCAGGGCGTGGCCGAGGCCCCCCCCAGCATCGTGGTGGAGATCTACGACCACGACACCTACGTGAGTGGGGGCTGGGACCGCTGGCAGCGTTCCTGCCCTCGGGAATGCCGGGCTCTGACACCTCTGTGGGGCTCAGGGGGCACTCAGGGGACAGACATTCAGGAGCCAGCTCCGCTCAAGGTGTCCTTGAGGTCCTTCTGCTCCAAACTTTGTCCACCCGCAGTGGTTCATCCATCCCGTGATCCCGGTTTTTGGTCTGGGCTGAGCTGTGGGGGTGTGGGGATGGATTCCACGGATAGAGAGGTGGGAAAGCTGTGTCTTCATCCTGGAGAGTGGCCACGTGGGCCGGATTTCCCCGTGGGAAAACCTGAAGCAGCCCTGGAAGTCGGGAGCATCCTCTGCTCCTTGCTCAGCTGTGCCAGGGTATCCAAAGGGCCTTGAAGTGATGGGATTTGGGGGAGCTGGGGATAGCAACTTGAGTCCTTCCCAGGAAAACTGGGCTAGAGCCTGTCCCAAGGGCAGGAGGGATTTCAGACAGTGTGGAAGGGTTGGAATCCAGCTTGGGAATGCTCAGGGACCTCTCAGGGACCCTTCTGTCCTTCCTGCTCCTCCTTCCCACCAGGAAGCAGCAAAAGCAAAGGATCCCATTGCAGGGCAGGGAATGGGATTTTTAGGAGCTGCTCATCCTGAATGCTCAGGGCTCCTGCTCTGGGAATTCTGGGATAGGAATTTCACCTCCTGTTTGAGCCCAAATGCCTGAAAAAGAGCATATCTAGCCATCAGAATTTCAGGGAGGATCTGAAAACTATCTGGGCTTCAAAACCCCTTAATTTTCTGACCTGGTTCATCCCTTGATCCTGGTTTTTAGTGGCAGGGTCCTGGCTGAGCTGTGGGTGGGTAGAAATGGATTCCACTGGGAAAAGAGGTAGGAAGCTGCATCTCCATCATGCAGATGGCCAAATGGACTGTATTTCCCTGTGGAAAAAGCTTGGGATAAGACCTAAAGCAGTGCTGGAAGTAGGGAATGTTTCTTTGACCGAAGATCCCGTTGCAGGGCAGGGAATGGGATTTTTAGGAGCTGCTGATCCTGAACACTCAGGGCTCCTGCTCTGGGAATTCTGGGGTAGGAATTTCACCTCCTGTTTGAGCCCGAATGCCTTCAAAAGGGCATTTCCAGCCCTTTTCAAGGAATTCCAGGGAGGATCTGTGAACATCAAACCCACTGGAGTTTCTGGCCTGGTCCCGTCACGGGTTCATCCTCGCTCCTGGCTCTGGAGTGGGGGGATTTTGGCTGAGCTGGGGGTGCATGGTGGTGGATTCCCCTGGGAGGAGGGCTGGGCAGGAGGCTCCCAGTGCCTGTGTTTCCCTGCAGGGAGCAGATGAGTTCATGGGCCGCTGCATCTGCCGGCCCAGCCTGGAGCGCTCTCCGCGGCTGTGCTGGCACCCCGTCACCAGGGCAGGCAGGAACGTGGGGGAGCTCCTGGCGGCCTTCGAGCTCATCCAGAGGGAGAAGGTGAGACCCCCATCCCTCCCTCATCCCCTCCTGCAGTGCTGCTTTCCCCCCTGGAGTCTCCACAGCCGGCAGATCCAGCCTTTGGGTGGGGTCCTCCTGGGCTCGGGCTCAGGGAGAGCCTCCTGGATTTGGCCCTTTTTGAGGAATGAATCCACGGGCTGAGCCTCTCCAGCTGGAAAAGGAGATGGTTTAGGGCTGGCCTGGTGGAAACCTGCAGAATTCCAGGTGTCAGCACAGGTGGGAAGGGCTGGATGGCTCCTTCTCTCCTAAGGGGAGGGCTTGGGGGGGATAGAGGAAACTGGGACTGCACAGATCCATAAGGAATGCTGCCCTTTGCTTGGAATTGATTCCTGGAGGGGGCTTAGGAGAGCTTGAAGCCACACAGCCTTTTCCAGTGGCTGCTGCATGGCTGGGGTGCCCCTGGGCCAGGGAACATGGAGGGACTGGGAGCTCAGTGCTCCCATCCCATCCCATCCCATCCCATCCCATCCCATCCCATCCCATCCCATCCCATCCCATCCCATCCCATCCCATCCCATCCCAGGTGTCACTGGGAATGTGGTCCTGCAGCTCCCTCCTTCCTGGAGCTCCCAGCACGGGCCCTGGAGCCAGGACAAGGCTCCCCCCTCACCCCTCAGGAGGGGTTGGGAATCCTTGGGAAGGGCTGTGCCCTCAGAGAGCCTCTTGGATCCACAGAACATCCAGATGGATTTGAGGTGCTGCTGGTGCCTCCTGGATAGAGGCAGAGAGCCCTGGATTCCCTGGAATCCTCGTGCCCAGGATGTTTGGAGCTGGGCATGGAGGTGGGCAGTGTGGGGCTGATGTTCCCTGCCAGGTAAGGCTAAGGTGGCAGCAGGAATTCCAATGGGAATTGTGTTTTCTCTCCACAGCCGGCTGTCCATCACATCCCTGGCTTTGAGGTAATTCCTGACTCCTCCTTGCAGCTCCATCCCTGGCCCTGCTCCTTCCCCTGCTCCCCTGGAGCTTTGCAGGAACCCTCTTTGAGCTTCCACGGGCAATTTGTCCATCCTGCCCTAAGGAATTATTTTAGGATGGAGGAGTCCCCTTGCAGAGATTCCAGTGTCCTTCAGCTGGGAAAAAGAGCTGGGAAAAGTGGGAAAGCTTCATTTATGACCTGTTAGAGGGGGGAATGTGTCCCATTCCAGGGTCCAGAGGAGGCCCCGGAGATGCTGCCAGGGCTGGAGCCCCTCTGCTCTGGAGCCAGGCTGGGAGAGCTGGGGGGGTTCCCCTGGAGAAGAGAAGGCTCCAGGGAGACCTGAGAGCCCCTGGCAGGGCCTAAAGGGGCTCCAGGAGAGCTGGAGAGGGACTGGGGACAAGGCATGGAGGGACAGCGCACAGGGAATGGCTTCCCACTGGAAAAGGGAGATTTGAGTGGGATACTGGGGAGAAGTTGTTGTCTGTGAGGGTGGGGAGGGGCTGGGATGGAATTTCCAGAGAAGCTGTGGCTGCCCCTGGATCTCTGGGAATGTCCAAGGCTCGGGTTGGGTGGCCCTTGGAGCTACCTGGGAGAGTGGAAGGTGTCCCTGGGTGGAACTGGATGATCCTTCAGGTCCCTCCCAACCCAAAGCATTCCAAGTTTCTATTCAGTTTCAGCTACAATTCCAAGCCTTGGGATGGGCTGGTGGATGAGAATTCCTCTAATTCTGTCCTCTCCTCCTCTTTTCCAGAGTGATTTGTCCTCCAGCCTGGACGAGGTGAGTCTTTAAGGATGAGTTGCTTTCCATCTTGGGGTGGTTCAGATTTGCCTCCCTGGGAGAGCCCCTCTTTCCAGGAGCAGCTGGATTTTGGGGACAGGAGTGACCACCAGCAGGATGGGGTGGATGGACTCTGGGCTTGAGCCAGGGAGGGTTCCCATGGCAGGGAAAGTCAACATGGGATGGGGGAACGTGCTGGGGTACATTCAGCCTCCCTGGGATGTGTGTGCACGAGGAGCTCCCCCCTTCCCAAACCCCGCATGGAAGAGCTGGAATGCTGGGCTGCCCCTTGGCTGGACCTCAGCTGAAATCCCAGTTGCCCCCTTTCCATGGGGAATTGGCCGTGAATTGAGGATTTCCCGGACTGTGCCAGTGGTTCTGAAGGAAGTATTCTCATCAGAGAGGAGGTGGCTGCCCCATCCCTAGAATAATTCAGGGATAGGTTGGACGGGGCTTGGAGCAACCTGGGGTAGTGGGAGGTGTCCCTGCCCATTCCAGGAGGTTTGGACTGGATGACCTTCGAGGTCCCTTCCAGCCCAAACTATTCCATGATTCTGTGCTTCCAAGCCCAGGGTCCCAACCTGTCCAAGTCTCTCCCCAGACCCCGTGGTTCCTTTGGAGCAGATCACCACGGGGTGAGGTTGTTCCTGGAGAGCTCCAGGCAGAGAGCAGAACAAGGGACACCTCTCTTGCAGTGTTGGGGTGGCCCTTGGAACCAGGTGACCCCAAAATCTGGGAGGTGAGCTAGGGAAGGACGTGAGGCCTGGCCACATTCCTAAGCGAGGCCGGATGGGATGGGATGAGCACATTTTCCAGGCTGCCTTTCCTGAGGGAGCAGGGTCCAGCCCTGTGCTCCGATGGGTTGGTGTGACCATAATCATCTCTCTGCTCTTTCTCCTCCACTTCTTCCCATTTCTGGATGGGGAATTCCACAGCTCTGCCTCCCGGCCTTGTTCTCCGAGGGGCTCCTCCAATGGGTATTTTGCTCTCCTCCATCCCCCTCCTTTTCCCAGAAATCCAAGCAAAATCCCAGCAGAGACTCTCGGGGAGAGCAGCTCCTCCAGGAGGGCCTGGCCTGGCCCTCCTGCCCTGTGGGACCCCCATCCCACCCATCCCTCTGAGCCTCATCCCAAAGTTTGGTGCCAGCCCGAGTCTCCAGCACCTTGGGGAGAATCCTCGTGGTACTCCTGGAGGACCATGCTGGGACCATCCTCCTGTGTCATCTCTGCTTGGGAATGTCCTTTTGGGGCCAAATCCCCTCCAAACTCTGGGATTTAAGCCCTTCTTGGAACTCCCATTCCAAGTGGGAGATGCTTCCAGCCCCGGCTCGGACTGGGCTGGGCAGTGTTGGCTTTCACCTGTCACTCTTCCAGCCCTGGATCAGAGCCAGGGTTGGATCAGCTGCTCTCCAGAGCTCCTTCCCACCCAGATTCCCTCTGATTTCTTCTTGTCCAAGCCATCCTAGATGCCAGCAGGTGTTCTCCTGGGTGAGAGCTGTGCCTGGGAATTGCTTGTTCCCCGATCCCTCCCTGCTCCTGCCTCATCCCTGGCACTCCCTGCTCCCTTCTGTCCATCTGGTGGAACATTTGATCCTCCTGGAATCACTGGGAGCCAGGAGAGCCACTGGAAAACTCCCAGGAGAGCAGCTGGGAATAAGGACTTAGGAACAGCTGGAGGTGGTGCAGGGTTAGAAGCCAAGTGTCCTTTGGGGCTTCCAAAGCTGAACCTGGAGAGGGAGGAGGGACAGGCAGGAGCTCTTTCCCTGTTTTTCCTTCATCCCATAAGGATTTCCCAAAGGATTGATCACTAAGGTCCCTTCCAACCCAAAGCATTCCGTGACTCTGTGTCTGAGCAGCCTCAGGTGAAGGATTTTGGGAAGCAGAGGGTTCCCAGGGGATGCTGGGGATGCTCTGCACCTCTCCCTTCTCCTTGGGACTCACCTCCTGGATAACATTCCCGTTCCCTGCCTCCACTAATTCCCACCGTGAGCACATGGATCATGGGATGGGGGATTCTCCATGTGGGAAACCTGGACATCTGCCCCAAAATGGAATTACCCCAAATCCCCAGCTGGATTCAGCAATTCCCAATGGAAATCAAAGCTCCATGGCAGGGGCTTGGAACTGGATGATCCTTAAGGTCCTTTCCAACCCAAACCATTCCAGGATTCTCCACATGGAAAATCCCTTTGTGGAGCATTTATTTATGCCCAGGTATAAACCTGCCCCAATCCTGTGACTGCAACAGAAACACACTGGATTTAGTGCACTGATATTCCAGCCTGGAAAGAATTCCAGCTTCCTAAGTTGCTCCCAACTGCCCCTGTTGGAGGGGTGGCATTTTCAGAGGTTTTCCTTTCATTCCTGCCTTTTTGGTGGCTCTGGACTGGAAGATAGATGCAGGTCCAGAGGAACACGAGTGTCCAGGGAATTCTCCTGCTTTGTTCCTCTCAGGAGGCAGATCGTGGATCCCTCACGTGCTTCCCAGATTTGGGATCACCCTGCTGGAGTTCTCCCTCCCTGGGCACTGTGCAGGGGTGGCTTCCCCTGAGCCCTGTCCTGTGGGATGATGGTTTGTGTGGTTTGTAGGGACAGCAGCCCCTTCCCACATCCAGGGGCGATGCCAGCCCACCATCCCATGGTGCTGCTCCCACTAAATCACTGCTTTTTGGGAATTGCTCCCAGCATCTCACTCTGCCCAAATCTGAACCTGCTGCTGCTTCCTCCCCTCTCCTCTCCTCATCCCTCTGGAACTGTCCCAGAGTGATCCTGGTGGGACAGAGGGGGTTCCACCCCACCCTTCCCCGAAAGGGGCTGAACTTGCTGGAGGGCAGATCCCTCCTGTCTCCCTGGGAACGCTCAGGGATCGCTCTCAGCAGGTGTTTGATCTTCTCCAGGCTTGGACTAAAGGGACAAACCCAGTTTTCCAGTGAAATCCTCCCCCCAACCCTCACTGCCCCTCTGGCCGTCCTGGCCTTCCAGGGGGAGATGAGTTTGGCGGAGAGATGGAGACTCCAGGGGGGGATGCAGAGCGGGGAGGGGGTTGGTGTCTCCTCCTGCGATTCCTGACCTGTCCTTTCCCTCTCTGCTCCCTCAGTCGGCCGATTCCGACCTTCCCTACCCGCCCCCTCAGCGGGAGCCCAACATTTACATGGTGCCCCAGGGCATCAAACCCGTCCTGCAGCGCACGGCGATCGAGGTGAGAGGGGCTGGGGACATCGAGGGGAGGGAGCCTGGGGTGGGATCCAAACAGGCATGCAGAGAACCCCCAGAGCTGGGGGGGCTGCAGAGGAGGAGGCTCCAGAGGGACCTTCCTGCTCTCCACAGCTCCCTGACAGGAGGGGGGAGCCGGGGGGGGGTCAGGCTCTGCTCCCAGGGAACAGGGACAGGAGGAGAGGGAACGGCCTCCAGCTGTGCCAGGGGAGGCTCAGGTTGGACATCAGCAGGAATTTCCTCCCGGAAAGGGTGGTCAGGCACTGGCACAGCTGCCCAGGGAGGTTTGGAGTGCCCAGCCCTGGAGGTGTCCTGGGAAGGCCTGGCTGTGACACTCAGTGCTCTGGGCTGGGGACAAGGTGGGGATGGGGCACAGGGGGCACTGGATGACCTTGGAGGGCTTTTCCAGCCTCAGTGATTCCATGCACAGCCGGCTTTTCCCACTGCTGGGTCACCTCTCCCTGGAGGGCCACCCCTCACGGTCACCTCCCCTGCTGGTGACAGACCCAGGGGCAGAGGTTTGGCTCAGTCTTTGCTGTCCCCTCCCCCTGCAGATCCTGGCCTGGGGGCTGAGGAACCTCAAGAGCTTCCAGCTGGCCAGTGTGACATCCCCCAGCCTGCTGGTGGAGTGCGGGGGGCAGCTCGTGCAGTCCTGCGTCATCAAGAACGTCAAGAAGAACCCCAACTTCGACGTCTCCGTGCTCTACATGGAAGTGGTGAGGGCCCTGGGGGGTGGGATCAGCCAGGGCTGGTTGGGCAGGACCTGCGGGTCCCAGGAAAATGCACCTTCTGGTGAAGGACCTCAGAGTGCCATAAAAATGCATCTGGTGGGGAAGGACTGCCAAGTCCTATAAAAATGCACCTCGTGGTGCTGGACCTGGAGGTCCCCTAAAAATTAATCATCTTGTGGAGAAGGACCTGGAGGTCCCACAGAAATGGATTTTATGGTGAAGGACCTTTTAAGGTGAAGGACCTTCACCTTATGGTGAAGGACCTCAAAGTCCCATAAAAGTGGATTTTATGGTGAAGGACCTGGAGGTCCCATAAAAATGTACCTTGTGGTGAAGGGCCTCAAAGTCCCACAAAAATGCACTTTATAGTGAAGGAGCTGAAGGCATTATAGAAACTGATTTTATGGTGAAGGACCTGGAGATCCCCTAAAAATGCACTGTGTGGTAGAGGAGCTGGAGGTCACATAAAAATGCATCTTATGGTGGAGATCTTCAGCTCGAAGTCCCATAAAAATGGATTTGATGGGGAAGGACCTGGAGGTCCCACAGAAATGACCTTATGGAGAAGGACCTCAGAGCTCATAAAACCCGATTTTCTGGAGAAGGACCTGGGAGCCCCATAAAAAAAGCACCTTCTGGTGAAGTTGGTTCTGCCCCCGTTGTTTTTGGGGTGGTGCAGGCCCTGTGCCCTCCCCTTCCCACTGTCCTCACCCCCCGCCCCGTTCCCGCAGCGCCTGCCCAAGGAGAGCCTCTACAGCCCCCCCATCGTCATCAAGGTCATCGACAACCGGCCCTTCGGCCGCCGGCCCGTGGTGGGCCAGTGCTCCGTGCGCTGCCTCGAGCCCTTCTACTGGGACCCCCACGGCCAGGACACGGCTGGGCCCCACCAGCACGGAGGTAGGGCTGGCACTGCCACCCTCGTGGCATCGGGGTTGGCTTGGGAGGGACCTGAAGGATCATCCAGTGCCACCCAGGGGCACCTGCCACCAGCACAGGTTGCTCCAACCTGGTCTTGGACACTCCCAGGGATCCAGGGGCAGCCACAGCTTCTCTGGGCAACCTGTGCCAGGGCCTGCCCACCCTCCCAGCCAGCAATCCCTTCCCAATATCCCACCTAGCCCTGCCCTCCTTCAGCTCAATCCATTCCCTCTTGTCCTTGTCCAAGCCTTCCTGGAGCCCTCCCTTCTCCAGGAGGAGCCCTGGGTCACTCTCCACGTTCTTTTGAGCTCAGCCCAGCTCTAGTCCTGATCCAAAAGTCCCAGGAGGTGCCCAGGATGAGTTTAGCTCTGGGACTGGCTGGTGGGATGGGCTGCCCTTGGGCCAGGCTGGCCAACCTGCATGAAGATGAACTCTGGGTGGTGTGAAGGGTTTGGATGTAGGTTGGGATGATGGACACGAGCTGTGAGTGTTGTGAAGGGTTTGGATGTGGTTGGGATGATGGACACGAGCTGTGAGTGTTGTGAGGGGTTTGGATGTGGTTGGGATCAGGGACATGAGCTGTGGGTGGTGTGAAGGGTTTGGATGTGGTTGGGATGATGGACACGAGCTGTGGGTGGTGTGAAGGGTTTGGATTAGGTTGGGATCAGGGACATGAGCTGTGGGTGGTGTGAGGGGTCTGAGAGAGGTTGGGATCAGGGACATGAGCTGTGGGTGGTGTGAAGGGTTTGGATGTGGTTGGGATGATGGACACGAGCTGTGGGTGGTGTGAAGGGTTTGGATGTGGTTGGGATCAGGGACATGAGCTGTGGGTGGTGTGAGGGGCCTGGCTGGGGCTGCGGGGTGTCGATGCCAAGGCTCTGGGGATGCCCTGCCACGCCCTGCTGTCCCTGCAGACGACGGGAGCCCCACGCCCAGGGACGACGTCCTCATTGACATCGACGACAGGGAGCCCCTGATCCCTGCCCAGGTATGGAAACACGGCAGGGGGCAGGATGGGATCTGGGTGTGCTCTGGGGGGCCTGGGCAGGGTGTAGGGCTGAGGTGAGGCTGTGGCTGGTGGTGTCCGTGCTCTTGGAGCTTCCACCCCTGCTCTCACTCCCCCTCCTCCACCTGCACATCCCAGACCCATCCTCCATCCCTGCTTTTGGTGTGGGGAGCTGGATTTGCTCCTCTGGGAGAGGACAAGGGACTCTTCTCCACTCCAGGCTCTTCCTTCGGCGTCTCCTCCTCACTGCAGGGTTTGCTTTGGGGCTGGGCAAGGTCTGGAGTCATCCCTTGGGATTCCTTGGGAAGGACAGGCACTGTCCCAAAGAGGCCTTGGAGGGATTTATCCTCCCAGCCTTGGGAGGTGACCTGGTGCTGGGAGATGGGACAGTGTTCCCAAGGCCAGGCTGGAAGCAAAGGTTTCCCTGAGGGTCCATCATCCTCACCCCATGCCAGGTCTCCTTTTCCCAGTTTTCCTCTTTGAAGGTTCCTTTGCCACTTCCAAACCCCGCTGCTGCTTCCAGCAGCTCCAGTCCCTCTGCAGAGGGCCCTGGTGGGACTGGGATTGCACACTCCAGACTCCAGACTCCGTGGGGGTGGAGCTGCACAGCTTTGGCAGGGAAGGAGGGGGGTGTTCCAAGCTCCCTGTGCCGTGAGTTTGAGGGATCTCAGCTGTCCCCCGTGGATGGGTCAGGCTGGAAATGCCCCTGGGGCTGCTGTTCTCCTCCCTGGAGTTTCCCATTTCCATAATCCCTGTGTTCCTTCCCCCTGTGTCCCCTCTGGGACAGCCCTGCCAGTGCCGGGCTGGGCAGATCCCCAGGTGATCCCCAGGTGATCCTGGTGGCCCAGGAGCAGCTGGGTGTGGTTCCAGGAAGGTTTGGTGCAGCTTTCCATGGTCTCCTGTCCCTTTGGTGTCCTTGTCACCTGCTGGAATTGCCTCTCTCCCTGTTCCAAAGGCTGGAACCTCGGGCTGGAAGAGCCTGAGCTTTCTGGAAGGATCTGCCCCTCAGGTGTCTCCTGCCTCACCTTTCCTGGCCTTGGACACTTCTAGGGATTATTAGGGGAGTAAATTGTGGAATTTGGGCATCAATCCTGCTCTTTGTTCATCCCCTTGGGGGCTCCCCAGTGTTCCTGTTCCCGAGGATTTCCTGCTTCCATTGGATCCTGTGGGCTTGGCCTGGGGTCCCAAATCAAGCTGGGAATGAAGATTTTGGCCAGTTCCCAGCAGATCCCGTGCCTGTGGGACTCCAGCCTGGACTGGCCTCGTCCTGGGCACTTCTCCCACACCAGGCTGGTGCTCCCACTCCAAGTCCCCATCCCTGGAAGTGTCCAAAGCCAGGTTGGAGGAGCTTGGAGCAACCTGGACTGGTGGAAGGTGTCCCTGCCCATGGACACTGGATGGCCTCTGAGGTCTTTCCCAACCCAACCCCTTCCCTGATTCCATGAATCTGTGATCCATAGGCAGGGCTTTCTTCCCAAAAATCCTCCTGGACAACAGGATTCACTTGCACCTTTCCTGTGATGCTCCTGGAGCTGGGAGAGGTGGAGCAGCTCAGCTCTTCCCTCTGGGAATCCCTGGGGTCTCTGGGGCTCTCCCACCCAAAACCTCGCAGGGATTTCATTGGGATGTGACCAAACCAGTCCTCATCAGCTCTTGGGGGATGAAACTCCTGGATAGGGACACAACCCCCCCTCTACACAGGTGTTCCCAGTGCTTTGAGCTCCAGGGGCTGCCCCAGGAGCAGGGAATCAGCACAGGAGCTGCAGAGATCCCAGAGGAAGGAATGGGGGAGAGGTTTGCATCCTAAGGTGGTTTAAAGCCTATGGAAAACACCTCCAAACTCACATTCAATTCAGGGAGCAGTTTAAACAGGAGGAAAAGGGGGACAGGGACGTGGCACAGCCAAACCCCTCCACTCCAGCCCTTCCAGAGTGGAAGATGTTGATGAATTTTTTTATGGGAACAAACATTTCCCGAACAACCCCCTGCCCTGTTCACTTTGGCCCCACATTTGTCCTCCTCGGATTGTTTGTTTGTCTTTCCCTTTTGTTTTGGGAGAGGAGGGAGCTTGTTCCTGGAAAGCCGAAGGGAAATCCCCACCTTCTCCCTCCCTGACCCCGAAGTCTTGGCCCTGGAAGCTGTTCCTGCCCTGGAGGGGGACGGGGTTGGGATGTGGGTGGATCATCAGGGTCCTTTCACCCCCCTCTGCTCCCGTTTGGGGACAGATCTGGGGGGTCAAGGAGCACTCCCAGCCTGCAGAGACCATCCTGCTCCTTCTCCCTGGGAAAAAGGGATGGAACCCAGGCCAGGAGCCCATTCCCAGGGCTCTCCCAGCTGTGACCTTGGAAGCAGGAGCCAGGATTGTGCAGGGGGTGTTTCACTGTGTGGCTCCAGAGCTTTTCTCCCTCCTTGCCAGGCCTGGCCTTGGTCCCTGCTCCGATGGATGTTGGGAACAAAGGATCCCTCTGTTGTCCTCCTCTGGAAGAGGGAAAACAAGCAGAGGTGAATCCCCCCTGCTCCAGGGCTGGGAGAGTGTTGTCCACCTCATCCAGGGGGGTGAGAAGTTCATCTGGAGTTTAAAGCACTTCATGTGCACAGGAACCTCATCGTGGTCATCCATTGGGGTGGAAAAACCTCCTCAAACCCATGGAAAAGCTGCTTTTCCAGGCTAGTTTGGGAAGTGGACTCGGAGTGGGGTTTTGGAAGGGCTGAAGTCCTGCCTGCTCTGCATTCCCTGTTCTCCATGGGGTCATTCCCCTGGGAAGCAGCTGGGGAAGGACACCCATGGTGTCCATGTGCAGCCCTGAGGGGTGAGCGGGGATTTGTCCTCCTGCTCATGGATAAATCATGGAGGGGCCATTCCCAGGAGCCTCCCAGCAGCTGGGGGGGTGTCCTGCTTGGAGCTGAGCCTCAGGGAATGTTTTCCCCCTGGAGCAGCTGGGGATGGGGTGTTTTCAGCTTGTTTCAGGTCTGGGCTGGGGGGCTCAGAGCAGTGTGTTGTGAGGGGAGCTCAGGGAATGCTGCTGGGATTGGGCCGATGTTTTCCGGGAAGCTTTTCTGGGAAGAACATCTCGTTTGTCCCCTTTTCCCACCTCAAAGGGACCAAGCCTTGGGAAGCAGGAGCAGAGCTTGGTGCCCAGGGCAGCGATGGCAGCTCTTGGGCTGCCCAGGACCAGCTGAGCTTGGGGCTGGACTTTGGTCCCGAGCTTTGCTCATCCCGTTAAACCCCCCTGGCCCAGATCCCTCTGGGATGAACTTGTGTCCAGGGAGATTCCCTGCTCCACTGAAAAGTATTAACAGCTTTTCCATACCACATTTCCCCCTTAATTATCCCGTTTGTTCCCTGTAACTGTGTCCAGTTTGCTGAACATCCATGAAAACCCAAACCCTGCCGAGGTTGCCTCGTCCTGGGAAGCCTCACCCTCGCACCCAGGGCTGATTTCCTTGGATGAGTTGCTTTCATTTCCCCAGATGGTGCCTTTGCTGACGTGTGCTCCCCCTCATCCCTCTAATTCCCTGGCTAACGGCTCCTTTTGATTTGTAGCTTGCCGAGGGTGTGACCAGCTCTGCACTAATTAACATCCCGGCTCCTGGGGCCCAGCCTCGTGTAGGTATCGCTTCACTTCCAACTTCATTGCCCCATTAACGGCTTTTATCTGGGATTTATGTGCGTGTGGAAATGGGAAGAGGTATCTCCTGCTGGGAAAGACCCCCTTGCTGCTTGGGAGCGTGGCAGTTCCAGGTGGAATGGTTTTCCCTTCCTGCCAGAGGACGGGAGGTGGGTCTGGGGAGGAATCCCGTGTCCTGCTCCGGAATCCTGGCACAGGGAGGACGTGGAGCTGGTGGGGAGAGTCCAGAGCAGGCACCAGGTGATCAGAGGATGGAGCAGCTCTGCTGGGAGGAAAGGCTGGGAAAACTGGGAATGTTCAGCCTGGAGAAGGGAAGGCTCCAGGGAGACCTGAGAGCCCCTGGCAGGGCCTAAAGGGGCTCCAGGAGAGCTGGAGAGGGACTGGGGACAAGGCCTGAGGAGACAGGACAAGGGGAATGGCTTCCCACTGCCAGAGGGCAGGGACAGATGGGATATTGGGAAGGAATTGCTGGCTGTGAGGGTGGGGAGGCCCTGGCACAGCTTGGGCAGAGAAGCTGTGGCTGCCCCTGGATCCCTGGAAGTGTCCAAGGCCAGGATGGAGCAACCTGGGCTGGTGGAAGGTGTCCCTGCCCATGGCAGGGGTGGAATGGATGGGCTTTAATGTCCCTTCCCAGCCAAACCATCCCAGGATTCTTTAATTACCCTGACCCAGCTTCTCTGGGCACCCTGTGCTGGGGCCTCCTCACCCTCACAGGCTGGAATTCTCTCCCAACATTCTGTCTGTCCCTGAGCAGTTCTGTGTTGGCTCTGCCTGTGTCTCTGCAGCCCCTCTGGACCCAAACATTGCCCTCTGGGGTGGGTTGTGTGTGCCAGGGAGAGGATGGATGGGTGGCAGTGCAGGGATCCCAACCAGGGACACGAAGCCTCCCTAAACACCTTCCCATCCTTGTCCATCAGCAACTGGAATTTACGTGAGCGTGCTTTTGGTTTAGCTCCCATAAAATAGGGGGGAAAAAAGGAGGAGAAAAGCTGCAAATCATTAATTTAAAATAAAAGCAGCAGAACAGGAGGCAGGAATAGAGCCATTGTCCTGGTTTCTCCCACGATGCCACGGGATGATGGGATCTGATGTACCAAACCCCACTCTGCAGGGAGATGTGGGTGTTTCCTTGGGAAAACCATCCCGGTTTGGAAAGCTGGTCATGGAAATCTCTGACCCATCTCCTGCTCCTTCAGAGCTTTGGAGCTTCCCAGGAAAGCAGGAGCCGTGGGATGAGGGGCAGGGGCTGCAGCTGGCAAAGAAATATTAGGAAAAAAGCTTTTCCAGCCAAAAAGCTCCAGCCCAGTGTGGAGTCTGGGAGGGGGGTCCTGGATTGGGATCCACCTCCCACTGTGGTGATAATGACAAGGGGATGGTTCCACACTGCCAGATGGAGGGATGGGATATGGGGAAGGAATTCCTGCCTGGCAGGGTGGGGAGGGCTGGAATGGATTTCCTGGAGAAGCCGTGGCTGCCCCATCCCTGGAAGTGTCCCAGGCCAGGTTGGAGCAAGCTGGGAGCGTGGAAGGTGTCCCTGCCTGTGGAACTGGGTGAGCTTTGAGGTCCCTCCCAACCCATTCCATTCCATTCCATTCCATAATTCCATGATTCTTGGGCCTCTCCCAGAGGAGAGGAGCTCAGGGGGAGCCCTGAGACACCCTTGAGCCATGAAGCTCTGAGGAGAAGGCTCCATTCCCCCTGGGAATCCCTCCCAGGTCCTTTTTCCCCTGTCCCTCTGGCAGAGCTTTCCTTGTCAGGCACGAACCTCCCGTCCCAGGCCACGGTACCGAGGGAAGCGGAGCCAAAGCCGCGGAGCCCGAAGCTGGGAATGATTTGGGATAACTGGCTCTGTGCTGGGTCCGCTCCCTCCACACCCCAGCACGCATTTCACGCCTTCTCCAGTTTCTGGTTGCTGGAAGAGCTGCTGGCAGGGGGTGTCTCCTCCTGGGAATGGCTGCCAGGCCAGCACTGCCTCCCACGGTGTTCCTCGTGTACCTTTTGTTCCCTGGTGAGGAGGGAAAGCCCTCCCTGCTCCATCTGCAGGAATGCTGCATTCCCACCATGGAGTCATGGAATGGCTTGGCTTGGGAGGGATCTTAAAGCCCACCCAGTTCTGTGGGCAGGGACACCTCCCACCAGCCCAGGTTGCTCCAGGCTGGCCTTGGACACTTCCAGGGATCCAGGGGCAGCCACAGCTTCTCTGGGAAAACCTGTGCCAGGGCCTGCCCACCCTCCCAGCCAGCAATTCCTTCCTGAAGGCAGAAATTTTGGCTATCCTGAGGGAATTTTGGGTATCCCAAGGTAATTTGGGCTTTCCTGAGGTGATTTGGGCATCTCGAGGGAATTTTAGCTTCCTGGAGGGAATTTTGAATACCTGGAGGTGTTTTGGGATACCTGGGAGTAAATTTGGGATCGCTGGAGGGGGTTTGGGGTCTCTGGAGGGGATTTTGTCCCCCCCTTGGTCGCTCCATGAAAACCCTCAGTCCATCCTTGATGTGGTGGATCCACTGCTTTCCCTGCCTGTCCCATTCCCAAATGGATTCATACCCCTCCCTATTAACATTCCAGCTGCTCCCCTTCCCTCTCTCTTTTAATTTTTCCCGTTTTTTTTGTTGTAACATTTGTCAAAATCCACTAAAATCTTTAACCCTCCTCTTTCCTTGGGGCTGCAGAAGATCCTGTGGGTAAGTCCTGGGATGGATCCAAGCGCTCTCCTTGTTGAATGTTTCATGGGAATGTTTCATGGATCGCAGGCAAAGCCCCTCCAGCTTTGCTTTAGAAATGTAAAAAGTGGGATTCTTGTAAAATCCATGGTTTTCCCTCTTGGAACAGCATCCTTGGAGCTGGAGTGGTTTGCTCAGGGAATGAGGCAACTGCTCCTTCCTGGTGGGAGATGGAACTGTGTGGGATTTTCCTGGTTTTTGGTCTGATATCATGGGAAGAGGGTTTTGTCCCTCCAGGGTCCCCTGAATTTTTAGTGGGAATATCTGGATTTGATGGATTTCTTCATTCCCCCCGGGCTTTGTTGGGATAGGGGGGTTGGATGGTGCTGGGTCACAACCAGGGAGTCAATCCCTGTCCCCAAAATCTTGACACCAGAGTTCATTTGTGTCATTCCCTGCGAGGTCCTGCACGGAGATCCCAGGAAAACCACCTTCCAAGTGGCCAGAATCTCCCTAAAAATGCTCCAGGTTTTTTTTCCTGGGAGCTCCACCTCACCCTCCCATGGAGAACCATCCTCTCAGGAGAAGCTTCCTGGTGTTGCTGTGGCTGCACCAGCTGGATCTGGGGCTGGGACCATCCCAAAAATCCCCTGGAATCAGGGCTGGAGGAGCTTCAGGGGGATCCCAGCCTGGCTGGTTACTGGGCTTGGGGCAGAAGTTCAGCTCCAGCAGTTTGGGAGGCGCTGCTGCCGTTCCCCTGGGATTTTCCCTGGGAGAGGAGTAACTCTGGGATCTGTTGCTGCAGGAGGAAGAGTTCATTGACTGGTGGAGCAAGTTTTATGCCTCCACAGGAGAGAGGGAAAAGTGTGGCTCCTACCTGGAGAAGGGCTTTGACACCTTGCAGGTGAGTGGCTTCCCTCAGGCCTGGCTCCTTGGATCTCGCTCTCCAGGATTTTTTAGAGGGATTTTAGGCTTTTTTTCCCCTGCTAGGTTGAAAAAAAAAAAACAACAAAATACGTTTTCCTGAGGGAAAAACCTGAATAATTTAAAAATAAATGTTGTTTTTAAAATGTATATTCTTTTTAAAATCAGTAGTGTTTTAAAAAATAAGTATTGTTTTTAAAATATATGTTGTTTTTAAAATCAATACTGTTTTAAAAAATAAGTATTGTTTTTAAAGGAAATATTGTTTAATATAAAATAGGCATAAAAATGCCTATTTTGAAAATCCAAATTCCTTTGCAAAATCCTCTCTGGAAACCTGGCTGCCTTCAGGAAATTGTCACTTTGGAAGTGGCCCAGGAGGTGAGAAAGAGCCACCCTGGGAATTGTTTGGGAACGAGGAAAACCAGCGATTGCTCAGGAGGATTTAACACAGACGCCCCAGCAGGGCTAAAATGGGGAAGACCTTTCCTGCTCTTAGGGAAAATATTCCCAGCAGGAAGATCTGTGTGGTGGCAAACCCTGGAGGAGCCCTTGGCTCATCCGAGTCTGTGCTGGGCTGGGATTTATTGGAGGGTCTCCAAACTCTCCGTCGGCGTCCCGGGGGACAACGGGGTGAGAGATCCCCGGGGTTTGTCCCTGCACAGGGTTCCCCAGGACTGTGGGGGTTGGATGCAACCTTGTCCCCATCCCATCTCTGCCTTCCCAGGTCTACGAGACGGAGCTGGAGGAGGTGGAGGCCTTCGAGCACCTCTGTGACTTCTGCCACACCTTCCCCCTGCTCCGGGGCCGCGGCCGCGACTGCAGCGACGACCCCTCGGTCGTGGGAGAGTTCAAGGTGGGAGAGACCCCCCTGCCTGGAGTTGGGGGGGTCTCTGAGGGCCCTTCCCAAACAAACCATCCCATCATGCCATGAGTTAGAGAAGCCACAGCCCTGGAAGTGTCCAAGGCCAGGTTGGAGCAGCCTGGGATAGGGGAAGGTGTCCAGGGGGTGGAATCAATGGGATTTACAGTCCCTTCCATGCCAAACCATTCCATGGTTCTGGAGCCCCTCTGCTCTGGAGCCAGGCTGGGAGAGCTGGGGGCGTCCCCCTGGAGAAGAGAAGGCTCCAGGGAGACCTGAGAGCCCCTGGCAGGGCCTAAAGGGGCTCCAGGAGAGCTGGAGAGGGACTGGGGACAAGGCATGGAGGGACAGCACACAGGGAATGGCTTCCCACTGCCAGAGGGCAGGGGGAGATGGGATACTGGGAAGGAATTCCTGTCTGTGGGGGTGGTGAGGGCCTGGGATGAAATTCCCATAGAAGCTGTGGCTGCCTCTGGATCCCTGGGAATGTCCAAGGCCGGGTTGGAGCTCCCTGGGACAGTGGGAAGTGTCCCTGTCCACACTGGACCAAGACGATCTCTCAGGTCCCTCCCAGCCCAACCCATCCCGTGATTCCATGGCCCATCCCACCATCCACAGTGGACACCCAGGGCTCCTCAACTCCCGTGTCCTTCCCAGGGCTCTTTCAGGATCTACCCCCTTCCCGACGATCCGCGCGTGCCGGCGCCGCCCCGGCAGTTCCAGCAGCTCCCGGCGCGGGGCCTCCAGGAGTGCCTGCTCAGGGTCTACATCGTCAGGGCCTTCCAGCTGCAGCCCAAGGACTCCAACGGGAAGGTATCCCGGTGGGAATGCTCCCCTGGGCTCCGGGGCTGCCTCCGGGGGTGGCATCTTGGAACGGGTTGATTCGGATCGATCAAAATCGGTTGATTCCCTTAAAATTCGGGGGTCTGTCCCTCTTTTCTACCTCCATTGCAGTTCTGGGAATGCCAGGGCCAACTCTTCCTCCTTCCACAGGGATTTTTCCATAGGATTAGTTCAAATATGTGGATGAGTTTTGGCTTTTTAGCGTTTTTTTCTTTTGGAATTTTGGAGCCAAAGGGTGACGAAATCCTCTCTTTCCCAGGAATTCCTTTGCCAGTGTGGAAGGGAAATTTAAAGGCAGAAAGGAAATTGGGTTTGGGCAAAATGAGAAATGTTTTCATTTTGGTTCAATTTGCACCCCCCAAAAAAAAAAATCTCAGGGAAAGATCCTTTTTAACTGTCTTTGTTCCACTGGGAAACAGGGGAAAATTAAGGAAAACAATGGGAAATTTTTGAATAGGTGAAGAAATAGATATGGAAAATAGAGGGGAAATAATATTTATATGAAATATATTAAAGATGTATGAGAAATATATGTAAAATAATATATATATGAAATATATCAAATATATATGGAAAATAAAAAATATATATATGAAATACATATAAAATATATGAAATACCTGAAAAAATATATGAGGAAAATGAAACTGCATTTTAATCTGCCCAGTTCTTGAAAATGGATTTGGAATGAAGTTTTTCCAGTCCTTGGGAATCTCCCATAAATGACTCCTGGGGATTAAAAATAAATGGAAAAAAAGGCTATTTTTTCCCACTGAAAACCCCAAACCGACCCAAATTTGACCTCCAGTGTCTCCCTGGACTGTGAATTCTCTGGGGGCTCATCCCAGTGCAGGAGAATCCTGAATGTCCAGTCCATTCCCTGAGTGGTGTTTTTCCATCCTTTGCTCCTCAAAAAAATCTCCAGGAAAAGGAAAATCAAGGCAAAGTGATGAGGAACTGGTCCTGGTGTGTTTTCCAGGGAATTTTTTTGGTGAGAACTGGGCTGGTGGATCTCTCCAGGGCCTGCCCTTGAGCTGGGGGGAATCTTTTAGGTGGAGTTGGATCCTTTCCCTGAGTTTTCTTCTTCCCCTTGACTTGAGTTCATTTACCCACTTTTTAAATGAATGCTGATTTTCCCAGATTGTTTGAACTGTGGGAGGGGTGGGGTTTGGAGCATCCTGGTCTATGGAAGGTGTCCCTGCCCCTGGCATAGGGTGGGACTGGATGGGATTTAAGGTCCTTCCCAACCCATTCCATGATTCTCCGTCTCTCCCCCCCTCAGTGCGATCCCTATGTGAAGATTTCAGTGGGAAAGAAATCCATCAATGACCAGGAAAATTACCTGCCCTGTACCCTGGAGCCTGTCTTTGGGAAGTGAGTGTGGATTCACTTTGGGGTCCATGGGCTTTTCTTATGTCATCTTGAGGGAGTTGTGCTGGATGAGCCAGAGCTTCCCATTCCAACCTGCACTCAAGGTTGGATGGGGCTTGGAGCAACTTGGGAGAGTGGAAGATGTCCCTGCCCATGGCAGGGGGTGGAATCAATGGGATTTACAGTCCCTTCCATCCTAAACCATTCCATGGTTCTGGAGCCAGGCTGGGAGAGCTGGGGGGGTTCCCCTGGAGAAGAGAAGGCTCCAGGGAGACCTGAGAGCCCCTGGCAGGGCCTAAAGGGGCTCCAGGAGAGCTGGAGAGGGACTGGGGACAAGGCATGGAGGGACAGGACACAGGGAATGGCTTCCCACTGCCAGAGGGCAGGGTTGGGTGGGATATTGGGAAGGAAATGTTGGCTGTGAGGGTGGGGAGGCCCTGGAATGAATTTCCCAGAGAAGCTGTGGCTGCCCCTGGATCCCTGGAAGTGTCCAAGGTCAGGTTGGAGCAACCTGGGCTAGCGGGAGGTGTCCCTGCCCATGGAACTGGATGATCTTTCAGGTCCCTCCCAGCCCAAACCATTCCATGATTCCATGATAAACTGAGCCAACACAACACAGCCCTGGCACTGGTGTGTTGGGGTGGGCTGTGGGGCCATTCCCACTGGCACTGGTGTGTTGGGGTGGGCTGTGGGTCCATTCCCACTGGCACTGGTGTGTTGGGGTGGGCTGTGGGTCCATTCCCACTGGCACTGGTGTGTTGGGGTGGGCTGTGGGTCCATTCCCAGGGCCCACCCTCCCTCTCCCGGCCGTCTGTGCCGTGCCCCGTGCAGGATGTTCGAGCTGAGCTGCACCCTGCCCCTGGAGAAGGACCTGCGGGTGGCCCTGTACGACTACGACCTGCTGTCCAAGGACGAGAAGATCGGGGAGACCGTCATCGACCTGGAGAACCGCTTCCTGTCGCGCTACGGGGCGCGCTGCGGGCTGCCCCTCACCTACTGCGTGTGGGTACCGGGGGCTGCGGGGCTGGGAGGGCACCAGGGTGGGCTCCAGGGGGACTGGTTCTCCTCTGGAAGTCCCAGATGCTCCAAAGGACATGGGAATCCTTGGGGAGATCCCGTTACACCTCCTGGGCATGCCGTGCTGGGCACACTCCCTGTGCCCGTGCTGCCCAGGGAAGGAGGTGATGCCCCATCCCTGGGAGTGTCCAAGGCCAGGTTGGAGCAGCCTGGGATGGTGGAAGGTGCCCCTGCCCCTGCAGCTGGATGATCTTGAAGGTCTTTCCAACCCTTTCCATGGTCCTGTTTGGTTTCAGCTCCGGGCCCAACCAGTGGCGGGACCAGCTCCGTCCTTCCCAGCTGCTCCAGCTCTTCTCCCTGCAGCACAACTACAAGGCTCCCACCTACAAATCCGACCGGATCATCTTCAGGGATCAGGAATACGTCCTGTCTGAGCTGGGTAAGGGCACAGGGATCTTTTGGGGTAGCAGAGTTTCCTTTATGCAGAGCAAGGGACGGAGCTGGAGTTCATTGGGGGGGTTCCATGGAGGCCAGAACAGCTTGGTGGGCACATCCCCATCCTCCCCACCTCACTGGCCTGGTTGGATCTGCACCATTCCCGAGCTTGGCTGTGCCCCAAAACTCTGGGATGGAACCCAGACCTGCAATCCAGTCACAGGAACATTGAGCTTGAGGGACTTCCCTGGGCTGTGGGAGCTCTGAAGTCCATCCTGGGCTGAGAAGCTCAGATGTTCCAGCTGCTGGAGGAGCAGCTGTGCCACTGGAATCTCCTTTTGGGTCACTAGGTGGAGACAGGATCACACACACGGTGCCCAGGGATCACCTCAGGGCTCAGGGGGCTTTGGGGGGGCTCCAGCTGGAAGGGCAGAACCAACCTCTGCTTATCTAGGAATGTCTCTGAGGCCTGGGGAGGTATTTTCTTGTTTGCACAAAAACCACCCCAGCTCTGACCCTTTTACCACCCTGGGCATCAGCTCATGCCCCCCTGCCCCACACCCTTGGGGCAGGAGTTGCCTCTGTGAGAAATCTCTGCTTTAAGGCATAAAAGGGGTGTTTTGGCCCTGGGGGGGGGGGAGGTGAAACCCCACCAGGAGCTGCAGTTTGGAATCATGGCATGGCTTGTGTGGGAAAGGACCTTAAAGATCACCCCGTTTAGCCATGGCAGGGACACCTTCCACCAGCCCAGGTTGCTCCAGCCTGGCCTTGGACACTTCCAGGGATCCAGGGGCAGCCACAGCTTCTCTGCCCAACCTGTGCCAGGACCTCCCCACCCTCCCAGCCAGGAATTCCTTCCCAATATCACACCTGTATTTTAATTTGGCAGTATTAGGGCCACCACATCAAGGCAGTCGTCAGAGGCACAAAACAAGCCACACACAGCACTGATCCCTCTCCTTCTCTTGGGAATCAAGGTCTAAATTCCTGGCTCTCCCTGAGGAGAGGAGGAGGAGGAGGAGAAGAAGGAGGAGGTGGAGAAGGAGGGCAGCAGGAGGTTTTCAGCTGGGGCTGGGGAGGTGTTGGAGCAGCGAGTTCCCCCCGTGCCACCCCCCTGCCTTTCACCTTCCTCTGCTTTAATGGCAGCGAGTTCAAAAAGCAGAACCAAGTGTGGAGCTGGACCTGGAGGAGATCTGGGAACCAGCTGGGAGCTGGGGCTGGGCTGGGGCCAGGAAACCACAGCAGGGCTTTTACAAGCGTCTGCCCTGGCCCCTCAGCCCACAACCCCCCCTACCCTCATCCCACACCCCCAGCCCCTCATCCCACACCCCCAGCCCTCATCCCACACCCCTAGCCCCTCATCCCACCCCCCTGGCAGTTGTTCCTGAGGGGCTGGTGTTTCCCCTGGGTCTGGACACACCCCCATGTGCACAGCCCAGCTTTCCAGTGTCTGGGAATGGCTGGGATGGAGCCCAGATGGCTGGGGTTAAGCACTTCAAGGCCCTGCCAGGAAAGGAGCTGGGATGTGTCACCTGAGTCTGGAATGGTGTTTATGGAACAGTGTTTTGTTCCCAGGGTCTTGGAAGGGGCACAACCTGAAAGGGCAGCGGGGTTGGGGTGAGCTCCTGCTCCCTCCCCAGCCTGGCATGGCAGGAGCTTGGGGAATCATTCAGCTTGGATTCATAGAGCCAGGGAATCTTGTGGGCGGGAAAAGAGCTTTGGGATCATGAAATCCCAGGATTGTTAAGGTTGGAAAAGAGCTCCGAGGTCACTGAGTCCAAACTGGCTGATCCCCACCTTGTCTGAGTGTCACATCCAGTCATTCCTTGGACACCTCCAGGGGTGGTGACTCCACCAGCTCCCTGGGCAGCCCCTTCCAAGGATAGGTCATCCTGTCCAACAACTGGTACAAAATCATGGAATGGCATGGGGAGGCAGGAGCAGGCTCAGCCAAGGCCAGGTTGGCCATTCACCCTGCCTGATGGGTGGGTGGGTGGATGGATGGATGGGTGGGTGGATGGGTGGGTGGATGGATGGATGGATCCTGACTGGGGAGAGAAGGCAGAAATGTCCATGACTGAGCAGTCTTGGCCAGTCTGTGGCGGGGTGAGGGTCTGGTTGGAGCAGGTGAGGAGGAGGAGATGCTTCCAGGTCTTTATTCACTGTGGCTGCCACGTCCTGGCCCCTTTCCTTGAAGGACCACAGATATCCCAGAGGGAGCAGGGAGGAGCAGAGCAGGGACTGGGATGGAAGTGGAACCAGGATCAGCCACCAAGCTGTGCTGGTGGTGTCTCCATGGCCTTCCTCCCGCTCTCCTTTCTGTCCTTCACCCCCAACCCAGCAGAGAAGAAATGGGATCCCTTTGGGAGCTCATTCCTGTGCCCAGCTGAAGATCCTGGATGGGCTGGAATGATGGGACAAACCTCTGGTGGGGGTGGGAATATCAGCAGAGCAGCAGCGTGGATTGGGGGCTGCTGGGGACCCTGCACCCAAATTTCTATGGCTTTAGGAGCCCTGAACCCCGGAGTGGGATCCGAGCCTGGGGTCTCCTTTCCATGCCCTTCAACCTGGTCCTTGTGCTGTTCCCCTGGTTTGGGGGTGGTCACACGAGGCTCCCAGCAGGTCCCTATCCCATCTGTGGGGGTTTGCCCGTGGGAAAAGGGCCTGGCAATGGGACTTGCCCATGGGGTGGGACGGCTGTGCCCGGGAGGGTTTGTGGGGATGGGTTTGGGAATGGGGGCTCTGCCCCTCCTGCTCCGGCTGCAGCGAGGCTGGTGGTGATCCCTGGGACATCCCAACCCCCTCCCATGGGATTGACGCTGCTCTTTGCCCCCTGGCAGAGGACGGGAAGCCCCCGAATCCCCACCTGGGGCCGGTGGAGGAGCAGCTGGCGCTGCTGGCCCTGAGGAAGCAGGGGCTGGTGCCGGAGCACGTGGAGACGCGGCGGCTCTTCAGCCCCCTGCAGCCTGGCATCGAGCAGGTGGGATGGGCACGGGGCACTGGGGGCACTGGGAGCACTGGGGACAGGGATTCCAGCCCCCTGCAGCCTGGCATCGAGCAGGTGGGATGGGGCAACGGGGCACTGGGGGCACTGGGGGACAGGGATTCCAGCCCCCTGCAGCCTGGCATCGAGCAGGTGGGATGGGCACGGGGCACTGGGGGCACTGGGGGGACAGGCCATGACACCAGCCTCGGCCACTGCCAGGGGTCCCTGTGCCAGGACTGGGGAATTCCCAGGGAGGGAAGCTGGGTGGGCTGGAGCAGAGCTCTGCTTATCACAGGGTGGGGCTCAACCCAGCCATGGCTGTCCTGAAAATGGGGTCTGGGGACATCGATTCCACCCTCCCGTGGGCTTTTCCAGCAGCAGCTGTGCCGCACACTTTGAAATTTATCTGTATCTTTATTTTATTTTATTTTAAATTTATCTTTATTTTATTTTATTCTATTTTATTCTATTTTATTTTATCTTAGTTTTATTTTATTTTTATGTTATTTTATTCTCCTTTATTCTCTTTTATATTAGTCTATTTTATTTTATCTTTATTTTATGTTTATTTTATTCTGTTCTATTCCATTCTATTCTATTTCCTCTTAATTTCATTTTATTTCATTTTATTCTCTTTTATTCTCTCTTATATTCTACTTTATTTTATCTTTATTTTATCTTTATCTTTATTTTATATTTTATTTTATTCTCTTTTACATTATTCTATTTTATTTTACCATTATTTTATTTTATCTATATTTCATTTTATCTTTTATTCTGTTTTATGTTATTCTATTTTATTTTATTTTATCTTTTATTTTATTCTTTTTTATTTTATTTTATTCTATTCTATTTTATTTTATATTTTATTTTATCTTTATTTTATTTTATTCTATTCTATTTTATATTTTATTTTATTTTATTTCATTTTGTTTTATCCTTGTCCTATTCTCTTTTCTATTTTCCACGAGGGAATCCTCCCCGTTCATCGAGGGAATTCTGGAGCACCTGGCATTCTCTGGCTGTCCCCGAGGAGGGGCAGGTGACCCAGCTTGGAGGCTCCTCAGGTTTCACAGGTTGTTCTTTCCCCACAGGGAAAGCTGCAGATGTGGGTGGATCTGTTCCCGAAATCCCTGGGACATCCCGGGCCCCCTTTCAACATCAGCCCCCGCAAAGCCAAGAGGTAACGGGGCATTCCCGGGGGATAGGACGCTCCAGCCCCTTCTCCTTGGGCAGCTGGGAGGGCTTGGAGGTGCCAGGCGGGATGGGATTCACCTTCCCTGTGGGATCATCCCCAGGGAATGGCAGTTTGGGGCAGGAGCAGCTGCCCAGGTGGGATTGGGATTGAGGTTCCCCCCTCACGCCGGCTGTTCCGGGTGCTCCAGGTTCTACCTGCGCTGCATCATCTGGAACACCAAGGACGTGATCCTGGACGACCTGAGCATCACCGGGGAGAAGATGAGCGACATCTACGTCAAAGGGTGAGCCCTCCCGCTCCAGGGAGCCCGGATTCCGGGGCTGGAACAGCAGGGAAAGGGTTAAAACGGGTCTTGGAGCAACACAGCCAAGGTGGGCATGGATCCTGCTGGGGTGGGCATGGATCCTGCTGGATGAACCATCGCACCTCTCCGTGGATGGATCCATTCTCTCCATGCATGGATACAGTTGTCTCCAGGCATGGATCCACCCTCTCCATGGATAGAGCCAGACCTCTCCATGGATAGAGCCAGACCTGTCCATGGATAGAGCCAAACCTGTCCATGGATAGATCCATTTTCTTGGAAGTCACGTCTCCACCGGGCTCAGAACTGCTTAAGGACACCATTTTTCTTTGGATCTTTTGGGTGCTCCCATGACAACATGGACATGTAGAGACCTGAGAGTGGGGAGCACCTTGGAATTCCTGGAAAGGGAATTAAAAGCTCCAGCAGCTGCAGAGCTCAGCTGGGAAAAGGGAATCCCAGCAGGGATGAGGAATGTCTCATTTCCCGCTCACATCCCGAATCCTCACCGTGTTCCCGGTTTTCCACGGGCTCTGTCTGCGCTTTGCAGGTGGCTGGTGGGGCACGAGGAGAACAAGCAGAAGACAGATGTGCACTACAGGTCCATGGGGGGAGAGGGCAACTTCAACTGGAGGTTCGTCTTCCCCTTCGATTACCTCCCGGCCGAGCAGATGTGCCACGTGGCAAGGAAGGTGAGGGGCCTGGAGGGAGGAATTCCTGCCTTCTCCTGGGAATTCTGGGGTGGAGGTGGCGTCTGAGACCTTCACAGCCGGAGCTGTGCAAGGCTCAGCTTTTACCTGGTGTTGTTTGAACCTCAGACTGTGGGAATTTGGTGTAAAGGATCCACATTTGTGGGGTCAGAGTTAGGGGTGGTTTGTGTGGGGGGTTTGGAGAGGTGGATCCACCCGGGAAAGATGGATGTTGGGGCACTGGTGGCCAAGGGCTCTCCAGGTGAACTTCCAAGGTGGCTTGGTTAGTATGGAGAAGACATTTCCATGGGGATGGTTTGGTGGGAACCTCTGGCCTCCACCAGGGAATTGGGGATGCCTTCCTGCACAGGAACTTCCCAGATGGGCTAAAGAGGAGGGAAAGGAAGGGGCTGCCTCCAAATTCCTGAGGGGAACACGGGTTGGGATGTACCCCTGATGGGAAGGGAAGCTTTGGTCTGGGATTCAGGGAGAAGATTGGTCTGATAGAGAGTTCCTCACTTGGGAAGTTACAAATGGATGTGATTCCTGCTCCTGGTATTCCTTGGATCAGTTGTTGCAATGGGATGGTCAAATGTGGGAATCTCGTGGAGGGAAGGAAACAGGGATGGAATTGGGATGTGTGGGATAATGCCAGTGAAAATTGGATAGTGGAAATTATGGAAATAATGGAAATTAGGGAAAATTGGACATAGAACGCTGCAGGGGAAGGAGATCTATTCCCTTAAGTTTGCTGCTCCTCACCTGGAGATTAGGAGGATGAAAGCAGTAAGAGGAGGGGAATTCTAGTGGAATGTGCTGATCCAGGGGGTTGGAGTTGGAGGATCTTTGAAGCTCCCTTCCAACCCAAAGCATTCCATGATGCCATGATTGCTGAGGTTGTGTGGGCAGCAGGGACACTCCTGTCTTCTGAGGCTTGGTCCTGCTCTGTGACACTTCCAGCCATCTACCCCTGAGCCTTCACCCCCTGAGGAAGGTGTGATCCCATCATATGAGCAGGAATTTCTCCCTGGAAAGGGTGGTCAGGCCTTGGCAGGGGCTGCCCAGGGAGGTTTGGAGTGCCCAGCCCTGGAGGGCAGGCCTGGCCGTGGCACTCAGTGCTCTGGGCTGGGGAACAAGGGGGGATTCCATGGGCTGGGAGGGCTTTTCCAGCCTAAATGATTCCAGGAATTCTGTGATGCCATGCTCCCTGCTCCCTGCCTTGCTCCTGAGAGCTCAGCCTCATTGGATGAGTGTCGTCCCACTGCTCTGGGACCATCCCCCAACCCACCGGCACCCCCAGCCCTCCTTCCTGTGCGTGGCTTTGGCAGGAAAAACCCCCCAGCCAATCCCCCCTCCCAGACAATCCCCAGCTTCCAGAGAGGCCCCTCTGGGCAGCTGCAGGCAGTGCCAGAATCCCAGCCGTGCCCATTTCACGCCTCATGTTCAGCAAATCCCGGGAACAGCGTGTTCTACATCCAATTATCCCCCTCTGCAACGGCCAAGCCCTCCCCTATAAACCCTTTAAGCAGATCCATCCCACTGTGCCGAGATTGCTTCCCCTCCCAGCACATGGCTCCGAAAATAAACAGCTTGTAAAAGCCCCGTGGAAAGGCAGGACTAATGAGTGAAAAGCCGGGCTTTGTGTCCGGGGGCCTCGGTTTTGATCTCCCCGTGTGCCGTTTGAACTCCGAGCTCGTTAAAGGGGCTGCTGCAAACGCAGGCCCTGCGAGGTGGAATTTAAATCAAAACCGCCCCCGGGGCAAACTGGGAGCTGCTCAAAAGGCACCTGCACCGGGCCTGGGCTGGATCTCACAGGGATTCCCTCCCCTCTCCCCTCGGGGTGGCAGGAGGGAGCGGGAATTGCGGGATTGTGGAATGGCTTGGGAGGGAAGGGACCTGAAAGACCGTCTCGTTGCACCCCCCTGCCACTGGAGTGACAGAATTGAGCCCATCCATGTCCTCACATCCCGTGTTCCCCTTTGGGAATTCATGGAATCCTGGGATGGTTTGGGTGGGAAGGGGCCATGAAGCCCACCCGGTGCCACCCCTGCCACGGGCAGGGACACCTTCCACCAGCCCAGGTTGCTCCAACATGGCCTTGAACACTTCCAGGGATCCAGGAGCACCCACAGCTTCTCTGGGAATTCCATCCCAGCCCCTCACCACCCTCCCAGGAAGGAATTCCTCCCTAGTATCCCACTCAAATCTCTGTTTTTTCCCAGTCTGAAGCCATTCCCTGTGTCCTGTCCCTCCATCCCTTGTCCCCAGTCCATCTCCAGCTCTGCTGGTGCCCTTAAGATTTGATGATCCAGCCATCCCCAGCACTGCCAGGGCCACCCCTGACCATGTCCCCAGGTGCCACATCTGCAGGGCTGTTAAATCCCCCAGGGATGGGGATCCACCCCTGCCAGGGCTGGACAACTCTTCCCAGGAGGGAATTTTCCCCAAATCCAACTTAAACCAGAAGTTCCAGCTTTAGATCCCCAGGGCTGAGCCTGGCAGGTCTCAGCTCTTGCAGGGTTATCAGATGGTCCTGGCACAGCCACGAGGGCATTCCCAGGTGGGCTGGATGGGAATCTCTGGGCGCAGGGAGGGCTCAGCCCCCACATCCCTCAGGCACCCCGAGCTGGAAAAGGCGTGGAATTGATTTGGAACGTTCAGCTTCACGTCCCAGTTGCAGCAGCAGCCGAGTGCAGCTGCCAGGGCCGAGTTCAGGAGGTTCTGTAGGGCAGGAAAGGGTGGGCAGGGAATGTCAGAGCAGATGGAATGTGCCGTGTCCCGGTCTGGGACCATCGTGGCAGGAAGGACACGGAGGGGCTGGAGCGAGTGCAGGGAAGGGAACGGAGCTGGGAAGGGGCTGGAGCAGCAGGAGGGGCTGAGGGAGCTGGGGGGGCTCAGCCTGGAGAAAAGGAGGCTCAGGGAGGACCTTCTGGCTCTGCAACTCCCTGACAGGAGGGGGAACTGGGGGGGGGTCAGGCTCTGCTCCCAGGGAACAGGGACAGGAGGAGAGGATGAGGGACCTGCTGCCCTCCCACAGGCACAACTTGAAGCAGGACCAGATTTTGGGTGCAAACACTCTGGGGCCTCCTGCCCTCCCAGAAATCAGGGGCTCCCTTTGCTCTGCATCCTGCAGCACAAAACCAGCCCAGCAGAAACACAGCCCTGTCAACACTTCCCAAGAACAGGAGTGGATTTTTCCCTCTCCCCTCCGTGTTGTTCATGAGTGTGAAACATCCCCACCCCCCTCTGCCCACAACTCTCTTCCCCTTCTGCCCCCTCCTGACTTAAGGTCCTTCCCACCCAAACCATTCCAGGATCCAGCAGGGGACAATGAGCAGGTGAACAAAACACCTTGGAGATGGGAATTCTTCCACCTCCCAGACCCCAGATGGACCTTTCCAACCCCTGGTGAGGTCATCCCACCACCTTTGGCCCTGGGGATGTGTTTCCTGGGGAGTTTCTCCTCTGGGTGACTGACAGCCCTCCTGCCATGAAGGCCCCAATATCTGGGAAAGGGAGGAATCACCAGAAACTCTTCCCCCTTTGGAGCAGCTTTAACTTCCAATGACTGGGAAAACTGGGAAAACATCCCACTCCCAGCACCCCCTTGGAAAAACATCCATGCTGACACACTGCAGTCAGCACAGGGGGAGAGAGGGAACTTTCCATCGACTTCATTTGGCATTTCTGGATTGTAAAAGATTTAAAGCACAGGAATAAAACGCTCCAGTGCAAAATTCCTGGCCCGTTTTCCCCCAACCAGGCAGGGAATGGAGCTACAGTGAAATCCAACCATCCAGGGGGAGCTCCTAAATGAAACAAATTCCAGGGGGATTTAACTGCCCACAATGTCCCAGCTGGAATATTTATGTTCTCCTGGAGTGTGACACGTTTTCCCTTCTGTTTTATTTAATATTGGATCACGGAATGAATCCGAGTTGTAGCCACTGCAGTGGATTTATGGGGTCAGGAACAGTGCTGGGGTTTCCTGGGTTTAATTAAATCTGCTCCTTTCTGACACTTCCCCAGTGCAGGAGCGTGGAGGGAGGAATTGCCACCAGGATACCCCTGGGAGGGGTGTCAGGAATCCTGCCCTGACTCTGCCTCCTCTTTGCAGAGCCAGGAATAACAAACCCTGGGTCTGGGAGTGCTTTGGTCTCTCTCCTTCTGTCCTAACGCTCCTTTTTGGACATCAGCAGGAATTTCTCCCTGGAAAGGGTGGTCAGGCCCTGGCAGGGGCTGCCCAGGGAGGTTTGGAGTGCCCAGCCCTGGAGGTGTCCCAGGCAGGCCTGGCTGTGACACTCAGTGCTCTGGGCTGGGGACAAGGTGGGGATGGGGCACAGGGGGGATTCCATGGCTCTGGAGCTCTTCCCCAAGCTCAGTGACTCTGGGATTCTTATTCCTAACTCCCAGGCATCCCAGAAGTGGGATTAGGGAATATCCCCAGTTTCACCCACATAAACAGGCAGTTGTGGTGTGGGCACAGATCCCACAGCCACTGGCACGGTGTGGCCACGGGCTCGGTGTCACCGCAGGGGGATTCAAACCCTCCTTCCCAGGGAGATCCAAAGGCCAATATTCCCCCTGAGTGGCTTTTTGGGAATGCAGAGCACCTGCCTTGCTGGGGACCCACTCACTGGAGTGGCTGTGGAGCTGCCAACCCCTCGGGGTTTGGTCAATCATCTCCTCTCCAGGAAGCAGAAGCTGCTGCCTCATCCTATTGCTGAGATCACACAGGGTGCTGTGCCCAGGCCATTCCTTACTCTGGCATCCAGAACTCATGGATGACCTGGGAATGTCCAGCCTGGAGAAGAGAAGGCTCCAGGGACACCTGAGAGCCCCTGGCAGGGCCTAAAGGGGCTCCAGGAGAGCTGGAGAGGGACTGGGGACAAGGCATGGAGGGACAGCACACAGGGAATGGCTTCCCACTGCCAGAGGGCAGGGACAGATGGGATACTGGGAAGGAATTGCTGGCTGGGAGGGTGGGGAGGCCCTGGCACAGGTTGGGCAGAGAAGCTGTGGCTGCCTCTGGATCCCTGGAAGTGTCCAAGGCCAGGCTGGAGCAACCCGGGCTGGTGGAAGGTGTCCCTGGTTGGGACTGGGTAGGATTTAAGGTCCCTTCCAACATGAACCATTCCATGATTCCATGATTCTGACAGCTCTGAGTCTCTCCTTTCTTGAACTCAGATGGGTAACAAATATCATGGAATCACAGGGTGAATTGATTGGGAAGGGACCTCTTCACCTTGGAGAGTCACCAATCCTCACTGGAATTGTGGGAATATGGTGCTGTCACTCCACAGGATCCTATTTGAGAGCTGAGGGAGCCCCTTTGCTAAAATACTGTCAGTAAATGAAGGCATAAATCGGTGATAACTCACCTTCCAGAGGCATCCTGGCTTTTCCTGAGCATCCAAGAGCTGCTCAGAGCCCGAGGCCCTGCGGCTCCAGCCCTGCAGAGCCAGAGCAGGACACACCAGGACTGCCAGGATTTCCCTGGGATGAGAGGAACCAGGTTCTGCCCACCCCCTCTAACAGTCCTTTTATTTCTTGCCTGGTGGGATTTTAGGAGCATTTCTGGAGCTTGGACAAGACAGAAAACAAGATCCCCCCACAGCTGATCCTGCAGATCTGGGACAACGACAAGTTCTCCTTCGATGACTATTTGGGTGAGTTGGGGGGGGTGTTGATTCCATCCCTCCTGGGGCAGCAGGAAGGGAAAAATTCCTGGAAAACGGGGCCTGGAAAAGCTGTGGCTGCCCCTGGATCCCTGGAAGTGCCCTAGGCCAGGTTGGACGGGGCTTGGAGCAACCTGGGCTAGGGGAGGTCGTGGTTTGGAGCTGGGTGGTCTGGGTGGCCCAAACTCCCTGAGATCAGGAAGGTGCCACAAGGGGAGAGTCCTCAGGGGAAGTGTCCCCATTTTTAAGGACCTTTACGCTGAGGTGTCCCACCTGTGACATGCCTCCTTCCAGGCTCCATCCAGATGGATCTCAACAGGATGCCCAGACCTGCCAAGACGGCTGAGAAGTGCTCGCTGGAGCTCCTGGACGACACGGGGTCCTCCAGCCGCTTTGTGTCGCTCTTTGAGCAGAAAACTGTCAAGGGCTGGTGGCCCTGTGGGGCTGAGCAGGACCAGAAGAAGATCCTGGCGGTGAGGAGGCCCCTCCATGTGGGATTCACCCCAAACCCCCATCCCTGGAGGTGTCCCAGGCCAGGCTGGATGGGGCTTGGAGCAGCCTGGGATAGTGGGAGGTGTCCCTGCCCGTGGCAAGGGGTGGAACTCGACACCTGTATGGTCTAGAATGGGATGATCCTTAAGGTCCTTCCCAAGCCAAACCATTCCAGGATTCCCTGGAAGCTTTGAGGAGGGAGGTGTCCGGGCCAAGCACCTGCAGGATGTCACAGTCAGGGCATAAAATGAAGATTTGGGCTGTAAATTTTCCCTTTGCTTGGGTTGTGGGATTTTTTTGACTGTGGGTTTTGGAATGTGCCACCGGATCTGACCCTGTGTCACACCCGTTCCTGGTGATCCCGGAGAAGCACCAGGGAAAGGCTCCAGATGTCCCATTTTGGTGCATGGAAATGTGTCCTGGTCGAGGGTTTGGTGGTGCTTCCATCCAGGTAAAGGAGTCCAGGCGGGGAATGGAGCCATTCCACAAAAACCAACCCTGAGTTTGGTTCAGGGGAATCAGGAAGGAGGGAATCAGGAAAGGCCGGACTCGGTGCCGTGGTCTGGTTGACACGGTGGTGACCGGTCACAGCTTGGACTCGATGATCTTGGAGGTCTTTTCCAAGCTCAGTGATTCTGTAGCTTCCAAAACCTGGGTGTCAGGGACATTTGGGATCCCCTGGGGTATCCCCAGTGGCCACTGAGGGATCTCTGGACTCTTCCTGCTTTCCTCGTGGGTGGTTTCCGGGCTTTGCTCCAAGTGGATTTTCTTCCCCCAATCCGTGTTTTCCACCTCCCACCACCCCTTTCTCACCCCTCCCCTCTTTTTTTTGGGATTCTAACTGTGCTCTGCCCGTCCCCCCTCCCAGGGCAAGCTGGAGATGACTCTGGAGATCGTGGCCGAGCAGGAGCACGAGGAGCGCCCGGCTGGGCTGGGCCGGGACGAGCCCAACATGAACCCCCGGCTGGAGGACCCCAAGTGAGGACACCCCCAGGGCAAAATCAACCCCCCGGGGCACGGGGGGCAAATGGGGGTTCTGGGTGCCCAGCTGGGCTGGGCTGGAGCACCAGGGAGGATGCACTGTGGGGACATTCCCAGAGGGATGGAGGAGCTGGGACAGTCCAGGGGCACTGGGAGGCTGGGCTGGAGCACCAGGGAGGATGCTGGGGGGACATTCCCAGAGGGATGGAGGAACCAGGACACTCCAGGTGGGATGGGCAGCTGGTTTGGACCACCAGGAAGGCCATGAGTGGTTCATTCCCAGAGGGATGTGGGCTCTCAGGCCTCACTGCTGGGATTCGGGATCCAGGAGGGTGAAGCTCTGAACTTTTCCCGGCTCCAGGCGCCCCGAGACCTCCTTCCTGTGGTTCACCTCCCCCTACAAGACCCTCAAGTACATCCTGTGGAGGAGGTACAAGTGGATGCTGATCCTGTTCATCATCCTCTTCATCCTGCTGCTCTTCCTGGGAATCTTCATCTACGCCTTCCCGGTACCGAGGGGTGGGGGTCGAGGGGCTGGGCAGGGTCAGGGGAGATCCCCCAGGGTGTGGGGGGTGGCTCCAGTGCAGGGGGCTGGAAAATCCAGTGCTGGTCCCTGAGGAACAACTTGGGGGATTGTGGGGGGTGTCAAAGGCGGTTTGGGTTTGGATCATTGCTAAGAAGGACCCGGAGGGGCTGGAGCGTGTGCAGGGAAGGGAACGGAGCTGGGAAGGGGCTGGAGCAGCAGGAGGGGCTGAGGGAGCTGGGGGGGCTCAGCCTGGAGAAAAGGAGGCTCAGGGGGGACCTTCTGGCTCTGCAACTCCCTGACAGGAGGGGGGAGCTGGGGGGAGTTGGGAATAAGTGACAGGAGACAGGACAAGAGGAGATGACCTCCAGCTGTGCCAGGGGAGGCTCAGGTTGGACATCAGGAGGAATTTCCTCCTGGAGAAGGTTGTCAGGCCTTGGAAGGGGCTGCCCAGGGAGGTGGTGGAGTCCCCACCCCTGGAGGGATTTAAAATCCCTGTGGATGTGGCACTTGGGGACATGGTCAGGGCTGGCCTTGGCAGTGCTGGGGGCTGGTTGGACTCAAGGATCTCAGAGGGCTTTTCCAGCCTAAACCATTCCATTCCAGACCCCTCCTGCAGGCTGACCCCAAGGTTCTCCCCTCTTTGTGTCCATGTTTCCAATGGGGGTCCCTTCCATGGGGTCATTCCTTCAGGAACTGTTCCATGGTCCCTTCCATGGGGTTAGTCCTTCAGGAACTGTTCCATGGTCCCTTCCATTGGGTCAATCCTTCAGGAACTGCTCCATGGTCCCTTCCATGGGGTCAATCCTTCAGGAACTGTTCCATGGTCCCTTCCATGGGGTCAGTCTGATGACGCTGAGGTTCATTGATGGTCTCAGAGAGGCTGGAGCAGCTGCTGTTGGGGATCTTGTGAGTTTGGTGGGAGCAGGATTGGCAATCCAGGGATTTTAGGGGGCTGAGCAGTGGGAACAGCTGGAGTTAGTGATTGTTTAAAGCTGGAGGAGTTCCTGGGAAGTGGGGAAGGTTGTCCCTTGCTGTCAGAGCTCGGAGCACGCCCCACCAGGGGCTGAAATCAGGGGCAGGGTTTGCACCTCATTCCTCACCCAAGTAGCTCCTTTTTGCCTCTGGCAGAACAAAATAAATCCAGGACAGAGGCCTGAGCTGCCAGTTTGGCTCTGGAGGGAGTTCTGCATCCTCCTCTGTTTCCTCAGCACTGCAACAGTTCAAAGAAGGGCTCTTGGAAACCTTTCCCTCCTCTCTGACTGATAAGGAAAACACTCCCTCTTCTTTTTCCCAGCACTCCACAAATTCTGCCACTTAAATAAAAAGCCTCATTGAGGGAATTTATAACTTCTTGGGAGAGGATGGAGCTGCTCCTGTGGAAAAGTGAGGGGAGGGGATTTCTCCTCAGGATTGTAATCGCTTTCAGATGATGGGAATTCATGCAGGGAGGTTGTTCCCATGGAGGGAAAGGGGTTGGGATTAGGTCATGGCTCTCCCCATCTCTCCATCCCCATATCCATGGGGAGGGTTGGGATCCTGCTGCTGGAGAAACGATTCTGGAGGTGTTAAATTAAGGAGGAAATAGTTATGGAAGTGCAGGTTTGGGCATTGAGAGCAGTTCCTGGGGATTCCTGGCAGTGGGATGGCCCTGGTTGGTTCCAGGCACACCCCAAAGCTGCTCCATCCCTGCCCTTCCCAGCTGGACAAGGGGAAATAGAACTAAGGGCCATGGGATGGGATAAGGGCAGGGAGGGATTCCTTCAGGAACTGCCCTGACATGGGTCACTTTTCCATGGGGTCAGTCCCACAGGAACTGCTGCAGGTCCCTTTCCATGGGGTCATTCCTTCAGGAACTGCTCCAGGTCCCTTTCCATGGGGTCATTCCTTCAGGAACTGCTCCAGGTCCCTTTCCATGGGGTCAGCCCCTCAGGAGCTTGCATTCCACCCGGCACTCCTTGGGATTTCTCCCTGTTTTCCAATTAAAGGCCGGGTTGAGTTTCACCCTGGGGGGTTTTCAGAGCTATTTTGGAAAAGCAGGGCCGCGTTCCATGGAATTCCTCTGGCTTTGTGTCTTTGGCCTCATTCCCCAGAATTTTTGAGGTCTCTGGTCCTGTGTCTCTGAGTTCCTTTCCCCTCCCACCAGGGACTAAATCTGGGCATGGTTTGCTCGGAAGGATCCCCTCGGCATCCCGGCCTTTGGAAGGGTTCACTGTTAATCCCTGATTAAATACGTGGAAAACCAACCCCTCCCCACTGCTGGTCCTGGTTCGTGTCCCAGCAGCAGCTCCAGGTCCCGCTGGACAGCAGGGTTTACTTGGAATTCTGAGGAATTCCCACTCTGCAGGCAGAGGGGCTTATGGGCATCCTGCCCACCTCATCCCAGGAAAAGTGGTGGGTGATGGGAAGGGAAGCTCAAGGGAGCCTTTGGAGCTGCCTCGTGGGATCAGGAACCTGTGGGAGGTCTCTGTGGTTCTATTGTCCTCGGGACACCGTGATGGATCATGGGCTGGAGTAAAGACCTTCCCATTCGTCTTCTCCTCCTCTTGCATCCTCTTCCAACTCTCTTCCCGGGAGAATTTTGTGCAACCAGTTGTTTTCCAGGCAGGGAATATGCTGTGGGTCCCCTGGAGGGATCTGGGGTCTCTTAAGGAGTAGGGGGAGACATGGAGAAGTGGGAAAGGGCATGGAAGGGCTCAGGGATGAAGAGGAGGTTTATCAGGATCCATGGAATGCTGGGAGTAGGCCAGGATGGGAAATCAAGGCCCACATCCATAAGGAATCATCCCTAACCCCACTGCTTCCAGAAGATCTCAGTTTAGTGGGGAAGAGCCAATTCCAACCGAAAACCTGATTGGTTTTGGGTGGAAAACTGCCTGGAACTGCACATTTCCATCCCAAAAATGGTCCAGTTCTACAAAAATGGGGGAAAATATTGAAAATCTGATATTTTGAGGCCCTGAATTTATTCCTGGGCTCTTCCACCCACCCTCAGGGCCAGGTGACTGCTCTGCTTTAGGTTTCCCTGGAGACTGGTTGGGATCAAGGTCTGTAAAAACCAGGAGCAGCATTCCCTGGAGATTTCCTGTGGGATTTCCTTGGATTGTCCTTAAGATTTCACTTGACATCAGGAGCTTCCTTAAAGAAGAGGAAAATCATAATGAGATCCCGTAGCTGGGGGTTGGAGGTGGAGGAGCTGTTCCAGTGGGAATTGGGGGATAATTTGTGAGATGAAGGATAATTAACCATTGGAATAACGAGCCAAAGGTTGTGGTGGAGTTGTTGCTGCTGGAGATGTCCTAGGATGGAGATGGAATGTTTTCCTACAGGATATTGGTTGCCCAGAGCAGCTGTGGCTGCCCCATCCCTGGAAGTGCCCCAGGCCAGGTTGGAGCAACCTGGGATAGTGGGAGGTGTCCCTGGGTGGGATTTAAGGTCCCTCCCAACCCAAACCATTCCATGATTCCATGATCCTTCTTCTTCTGACCTCCCATCCAGCCCAAGACGTTCACCCAGCCATTCCCCAGGCAGAAGGGAGAGCTCCACTCACCCAGGGAAATGTTGGATGAAAATTCCAGCAAAGTCACTGGACTTTTCCAAACCACCCCACAGTGAATCCATAACTGATCCCTGCTGGGCAGGAGCAGAGGGTGGAGCTGGAGCTGACAGAATCCCAGAATCCCAGACTGGTTTGGCTTGAGGGGGGACCTTAAATCCCACCAATTCCAACATTTCCATGGCTAAGTGGAGCTCTCCCTTCTGCTGTGGGAATGGCTGAGTGAACACCTTGGGCTGGATGTGGAGTGCCATGGAATCATGGAATGGTTTGGGTTGGAGGGGACCTTAAATCCCACCCAGGAACACCTCCCACCATCCCAGGCTGCTCCAAGTCCTGTCCAGCCTGGCTGTGACATAAAGTGTAGGGAATATAAATCCATAACATTTTGGGAATACACTGAAGCATCTCCCCAAAATGATGATTGTTGGGAAGATTTGAGTGGCTCCCACCACAGCAAAATCCAGCTGTGCTTCCAGCTGGATGTGACTGCACTCGGGAGCCCTGGGAAGTTGTTCCATGATCCCAGCGCTGCTCCCGTGGCCGCTGATCCCAATTCCCCCTCCCTGAGTGATGATCCTGCTCGGCTTTCCACACTTGCTGATCCCAAATTCAGCCCTGGGCGCAAAACTCCTCCCTCCCAGGACACAACGGGTCCAATCCCAAAAACCGGGAGCGTTTGGGAGGCTGGACTTGGAGGGACAGATGATGGATCGTTAATTCCGAGGTTATTTGTCACTGGGGGCTTTTTAATGACTTCTGGGAAACTGCCCCCACTGGATTTATGGCATTATTAGAAATCCTGGTTGGAAAAGCGCCGGAGAAGCTGCTCCATGTTGTAATTCATGGGGATGCTTCTGCTCAGGCAGTGGTTGGCTGGTTTTTAGGGGTTTTTGTGTCTTTTCCCCCCCATTTCTCCCCATATCTCGCCCTGGGATTTGTTTCCAGTTTGGTGTTTTTTTAGGAGTGGTGGAAAATCCTGTTCCAGGTATGGAATGGGAGGAGGGGCTTCCAAACTGTGCAGGTCGTGGTGGGGGTGGGATCAGAGCTGCTTTAACTGTGGCTCTTCCCAAATGTCCTAAATGTGCATTTTGGGCTGTGTGTCACTGTGGTTTGGTGAGGGGGGTTAGAACAGATTATTCCTGATCATGGCACTGCTGTGTCTTCTCTTAAGGAAGGAATTCTGTGGAAAAAAGGCTGAACTCCACATGTGACACCCCATTTTCCATGTCAGCCCTAAACTTCTCCCTGTGCTGGGCACTGTTGAGGGCCCTGGAATTCTGGGGTTGGTTTTGGGCCCCTCACAGGAGAGACCCGGAGGGGCTGGAGCGAGTGCAGGGAAGGGAACGGAGCTGGGAAGGGGCTGGAGCAGCAGGAGGGGCTGAGGGAGCTGGGGGGGCTCAGCCTGGAGAAAAGGAGGCTCAGGGGGAACCCTCTGGATCCCTCAAATTCCCTGGAAGGAGGTTGGAACCAGGGTGGGGGTCGGACTCTGCTCCCAGGGAACAGGGACAGGAGGAGAGGGAACGGCCTCCAGCTGTGCCAGGGGAGGCTCAGGTTGGATAATATGGAAAATTCCCTCCTGGAAAGAGTGCTCAGGCCTTGGCAGGGGCTGCCCAGGGAGGTTTGGAGTCCCCAGCCCTGGAAGTGTCCAAAAATCCTGTGGATGTGGCACCTGGGGCCGTGTCCGTGGTGATCATGGGGACGGTGCTGAAGTGGCAGGGATAAAAATCCAGAGTGGGTTTGGCTTCCCTGCCTTTGGCAGAGCCTCTGGAGACGTTCCAGGGAGCTGCAGGCTGGGTTTGGACTTGGAGTTAATGAGGATGGGACAGGGCTGGAGAGCCCTCCTCTGCTTCCTGGAGTGATTCCAGGCCTGTGGAAAGCTCTGCTCTCCGGAAAAGTCCTGGGGATGCTCAAGGACCTTTTCCGAAGGGTCCAGCTCAGCGGGAAGAGTGGGTGAGGTCACCAGTTCTGGGGGAGTGTGGGAAGAAGGAGCTGGCAGGATGCAAGGTCGGGGTTTGGGTGGTGAATCCAGCCTGGGGGTTTGTGGGAAGCACTGGAGGGGAAGGAGCAGCGGGATCCAGGGGAGAGGAGGAGGCACAGATGGCTGGAAGTGCCTCCTGCCCCTCTGGGCCCTGGGCTGGTGCTGCTGGGGAGGTGCCAAAGCCCTTCCCAGGGTTTAAGGAGCTGGAAATTCATCTCAAGAACTGCTGGGAGGAGAAGCCAAAATCCAGGAGCGACTCCTGGTGTTGGGGCCTGTTGGATCCTGGGATGGCTGGGGTTGGAAGGGACCATTTCTGACCAGGAGCTGCTCCTGGAGACAGGAAAAGCTGCTTTGAGAGGGTTTTTCCCCTCCTCTTAAGTGGGAATGGGATTTTTCCTGCTTGTCCCCGTGGGTTGGGATTAGGACAGGGCCATCCCTGTGCCCTGGAGGAATCCGTGTCCCATTCCCACGGCTCCTCCCTGTTCTCCCTGCCAGAACTACGCTGCCATGAAACTGGTGAAGCCTTTCAGCTGAGCTGGGACACCTGCAGGCTCCGGGGCCGGGATTTTGGGAAGCACTGCTGGCTCTGGATCCCTCAGCACGTGGAGAAGGAACTGCCCCCCCCAGGCCTGAACTGCTCCCAGCATGGACACAGCAATTCCCAGCTGGAGAATCCACCGGGAGCGTCCCCAGCACCTGCACCCGGCCGCCCTGCTCTGGCTCATGGGATTTGATTTGGTCTTGGTTTATTTTAGTTTATTTGGCATTGGTTTGTTTTACTTTATTTTGTTTTGTTATATTTTATTTTATTTTGCTTTGTTTTATTTTGTTTTATTTCATTTTACTTTAGGTTTTTTTGTTTGTTTTTAATTTCATTTTTATTTTCTTAATTTTATTTCATTGTATTTAATTTTAGTTCATATTTTATTTCATTTCATTTTATTTTTATTTTTTTGGGTATTGTTTTTATTTTCTTTATTTTATTAAATTTTAGTTCATTTTACTTTAGTTCATTTTATTTTTGTTTTTATTTTCTTTTTTAATTACAATTTAGTTCATTTTACTTTAGTTAATTTTATTTCATTTTATTTTTTTATTTTTATTTTTATTTTGTTGTTTTGTTTTATTTTTATTTTCTTTATTTTATTAGTTCATTTTACTTTATTTCATTTTTTTCATTTTACTTTAGTTCATATTTTGTTTCATTTTCTTCTATTTTTTTTTAATTTTGCTTTTATTTTCTTTATTTCATTTACTTTAGTGCATATTTTATTTCATTTTCTTTTATTTTATTTCCCTTTTTATTTCATTTCCTCTCAATTCCTTTAGTTTTATTTCCTTGTATTGTATTTAATTTTAATTCATAAAATATTCTTTCCTTTTCTTTGATTCCCTTTTATTTCCTGCCCTTTCCTGATTTCCTGGGGCTGAGCTTTTGACACCCCCGTTGTGTTTGGGCTCAGCCCCCCGAGCTGGAGGAGCTGGAAAACTGCTGGAATGTCCCCCTGGAACGTGCCCAGGGAGGGTTGTGGTGAATCCCAGGGCTGCTCCCTCGGCTCTGGAATTCTGGGATCACCAGCTGAGCTCCCAGGGGGGTTTGGGTCAGGTTGGAGACCCCCAAGAAGGGCAGGGGGGGAAGTGCCGGGTTTGGCTCCGCTCGGGATCCACTTCCAGCAGGAAAAGGAGCTTCGTTTGTCCCTCCTGCTTTTCCCATTCCCGTCCCAGGCTCCCTGGACAAGCAGGACTTTAAAGGAGATCACGGATCAGACCTTGGAATGTCCCTTTACCTTTGGGAATGTCTTTTGGCCCTGGGGGGTTTGGTGGAATGGTGCAATGGTTGGAAAGGCACAACTCGAGGCTGTTTCCTTTCCCTTCCCTTTGGTCTTTCCCCCTTTCTTTGGTCTTTCCCCCCTTTCTTTGGTCTTTTCCCCCTCTCCTCCTTTTTCCCTTCAGGTCTGCCATCCATTTGCATCCAGAGCTCACCAAAGTCTGCCATCCTGGGAGGAGTGGGAATTCCAGCCCCACCAACCAGGCTTTCCCAAATCCGGGCCCTTCCTCCCTCTTTGTCCTTCTCAGAACAGTGTGAAAGAAATTCCTCTGTTCTCCTACCTCGATCTTGGGACCTCTTGGAGGTTTCCTCTGGAAAACATCATCCCATGTTTATGAAAAACATGGATCCAGGGCACTTTAGGTGGATGGAGGAGGCAGAAACCTCTTGATCCCCCTTTTTTTTCCCCCTTTGGAGGAGATTCGAGGTTGTTCCTCCGCTTGAGGCAAAGGAATAGGATTTGGTGGAAAAGGGGAAAAATAACCCCCAGAACAAGCAGGAGATTTACAATCTCTGCGTGATTTGCCAAGGAAAACACGGTAGGAAGAGGCATCTGCTTGCAATGTCCATGGAAAACAAAGCCTGGATTCATTGTCCTGCTCCGAAGTGAACAGAGAACAATTGGCACCTGTTGGGATGAGTCACCTCCGAGGGGCTGGGATGGGCCTGTCCCGGGATTTGGAGCTGCCCAGCGGCTCCAGAGGGGGGCAGGAAGGTCACTGGGGAGGTGGGAGGTCTCCCCCTTCGAGGCTGGAATGTTGGGAAGATGTGGACCCTCCTCCCTCCTTCCCATCCCTCCTTTGTCCCTCCAGGGAATGTGAACAATTGGAGTCAGAGCCCTCCAGGTCGTTCCTTTATTTAGAAGTTATGCAACTGAGGAAAAGAAAATAGAAATAATAATAATAAATAATGATAATAATATAATGTTGGACTGCTTTTATATATATTTTTTTTTCAGTAGTTGAATAATCAAGGATTTGAATTTTCTCTGCCAGTAAAATGCCTAAAAATACCCACATTGGCACTGGACAGCTGAGATTTCCTTCAGCTCCAGCTCCACAAACACCAGAAAACCCAAATCCTGTCAACTGGGATCGTCTCCCTCGTGTCCTCAGCACAGGGAACCCCACAGGGACACCTGGATAATTCCAACTGGCTCCCAAGGGATGGGATTTTGAGAGGATTATTCCATCCTTCCTGCCTCCCCCACCTCCATCCCAACCAGGAGATGGGGGGACCTGCCCCAGACAGGTAATTTTGGGCAACTTCCCGAAGAACTGGAGGGGCTGGAGGAAATTCAGGGAAGAGGGATGAGGTGTCTGGGAGAATGGAGACTCCGGGGAGGATGGGATTGGAAGGCTTGGGCTTGTTTAACCCCCCAGGAAACGGACTCTGACAGCCACAAACCGGGAATGAATTCCAGCCAAGGAAACGTTGGACTGGGTGATAAAACAGGGAAAAGGGCTCTGGATCCATCCAGGCTTTAGTGCAGCTGGAGCAGCACTTGAGGTCAGACCCTCCTCTGTTATCCTTCATCTCCCCACGCCTCAGGCTCCTGGAATCAGGGAATCCCAGACTGGTTTGGGTGGGAAGGGCCTTAAAGATGATCCAGTGCCACCCCCTGCCATGGGCAGGGACACCTCCCACTATCCCAGGCTGCTCCAAGCCCTGTCCAGCCTGGCCTGGGACACTCCCAGGGATGGGGATTCCACAATATCTGGCCTTCACAAGTTCATTTCCTCCATCCCCAGTGAAATCCAGGGAGACCCAAACCCCGACCTGGGATGGGTCAGAGCTCCCCTGCTGAGCACAGGGGTCCATCCTCTCCTCGCCTTTCTCCTGGCACTGGGAAAACTCCCCTTTGGCGACCTCTGGGCTCTTTGGAGCTCTGGGAACCCACAGGAAGGAATTCCAGGCCCTCATGTCCAAGTCTTCCCCCTTCCCAAGGAGGAGCAGAGGCTGGAGAGGGCCTGGAGCAGGAAATGCACTCCTGGAGCGCTGGTGGGTGTCCGAGCCGTGCCAGGCTGCCTCATTCCATGAAATCTGCTTCCCATTAAGGAGCAGCCGCAGCTCTGGAGCCCATTAAATGCTACTTCTCCAGTACCAGGCTTTGATTCCAGCTGTTTGTTTTTATGGACGGGGAGCTGAGCAAGGAAAAGGGAATAAAAGCAAGGAAAAAACAGCCGCTGGGTCGGAGGGTGGAAAAAAACCAGCGGGATTCCAAACACACCTTCCCTGCTCCTCCAGCCCCCTTGGAAAAGCCCCTGTGGATGGATCAGCCTCTTCATCACCTCGATGTGATGGAGAATCCAGACTGCCTGGTTGGAATAATGGTCCTGATCTGTGCTCTGGGAAATGTGGGGTTTAACTTCCCTGGGATTGATGGGCTGGAGCAGGGCCGGGAGCGGGGATGGGGATCCTGCATCCCACAGGCTTCAAAACAGGGATAAATGGGATGAAATGAACCCAGCTGGTTCAAAGTTCATTAATTAGGAAGGAATTGTTGGTTGGGAGGGTGGGGAGGAGCTGGGATGGAATTCCCAGAGAAGCTGTGGCTGCCTCATCCCTGGAAGTGTCCAGGGCCAGCTTGGACAGGGCTTGGAGCAACCTGGGAGAGTGGATTTTGGGATTCAAACACTGCTTGGTTTAAAGAGGATCCATTTGCCTGTGGTGGAAAAGCGGGAAGGAGGGACCTGTGCCAACCTGGAGTCGTGGAATCCTGGAATGGTTTGGGTTGGGAAGGACATTAAAGCCCTCCCAGTGCCACCCCTGCCATGGGCAGGGACACCTTCCACTATCCCAGGCTGCTCCAGCCTGGCCTTGGACACTTCCAGGGATCCAGGGGCAGCCACAGCTTCTCTGGGAATTCCATCCCAGCCCCTCTCCACCCGCACAGGGAGGAATTCTTTCCCCATATCCCACCCAAACCTGCTCTCTTGCAGTTTAAAGCCATCAAGGGAAGGTCTCTCTGTGCCAGGTAAAAACACTGGGATTTGCCTGGAATTTTGGGTTTTTTTTTAATGGTTAAAATTTGGTAAAATGCAGAGTTTCCCTGAGCAGAGTTTGATGTCACCAGGGAGGTGTTTGGAGAAGGAAAACCCTCCAAAACAAACCAAGGAAAGGAAAAGAAACCCCTTAGAAAATGTGGAATTCCTCTGGTCAGACCTCTTTGGGAACAAAACATTTCGATGTCCTGATGTGAAGCAAATCCCTGGTGTGAGATTTGCTCCGAGATATGTTGGGAACACCAAAAAAGAACCCCCTCCCCCCAAAACTGCTTTGAGATGGAAAGAAAACATTTAATTTCTGGCAGAATGAATTTTCAGGAGTTCTTTAGAATCACTGGGGCCCAGGGAATGAATTCCCATGTGGGGATCTGACCTGGAAATGCCCAAAACTGGAGGGAAACCCCCCATTTTTTGGTGCTGGGGATTCTGTTTTGTTGGGAAACTTAAGGATTTGCAATCCTATAAATGAGATATTTCCATCTCAACCTTTAAATCAGACTTTACAAAACTGCACATGCATCCTAATTCCAGACACACAAACAAAAGGTGCTTTTCTGCCCCTGGGCCATTGTCCTGCCTGGCCAGAAATGGGATTTTGGGAGCCTCCCTCCTGGTTTTCACACCTGGAACTGCGGGGGAGGGAGTTTCCAGCGGAGTCAAACCAATCCCAGAATGGATTTTCCCAGAGTTCAGGCCCTGAAACTTCATTTTTCCAAGGAGACTTCCCATTTGAACCCTCCCAGAGTGAGATCTCCCTTCAAGTGAAGCAAAGGGATGGGAGCCGCTGCTCTGACTTATTCCTTTGGGAATAACAGCTCAGTGTCTGTTCCCATCAAATTCCTGCAGGGATTTCTGCCCTTCACACCCTTCCCTGCTCCAAGGGGAGCAGATTTCCCTCCCTCCCTCCAGCAGGGCCCTTGGGAAAGCAGCTCATCCCTTTTTACAGCCCCTGCATCTATTTTTGAAGCTTCCCAAGGATGAGACTGGACAAGGAATTCAGTCCCAGCTGGAAGGGAAACCGGGAGAGAAGGTGCCAGCAGACTTTGGGCTCAGCTTTAGGTGGAAACCCCCCCCCTAAATGGGTTCCAGACAGGGGGTGACCCGCTGGGTTCCA